GACAGTAGTATCTGCACACATTTGGGGGGGAAGAAGCGGACATCAGTGGGGGTGATGGGCGAGGCGCGAAGCGCTGAGAAGCCCTCCACAAGAACGAGAATAAGGGGCCGTCCATAATGACGTCACGTGATTTTGGGCGATTTTTGACCCCTCCCTCTTCGTCACACGTCACAAAAAGTCAGACCCCCCCTCAAATATGACGTCACAAAGCTCTGCCCCTCCCAAAAATATATATAAAACATGCTTAAAATCTCTTTAAACTATTGTCATTGATGTGCGTATTTAATGTAGCACTGCACTATGATGTAGGACAAAACATTTATTAAAAAGTCTTTAATTAAATAGAACGTGTTGTCTATATTTAAAGTTGCGCATTTTGATGTGACGTCACATTTCTCAACCCACCCCCCTCGTCACACATCGTCACAAATGTCTGACCCCCCCCCACCTCCCAGGTGCGTGACGTCATTTATGGACGGCAACTAAGGTGGCCGTAGCCCGCCGAAATTCTAGAGCTAGAAAATTCTAACTAGAATATTTAATTAATATGCAGAGATATTCAACTGCCAAAGCACCTTAACACTGGCTTGCACCTTACAGTACCTGGTTACATATGCCACCACTGCAATTCTGGGTTCATGATTTACAATCACATGACATGTCTAAGATAATTCAACATACATCTATATTTTTTGCCATATAGGTATAAACATCTGTCTAGGTGATGGATGTGTCCACCTTCGTTAGGTGGACACAAACTGTTTTAAGTGCAGATCCATCTTTATCACTTTTGGATTCATAAAATGAATACCATTTATTGGGATGTAAACAGTGGTTATAACATGTGGTTAATGTAATATACCAATAACGTGTTTGACGTGATATATACCAATAACACCTTTGCAGTTAAACCACTTTAATGTATCGTTACCTGGGTTGTTATTCCCAATGTCGATGTATCCGTTAGCACAAGAGCAGATGTAAGATCCAATCGTGTTGACGCACTGTACAGATTGGCCTGTGCAATTTGTCAAACATTCATTGATGTCACTGCACATTCTGCCATCTCCTGTAAAGCCTTGTTTGCAAGTGCAGTTGTAGGAACCCTCGTTGTTAGAACAGGCGGCATTGGTATGGCATGCGTTTTGAATTGCACATTCATTAATATCTGCAAAAACAAAAGACACGGCACAGTGTATGTGTGGCATTTTTTAGAGGGTGTGCATTTATTCTATGACGTCATACCTACAGTGTATTTACCGCATTGCAACAGACTTTAATTGCATTTGCTGTCAATAACAAAATACTTTATATGCACACACAATTCTAACTATGTGTTTAACAATCCTTATTTAGAACTGCTATTTATGTTTAGTTTGTTGTCCTTCCCTCTGCACCTCCGATAAGCACAGTTGGCTACGTATGGTGCAAAAGAAGTTCAAAATACATACAGTACAATCTGGGTTACCTTTTGAGATTATCCCCTGTTTTATGGAAATGATATACTCAATATTACAACTCTTATCCGTTGGTTTTTCATTGTACCATTAATCCATATGGAAGTTTACTGCTTCACATCTGTGACATGCTCTTTGACACATTTTCACTACCTGTGCAGTTTGTCCCATTGTAGCCAGGAGAACAGTTGCACTTGTAGGACCCTGGAGTATTCTGGCAATAGGAGTTGTTTGTGGAAAGGCAGGGATCGATCGCGGCATTACACTCATTAATATCTGCAAAGAAATTAACACAATTTTTTTTTATTTTCAACTAAGTTTAGAAGATTACAACACATTCGAGGGCACTGCACCATGAATCCGGGAATATTAATTCCGATCCCGGTCTCACGGCTAACAACCGTCGCATGCATTGACCGACGTGCTGAAATATGGGCAATCAACCCCATGACTGACATAGTGTCAGGAGGCCATCCTACAACAGTGAAAGAGGACTGCTAATTATTATTATTGTAGACTCAGACGTAGGCGACGAGGATAAAAAGTTACGAGCAACAATCTTTGTTTTGACCAAAAATAACTGTAGGCACTTAATCCAGGAGAAGACTGATCAAGGCTTATAATGATGATGTGTGTGCCCGCGTCTCTTTCTCAAGTGGAGTGTTTGTCCGTCTATTTCATTATATATATTTTTTTAATTTCTGTGTCTGCCGACTGTCTCATTTCAATGTCTATGTGTACATCTATTTCATTGTTTTATGTTGATGTCTCTGTGTCTATGCATTTGTTAATTATTCTCTTTTGTTGTCTGTGTTTTTGTTAATTCTAAAACATCGCGGCACGCCTGGGGTTATGCCATGGCGGCAGCACACCAGTTGTGGAGCAGTGCTCTACAGCACAAACTGTGTCAGTTTACTTGGCCCTGCAGTGCGATTCCTATGGCATCCAAGGTTGAAAAACCCAAGGGACCAATTTTAATAATTGGCAATGCACCATTGTATTTTGTATACAGCACTTCATACGTTTGACACGCATTTTACGACAGAACTCGTAGGATTCACGGAAGATACGTCTTTTAAAAAATCATGAATAAATTCTGAAAATGGTATGATCTACCGTGCTGTACAATTGTGCGGTGACAAAAGTCAGCTCCAGCTGAGGACGTGTGTCACCTCTTGCATCCTGCGATTATTTCATACGTTCCAGGGCCACTATTTGATCGTAAACAAACTGAAAAAAACTCCACTTTGAAACAAAAAATGACAAAAATCCAATTTTAAATATGCGACGCATTTGTAAAAGTGTGTTTACCTTGACACAAGACAGAGCCAACCCCTTGATACCCTTCCTTGCAATTGCACTCGTAGCTCCCGGGCGTGTTGAAACAGACACCATTTTCAGCACAAAGCGACGAATTGAGAGCACATTCATTCATATCTGCACATGCAGAGAACAAAATAATGTAACATTCGGATGTACATAATAAAAATACCTTTTCACTAAAAATACTTTTCTTCAAAAGTGTAACTCATAAAAAAAGAACACATTTGTGATAATGACTCACTGATGCAAATGTTTTGTTTCATATGTCATATATCGTAGGTAATTTTAAAAACTCAAATGACAATATCACAGTTTCCCGTCAGATATCTTTCAATTAACGTCACGTATAAAACTTAATATTCAAATAGGAAAAAAAATTGGTTGTCAAATCGCATTCAACTACCAAATAGATATTACCCCTTCTAATATTTACGTTTTGACAATATATTGTAACAATGTAATTGATACCTTGGCACGTAGAGCTGTCGATGGTGGTGTTGATGTAGCCAATGTTGCAAGAACATGTAAATCCATGATTGTTGTTCAAGCATGTCTGATTGCATTTGGCTGGTACTTCCAGGCATTCGTCCACATCTGCCGATCCATCAACGGTGCATAAAACAATCATGTTATGACATCAAATTTTCCCCTCTGTTTTTGAGACTGAAACAGGAGGAGGATTTCTCCACAATTCTGGTCGTCACCTGATGAGGTGCTGGTTCTAATTAGCGGCGAAACGTTGTACTCGGATCGTAAATGTTGTGGGTTTAGTCTCCAACATATCTGTGTGCTGAACGAGTAACTAATTGGCATGTTTTGTTTAGGTGACAAACCTTACTAATTGACTTTGTCTTGTGGTGGTGGGGTTTAACGACACGTTGATATCTATGCGATCGAACCGAAAAATCCTCTATTATGGATAATATTGGTCACGAAATCCTATGTGTTAATCTACTTTAAGCAGATGTACATTGTTTAAGCATTATCAGAGGTCTCCGGTTTCAATCTCATCTTCCGGCAACGGCAGCTGAAACAATAGTGGAATTTTCTTAAATCCGCCCACTTTGGTCCACGCAGAGGTGTACATGTGTGCTGCACAGTTAGTCCATGAGGCAAGTCGCGTGGGGTAAAGTGTGGGTACTCGCACCTCTTCCATGACATCTGGGATAGCATGGAAGAGTAGGTCAAAAATATACTCCAGTTGAGGTTCTCCTGCCAGCAATGGAGTGAACAAGCAATCGGAGTGCCGTACCTTTACCACCTTTGTATATGCATACCCTATGTGTTGCGTTCAACGTTCGATTTATGGTGTTTTTTATCATTTGTCAACATCCAAAATATCTGAAAGTGACAAGAGTGCTAAGTCTAATGAAAGTGTGCAATCTTGTTAAGGAAAATAAATATATGCCTATGGGACCTTTTTGTCAGGATTGAAATGATGAAAAAAGCAGAATAGGTCTTGACTTAAAGCTTTCGTGACTGCAGGAATTTATATTCTTTGGGTCTTTCGGTAAAGTCACATAGATAGGTTCAAAGATAACCTATCTACGTGACTTTAACATTTATTGTAATAACACAGGAGGTGTAATAACACAGGAGTTGTTAAGACGTTCAATCAACAAATAGACACCTTTTGCAAGGCGTCAAGGCTGCATTAACCACACACGATTTTGGCAAAACATGAAAAACAAACATGCTCTGATAATATATGCATTATCTTTGACACTAATTAGCATATACCAGAGACATGGCCTTGTCTCACCAAGACCAGAGAACGCAATAGGTTTCTACTTAGTGTTTGAACATCTTAACGCTTCTTCTTTGGTTCTTTCGGTAAAGTCACGTAGAATGAGAATAAAATAATAAATTGTGTTATTTTATTTTATCAATTTATTATTTTATTCTCATTCTACGTGACTTTACCGAAAGAACCAAAGAAGATGAATCCTTGCAGTCACGAAAGCTTTAAATCGAAATCTTAACGCTTGTGTTATTGCCAGGAAGGGTAAAACCGCTTATTCTTTTTCAATAAAAAGTTATGATTATTCATTATCACTGCAGAAAGTTGTTAATATTATTATATGGTGGATTCTTATGGCATTTGTTTTAATTGAGCAAGTAAAATTATTCATTGATTGCGTGAAAATAGTCTGTACTGCACCTTATTTCTAATGAACGAGGAATTCATCAACACAATTAAAGAGTGAAATATATACATACCGTAACACTTGCTCCCGTTGCCTGTGAGCCCAACGGGACAGGGCCCACACGAAAAGCCTAGGGAGGGTGCAGGTTCATCTGTGCAGTTCACTCCAGGATGGCAAGGGCTGTCTACACAGGCATTGTAGTCGTCCGTGCAGTACACTCCCGCGTAGCCAGGATCACACAGACAGCCGGAAACCTTCAGACGATCGCAGCAACACGGCAAATAAATTAAGCGTGACATGGGTTATGTACGCAAACTAAAGGCATCTCCCCCCTAAGGGCCGATCAAGCATTATGATTGAACGGTATTCAAGAGCACAGAAAGTGGTAAATGTGTGGGTTATAAAATAGATAAACTGAAATGCTGTTTTCTGACCTCACATCCAGATAAAATATTATTTTACCATAATTACATAATTTTGCCCTAAGTACTCGATTAAAATGTACATTTGAATAATTATAACATTTTTAATGTTTGGTAAATTTTTATGCAGCACTATGCTTGCACATATATGGATATTTAAATACATTCTTGAACTTTTGAATGAGAAATTCATTATTAAAAGCTAGAATAAATTTAATAACTATTAATATATTTTAAAAATACAGACTTTCCACCAGCACAAGGTGTCCACCATTTAAGAATAACACCCAAGGGATCACTTGAATTCACATTCAGTAACTATTTTAATATATAGATATTTGACCAACTTTATATATATTTTTTAAGCGTGAAAACTGAACAACAAATACAACTTTCATGTGAAAAAACACATCCTAATTTTGTGGGGAAGAAACTCACAAAGCAATCTCGTAATTTAACATAGAGTAAAGAAAGCCAACACATGCGTCAATAACACTGCCCTGAAGAGGAAATACATATTGTATATATATTCATAGCTACGAAAGAGGGACATCGTCTAAACGTTACTCATTAAATATATCATTTGTATTTAAGGGCAATGTTATTGAAATGTGTTCAGTTTGTGTTATTTGCACTTCTGCCCCAATGCCGAAGCAATATCACACTGTTTTGGTTCATAGAATGGAAGGAGAGTGACCCATTAAAAAAATTCGTGTTTAACTTTCCAGAAAAAGTGTTTTCTGGAAACAACTATCATGTAATGGCTGTGAGTGAACTGGTCAAGTGAATGACTGCCCAACTGACCTGGAAAGTGGATCCGTCGCTGCCGGTGATGCTCAGGGTGGTCTGGTTGTAGTTGCACGTGGAGTTTGCGCTGCAGTTGCACAAGGTGAGGTTGAGCAGCAACGAAGAAGAGGCCTTGCCGTTGCTGGCGCTCACTACGCCAAATGCTGGCTCTGAGCTTCTGGGGCTCCACGTCAAAGTCCCATCGGCTGCAGAAACCCACCACCAGCAACAGCAGTAATCAATGAGCACAGATAATTGTGTTTGTATAGATGTTCAGAAAATTATATTTTTGCAGAATTTTTTGTTAGGCTAGTTTTTATTTTGAAAAATAGTAATTTACCAGAAGTATTTTACTGAAAGAAAGAAAAACAAGGGAAGGTACAACGTATGGTCAGGCAGGGTAATAAGGTGGGCAACCTCGAGGGGTGAAGAGTACAGTAACACCAACAAGCGAGGTAGGGTCCCACACAGGGAGTGCACATTATAAGTGAAAAAGACACAGTAGAGTGATGTATTTTAAATACTGTAAAATATATTTCTGAATGTATTACACAATAAAAAATATTAACCAGTGCAACTGATGGTCCCGCTTATGCATTGCATATTTCCAGGACGAAATTGGTCCGGTCAACCTTGTAACAAAGCCCAATGTCAGCTCAAGTTCTGACCTGGTAAAATCTATTTTCTGACTTGGAGTCTCTAAATCTCCAAATATCCACAATTCAACTAGTTAAATATTCATCATCTCTGTTCTTAATCAAGCTCTTTTTGTTCCTGGCCACCTTCAGAGGCATCGGGGGGCTCTGCCACCCAGCAAATTTGTACGAAAATTGGCACCAAGTTGAACTATATGTGGAATAAAATATAACAGGAACCTTTCTAAAATTTTACATCGAGATGTCATTTTATTTAGCACGGAAAACATTAAATTATCATCACGTAGAGCAACAATTGTATGAATTCCAACCACTGACTTCTCAAAAATGCCAAAATAAATCACACACACACCTGTGATGTTGAGGTCTGAGGAATTTCTTGAAATGGTAAATACAATGGTGTCGTTGTTCGAGTCCACTGCGCTGATTTTGACTGTAACTACTTGATTCAGCATGGTAGAAATTTGCCCGTCGCTGGTAATGTTGGGAGGGAAGTTTTCTGAAATAAAACAACACATATCACTTATAGATTCATGCACAATAACACGCCTGCGTGTTAGGACATGTCTGTGTTATAATAATAATAATTTACATTTGTGAGGCAAATGTAAATTATTGAGTGATGCAACGATGTATCGATACTCAATGGTTAATTAATCTGCGACTTTGAGATAAGTACATTGTTAACAAAACTAGACTTTAACACACTAAAATAGTAATTCCCATATTATGGAAGCTCCGAAGTAAAATAAAACAGGTATTTAAAAAAAAATATGTACTGATGCATATGTTATGGTATCACTAGTGTCGCTTTACTCAATTAGTGTGTTAGATGTACAACTATAATTTATTGCTTTTCGATTTAAAGCTTTCGTGACTGCAAGGATTCATCTTCTTTGGTTCTTTCGGTAAAGTCACGTAGAATGAGAATAAAATAATAAAAAAATAATATAAAATAACACAATAAAAACTCAACGATGGCAGCTATACAAAACTAAAAAGAGAACCCACCAACAGCCTGGTTACCAAAACGAACAAAATCATCTCTGTTTCAACAGCATTAATAGATCAGACCAAACAGTTCTCGTTGAAACCCTCTGCTGCCAGACCACCAAGATTATATGGCCTTCCAAAGATACACAAAAAAGATACACCCCTTCGTCCCATCATCTCTACTATAAACTCCCCCACCTATAAATTGGCACATTTTCTTGCTGATATACTGCGACCTTTCACTGGAAAAAAACACCTCTGCGGTACTAAATTCTACTCACCTGGTATCGACAATCAATGGTATTTCCCTGTCCCCAGACGACCTGCTTGTCAGTTTTGATGTGGTGTATTTGTTCACCAAAGTCCCGGTACCTGACACCATCGCTATCATTGAAGACCTGGTTCATCAAGGACTGCATACTGATGTACCCTCCCTGGTGAGACATTGCTTAACCAACACATACTTCACCTGGAATGGAACTTTCTACAAACAAACTGAGGGCACCCCAATGGGCCCCCCCCTATCTCCGGTTGTAGTCAACGTATTCATGGAAAAATTTGAAACTGACGCCATCCAGACTGCCACTCTACGCCCGACCTTATGGAAGAGGTACGTGGATGACACTTTTGTCATCTGGCCACATGGCCAGCCTGCTCTAGACCAATTCCGCGACCACATCAATTCCATACACCCAGCCATCAGATTTACCATGGAAGTCGAAAAAGATGGCAAGCTACCTTTTTTGGATGTCCTAATAAAAAAGAGACCTGATGGTTCAATGAGCCACTCTGTCTACAGGAAAGCTACCCATACGGATGCTTCTCTGAAACCGGATTCCCACCATCCATCACAGAAGAATTCTCTCATCAAGACTCTGTACCATAGAGCCCAATGCATTTCCGACCAGGAACACATTACCAGTGAACTCAAGCACATACACCAGGCTCTCAGGGCTAATGGTTACTACGACTACACAATCCGCAAAGCCATCACTCCAGTCATGAAGAAGGATCCTCTTGTGGAGCCACTCAAAACCATCACCTTACCCTACATTGCAGGGGTCACTAAAAAGATCTCCAAAATCCTGAATAAACACAAGATCCAGGTCCGATTCAACACAGTACATAAAATCCGTGATCTGGTTCCATCTGTAAAATATGCTGTTCCAGACATACAGTACCCGGGCGTTTACAAACTAAGTGCCTCTGTGGTAGTAGCTACATTGGAGAAACCAAACGACATATCTCGGACCGCATCCGCGAACATAAAGCAGACTTGAAACACGGTAGAACAAACTCCTCTGCCGTGGCAGATCACTGTTATAATTCAGTGGGCTCACATGACATTGACTTCTCCAAGACAGAGGTTCTTTGCAAACCAACCGGCTACCATGAGAGATTCGTTCATGAGGCCATTCACATATACAAGCACAGAGATAATTTCAACCAGGAAGATGGATTCTGGCTTAGTAACCATTGGAAAGATGTTTTAAACCATATCGGTTCTTAATTAATTATATTATACGATGACCTTCAGACCACAGCTCTTTCGCTGGCATTGACTCTTAATACCTCTTACACCACGGTTAATGGTATAGTTTACAACATGGAGTATAACAGTGCCTCGCAGCTGTCTCTCTCCCCCTCCTCCGTTCCGACCATGGATGAACTCGTCCGTCTGAACGGGGCTCGTAGCTATCCGTGGTGCTAAAGTTGAGGGTAAGAATCCACCCATTTTTTCGCCATATAGCATTGTGATATATAACGACTTATTGTTGGTAGCTTAGCTGATTGGAGAATATATAGAGTTTATTGATAACATTGAGGTGGTTTATATTTTAGTTTTTTATTGGTTTACTATATGGTATTCATTATATAGTGTAGTGTATACCCAGTTACTGTTAATAGCTCAGCTTATTGAATAATATATTGAGTACATTTATTATATTGATGTAATTTAGACGTAGGTTTTTTCACATCGGTTTACTATATGATAATCGATTGGTTGCAGCCCCTTTGGCGTCCATGTACTAGGTGCCTCTGTAGATGTGTAGGCTTTGACTTTAACATAGCTATTTCTATGACCAGTCACAAGCTAATCCCTCAGTTATTTCAATGCTAAATTCTCCTGTTTGATTTATACTAGGTGCCTCTGTGGATGTGTAGGCTTTCACTTTAACATAGCCATTTCTGTGACCAGTCACAAGCTAATCACTCAGCTATTTCAATGCTAAATTATCCGAACCAAACATTAAACTAATTTTCAATGGTACAGTATAATTTCATCATGCTAAGTCCGCCAATTAAATGCTATTTTTTATGCTAATTCCTTTGTCAAGGCGCTCTGTTTCTTCTCACACAGCTTAAAGGTCGCGGTCTGAACTTGGCTGTGTTCGCTCCAGCGCTGTCCTCCAGACAGTCTCGTCCCTTCACCTGATGAAGGCCACTTGTGTTGTGGCCGATACGTCGTGAGAATTTTATTGTGCTATTTTATTTTATTATTTTATTATTTTATTCTCATTCTACATGACTTTACCGAAAGAACCAAAGAAGATGAATTTATTACTTATTCTATAATACATGTTCTGTCGTGTGTTTGAAATATTAATGTAGGACGCCACTGTTTTAACTATTTGACAATTTAACTCCTTAGATGCTTCAGTATGGCTCACTGAAGTCGTAAATTATTCTAAAGTAACACATGATGTGAACATTGTCCTCAATGTCACAGCTCAGCTTCTCTTAAGTGACTGCTAATCAGGCATGTAATGTTTAATACATTGTGAGAGATGCTTGCACACTCACGAATCGTGCAAATAAGACTGAAAAGGATTGATTAGTTATGATTGTAACCATATTGTATGCACGTTATACGCTATTCTTGCATTCAGGATAATGCGGCACACACGTCTATCTCTATGAAGAAACAATACAAATGACAAAAAAAACATCTGGGCCAGGGGGCTGATTGTTACATGCCTACTTCATATTGTCAGGTCAAGAATTTATGTGGATGTACAATGCTACTTTCTCCACTGGCACATCTGAGCCGAGCCAGCGGGAGGACGCTTACGGTACGGGGTTTTTCCCACTGGCTATTTGCCATGCTGAGCTGGAAACAAACCATGATACATTCATCTCACTAGACGTCTGAATCTGGCTCGGGGCCAAGCAATGGCAGGAGCAGAGTTAATTACGATGCAATTGCGTATAACATCAGTCAATACACAAAGGACACAGCATCAACGCTTCACGTACACGCATCTTGCCTCGTTTGTTGCGTGTGATATAAGTAACCTGACCCACCCCTACTGGACATCCGTGAAAAAGAGCTTCACGGCTCATCGGATTCCTCCAGTCTAAATAAAAATTTCGATTCTGAAGTGGCACGGCTCAGCTTCTCCAGTGGAAGGACAACTTTGGCGCCACGTGAGCTGCACCGTGGCTGCCTTGGGCAAGGTCCCGGGCATTGCTCGAGTAATACAGTGAAAAAAGAGGCACAGCATAATTCAACTCACGTAGAGCTTTCTGCTGAGAGCCAAATTCCATAGCGCTCTGCGATGTGGCCAGCGCAAAGGTTCTGTCGCCGGTACTCAGCATGTCAAATATGCAGTCGAACTGTCCTCCACATAATTCCTGAATGTCGGCAAGTTGTTTTGCAGATGTCTGATTTATGAGTTCTTCATAGAATGTAGGCACAAAGCTGTTGTTGTTGAATGTGGACCAAGTCTCCCCACTGGTGGCGTTATAAGTAAACAGGCTTGTGCTTGGCTTTGTTTGCCCTGTAAAGAGACGGCATATTTTTGTCGAAATGTGTTTCTAAGAAACATTATTGATATACGTAAGCAGCAACAAGTATAAACCAACAGTACAAACGCTCGGTTATTTCAGTTTTAAAAGCTGCAGTGCAAAGCACCAAGGTGGATTCATAATTCACTTATATTTTATATTGACAATTTGTGGAATGTAACTGGTGTTCTTGTCGCTCACATAATTTAACGTTTTATTAAAGTCACTATGAATATACACTCTGCTCAACGTAGCAGGCAGATGTGTCACCTTAGTGAACACGTTTATAAGTCTTTGCTGGTAAATCTGAAGAGTCTTCTATCAAATGAGCACATACAACATATATATTACATATCAGTCGTATGATGCGTGTTGGTTTTTTGCAACAGAAATAGCTGCTGATAACATGTAACAAAATGTTTGATAAGGTAAAATATCAGTGGTATCTTGACTTAAAGCTTTCGTGACTGCAGAAATTCATACTCTTTGGGTCTTTCGGTAAAGTTTCGTAGATACCCAAAGAGTATAAATGATGTAGTTTAACAGACCTCTCTTTATTCTGCCAGCCTAGCAATGCCGTGACAAGCGAGAGTACCCGATCCATGTCGTTATTTGTTTGCGAAATGCAATGTTCGATTCACAATTCATAACTACATTAATACACCTTGAGTTCACTTACATGTAATTCCAAAGCTATAATATATTTGCGATTCAGGAGGCACACTGCTTCCATTGAAGCGAAGAACTGTTCCATTTGAAGCTTGAAAGTCATCGGTGGGATCCTTGTTGAAAACACCTGCAAAGAAATCCCATTTTTCATATATCAGAAAAAGATTTACGTCCAAATTTAGTAGCATGTCAAAACACATCGTTTTTCTTAACAAGACAGCAGATCAGGCTGGCTCATGAAGTTGCTTCTAATTTAACTTTATTTTGATTCCTGGAGTCTCGGACAATGACTGTGAAGCTCAAGAAAGAAATTCAGGTAAATGCGTAACTAAAAACACAGTCAATAACATTGCCAAAATAGTAAAGAAATACGTAATAATTCATGATTATGGCAATCGTCTTTATTCGTAAGTCAAAAATCCGTAACACTATACAGTAATACCTCGTTATTTCGGTATTTGATCATTCGGAATTGGGGATAATTCAGCACGGCTGCACTTTCAGCATATATACAATACTACTTTAACACGTAGGCTTTCGCGACCAATATTATTCATAATAAAGGTTTTTGGGTTAGATCGCGTTATTTATAAATGTGTCTTAACCCTCCACCACCCGACACGGCCAATCAGCAAAAAAAAGTGTCACGTTGACAAAAGACAAATAATTCACTACTTTAGCCCACCGGTGTGTTGAAGAGTGAATCCACAACATTTACAGTTTGAGTACGACGTTTCGCTGGTAAATACATCCAGCATCATCGGGGCAATTCGCCAGAATTGCCCGATTCGCCAGAATTGCCCGATGATGCTGGATGTATTTACCAGCGAAACGTCATACTCAAACTGTAAATGTTGTGGATTCACTCTTCAACACACCGGTGGGCTAAAGTAGTGAATTATTTGTCTTTTGTCAACGTGACACTTTTTTTGCTGATTGGCCGTGTCGGGTGGTGGAGGGTTACGACACATTTATAAATAACGCGATCTAACCCAAAAACCTTTATTATGTATACAATACTAGCTTTACTACACGGCTTCACCCGGGACTTGGATTCACCACGCCCGGCCGTCTTTGTCTCCCCAGTGGCGATGTTCACACCACAGCAATTACTCGTTTGAGGCTGAGTCGACCTAGGGGAGGCCCAGGACCAGTTCAAATAATCGTCACCGGTGGTGGCCGTGAGCGGGAATTTAACTCAGGTCGCCGGATTTGAAGCCCAGAAGGTGATGGGGATGAGTCAATTCATGAAATGGATTCGAACGCTCTTCCCTGCTACAGCTCCATCCTACCGGATTAGGGACAATGACGAGCAAAGGTTAAAAGCCATTGACTGTGTGAAGGGCAGCTTCATTGTGACTCACCCAGCAGGCCTTTCGTGCGGTTGATAAAACTCTCTTGCAATGAGGTGATGAAGTTGAGGGCCCCAGAAACGCTGGACACGTTCAATGAGATGCCCGATGCGAAGGTGGCTACCACATGTCCGTCTGACCAATTGATTGACATGGTCTGATTGTAGATGGCATCTATATGAGAAAAACAAGGTGACAATTTAATATAACGTGGGCACATAAAAGTTAGTTTTTATGCCCTGTTTCCACACCTATTAGGATCTGAACCCTGTTGGCCCAGTACCGGTTCATAAATATCAACAGGGGCCCTGGCCATTGGCCTCCATGCTCCACATGGTTCCAAAGTCTTCACCATTTCTGCTCCACCCACATTCCCCCCTGCCCACTATCATCCCGCAGACAATAGGGTGGATGCCAGGAAATACATCGTCTAAACACGTGGTCTTTATCAAAGTGTAAGGGCATAGATCAAGTGATTACAGGCAAAGTTTCAATATTCTTGCACTGCTGAGTAGATTTTCGTGATTGTGCTGTATAGCTCTCCGATATGTTTTAGGGCTATACTACGTTGTTTGGCATATTCAGTTTCTGCAGAAGCTCTCAACACGTGGAGCAAAACGTCAGACATCATGCCAAACAAGACGCGAAATGCACCACACACATCAGAGCTTAAATATATAGTTTTTGTATTTTTCATCTTATGTTATTCTTCTTTATCCATGAAAGCGTCACGAAGTTTCATTACTCCTGCCAAGTTGATCGCTCTTTATATTCCAATTGAGTGAACTTTTCAAATTTCACAATTGATGTTACGGAATTTTAAACGTCCTCTGTGAAACAGACAGTGAGTATTTGTATGTATTTATTTGTATGGTTAATAAACTATAAAAACTATAAAACTATTTTTTATTTTACCAGATAAGGCCCAGTGAGCTATATAGCTATTTTTCAGAAGCGACCTTGCCACAACTAATAGCTCAATGAAGTGGCTTATCATGTGGACAGTTATCGCAGCCAAATACTCTAAACGCATGTTTATAAATGTGGAGGGAATAACCGGAGGACCCAGGGAAAAATCTATGCGACCATGGGAAGAACATGCAAACTCCTACTATACAGGCATCAGGGTCAGGATGGAACACACAACCTTCTGTATACCATGCGATGTAGTTAACATCTCGCCACCGTGGCACCCTAATGCACCTATAGTAATAATAACCAGGGGTTGCAACAAATGGCGAACATGCTACCGCTAGGCCATGTATTTTTACACTAAAATAGACGGAGAGTTGAACCAAGAGAGTGATGTAATGGCATGTGCACATATCTATTCCATGTTGACTTCAGGATGTCGAAAATGCCTCCAGAATAGTCCCAGCCCCAAATGGATCCTTTATTGACAAACACAGCTGGTGCAAAGCCCTGTTCGGTAAACCAATTCGATCTATTTGACAGGCCAGTTGATGCGAGAACGCTCAGGCTCTCTAGTACTGCCCCACAACAACAGAACGGCGCAAATTGTGGTACCCATTGGCTGTAGAAATGAGGTATTATAGAATGTTAAATTGTTTATACAAACCTTCAACTTTAATACAGAGGGATCAAGACTTGACTCATGTCACTGATGTGACCTGAGTCAATGGTATGGATATCATTAGGACTCCACAGATTAAAATTAAGCATATTATCACCGATACAATTTGTCTTCGAGCGTCATGTATACAAAACATACAGAGAAACACAGTATATACTAAGCACAGTGAAATATAAAAACAGATACTGCATCAGTTTTTTTTTGTCCAGGTAAAACATTCAGTATTATTTACCTGTTGAATTGATCTGTTTGCCATCTACCAGTACTACTATGCTGCTGTTTTTGAGAATCCATTCAACCTGTAAAAGGAAAATTAAACAGTTTGTAAACAATCAGGGGTAAAAACGCACTTATGTGTTGTCATTGAGAGGTATGGGTAATAAAAAACAGGACAGAAAAGTAGATTTTTCGACGTAAAAAATAACATGAATAACGGATGCTTACTAACATCTCAGGTGTAATTTTTCGTGAATGCTTCTGTCATGTGCTGTTGAAGATCACTCAAAACTTTCTGGCTTTTTCACATTACCCCACAGTTCCACCGTGCCGTAAAAAAACTGCTACATAATTATCATTGTTAAATAATGTATTAAACATTCATCTATAGTTTATAAAGATGGGCTATAAGGTAAAGGTGCAGCCCTGCAATTTCACGCTCATGCCACTTCTGGCAAAAGAGTGTCCACTAGAGGGAGCACGAGAAAGTCCCTCGATGTATGTACGTTGAACTTCTTTCACACCGTACGTAGCTAACCGTGGTGTATTTTATTGCAAAGTATATGTAATTTTTAAAGATATTTGTTAATCCACTGCTGGATTAAGACCTCCCTATATGCTGTGTTAGCCGAGGTGGCTGTTTGACCAAGTTTCACCGCATTGCTCAGTGCAGGTTGGTAAACGGCGGGAGCCCAAGGCCAATTCATATATCAATTGTTGGCCACACACATCTTAGAAGAGGTGGGAGTACGCACACATTACCCCCATACACGCGTGATCTGCCGATCAGATCGTCTGTGGGGTGCCCATTTAAACTGCTGGGTGGACAGAGGCGGTGGGGGGGGGGCAATTTACGTCTTTAAGCTTGGGAACCTAATATTTGTCAAGTGATTTGCGTGTACCTTAATGCCGCCGGTCTCCTGTGCAACAATGGCTATGAAGGACGTTGCTTTTGAAGAAATATTGGTGGAGGCATTGGTCCTCGCAATTCCTGTGCGGCCCTGCATGGTGAAATTCACCCCATCTCCAACCGCTTCCAACACAGTGTACTCTCCCAGGCCATTGAAGGTGTACGAGACATTGTCCAGGGTGGTGATGTGAGGGTCGCCAATGAGAAACGCTGCAATGAAAAAGTAACCAAGTTCACAATGCCGGATCGCTGGGGTCATAGCGCAGTACGCTAACCATTGCACCACCATTCCACCCAATTCATGTTTTGTTTATATTCATGAACTATACATTTTTTTAAACGATATTCAATTTGACATTGGGTGGTGCTTATCTGGCCCGAAACCGGGATGAACGTTCCATATGACTGAGTTTACACTTATCATAGGATTGTAGTTTTTTTGCAAAGTGCCACTTATTGGGGGATGATGGGCTCAGTTGATTGCAGACCAAGATCAACATGTGAACTCTATTAATATATACCGTGTATCTTGTGAATATTTCTCATTCAAGTTTATTTCAATGCCTGAAATGGAGACTCATGTTGCAGCATATCCTGTAATCATAGTTGGAAAGCACTGGTCTTTATTTATCAAGCAATGATCTTTGAAAGCTTAACCCATGGGTGACCACATTGGACATCTGTGAAAAAGAGCATTATAGCTCATCGGCTTCCATCAGTGTAAATACATTTTGATTCTGAACATTTAAATAAACGTAATTCTTAAAAGAGGAATCTTACCAGCAAACGGTGGCCTGTAGAAAGCACATTGGTTGGGAGGGCGTTTCTGTTGGTACAGCCTGCAAAACCTGGCATCTCCAGACTGGCAACATGATCGATATGGTTCTGTTTCATTTGCTGGAAACAACAACAAAAAAGTGTTTGTGTGTAACATCATTGAATTAGTTCTCCACTGTGTTTTCGGTTTGTACTGTGTATTATTCAACGTGAGGTCTGACGTTTTGCTCAATGTGCTGAGACCTTGTTCAGGAACTGAGAGCTTCCTCGGGAGCTGAAAGAAGCTCCCAGCACATGAAGGTAAACACCATAGTGAGCAATACGCAGTGCAATCCGAAAATGGATGAAACAACGCAACCGAGAAAAACTTACACATGAGTAAGGAGTAATAATTTTATAAATGTATCACCACACTTATAAAGGCAAAAAAATCCCGCTGGCAATCCAGGTACACAATTCCCTAAGCACTTGTAACCACATCAAAGTTAAAAGTTAAAGATGACTGACAAATCTTGACTTAAAGCTTTCGTGACTGCAGGAATTCATATTCCTTTGGTCTTTCGGTAAAGCCACGTAGATAGAAAAAAATATTTCAAAATAAAAATAATAACAATATCACGACGTTTCGATCGCAACACAAACAATCGTCATCAGGTGAGAGCTGCTGAGGTAGGAAAAAAATATATGGCGGGAGCGCTGCTAAGGCAGGGATTTATAAAGGTTTGAGATGGGTGCAGCCCAAAGGTCAGTGGGCGGGGCTAGAGTTTAAATTTGCATGTAAATGTAAAATAGGAGAAATCTTGATAATTGTGGGGATGGCCATTGTATTGTGAGAGATTAGCATAATAATAGGGGTTTTCCCCTTTTTTCTGGCAACAAAACTGAAACCTTTTTACAAGGAATCATGTGTGCATTAACCACAATACTTGTGGTCTAATGATGACAGAGATGAGCATGTCAATGTAAGAGATTTGCTTGTAAATGTAAGCTAGGGAGAGCTCGGACATCACCACATGGAGGTGGAAAAGGATGGCAATCCGCTGTGGGGGAGGCCATTGTATTGTGAGAGATTAGCATGTCAATGTAAGAAAGTTGCTTGTAAGTGTAAGCTAGAGAGAGCTCAGAAAGGAGCATCGCCACCTGGAGGTGGAAAAGGATGGTAAGTCGCCATTTACTAACACAGCTAATGGTGACTGTGTTAGTGAATGTAACTAAAAGAGTCGAAGATAATTGCTAACACAGGTAGCCAGGAAAGGAACAACACAGCCAGTTATGACCTAAACTAGTTAATAACGTCCTTCCAATGATTGCTCAGTGTGTACCCATCTTCTCGGTTGAAATTGTGTCTGTTTATATATCTGGATGGCTTCATGGACAATTCTTTGCTGATAGCCAGTAGGTTTGCAGAGTACCTTCGTCTTGGCAAAATCAATTTCGTGTGTGCTCACAGCGTTAAAATAATGATCAGCCACGGCTGAGCTATTGGTCCTACCGTGTTTCAGATCTGCCTTATGCTCACGAACCCAGTCCAAGACATGTCGCTTAGTTTCCCCAATATAACTGCTACCGCAGACACAGCTTAGTTTGTAGACACTGGGGTATTGCATGTCAGGGATCACATCCTTCATAGATGGGATCGAATCACGATTTTTATGTACTGTGTTGAATCGTACCTGGATCTTGTGTTTGCTCATGATTTTGGAAATATTTTTGGTGACCCCTGCTATGTATGGCAAGGTAATGGTTTTGATTAGGTCCTCAGATGGTTCTTTCCCTCAGCCACCATTAGCTGTGTTAGTAAATGGCGGCTTGCCATCCTTTTCCACCTCCAGGTGGCGATGCTCTTTTCAGAGCTCTCTCGATCGCAACACTAGCAATCGTGATAATTTACAAGCAAATTTTTTACATTGACCTGCTAATCTCTCACAATACAATGGCCACCCCCACAACTTCGTTTATCAAGATTTCTTCTACCTTACATTTACATGCAAATTCAATCTCTAGCCCCACCCACTGACCCTTGGGCTACACCCATCTCAAACCTTTATAAATCCCTGCCTTAGCAGCGCTCCCGCCATATATTTTTTCCTACCTCAGCAGCTCTCACCTGACGACAATTGCTTGTGCTGCGATCGAAACGTTGTGATCTTGTTATTATTTTTATTTTATTTTTTCTATCTACGTGGCTTTACCAAAAAACCCAAAGAATATGACTGACAAAATGTAATAATCCTGAACTTGTAATCATTCAAATGTGAGTCAAGCATTTTTCCAAAGTGCCATTAGGCCAGGAACAATTACAGGTGTAAATAACGTGAGTGTAAATAAGGTAATAAAATTGCATATCATAGAAACAAAAACCTTGTTCTTGCACTTTCCCGCAGAGTCTCTATTCATTACTTTTCACAACAGAAGGGCCTCCACTTCAGGAAGCTCTAGAGGCCATCTCTAAAGGCGTATTTGATCTATGGCTCCATGCTTGCCAGACAATTTGGAATAGGTGGCAGTACCCACATTCTACCCCACCACACACTAACAGCATATCTACCTAACTGTGGTGTACCGATTTATATGCTGGGTGGACAGCGGCGGTGGGAGATTTAAGCCAATTTACAACACAACTATTTTGCACTATTAAAATCACTTACTCGAGTAAAGTTGAATGTCTTGCTGAGTGTTCGTGACCCAAGGGGTAGGAAGATACCTCTCATACGACCCAGACACAAGGGCCCCAAATTTGTTGTAGTGGCATCTCACCCCTCCACCAAATCTATCTTTATTGAAGCTTTGCAAGCTCCAAAATGAACCTGGCACAAATACACATTTTCCGCATTAATATGATAGAATTTCAACAGGGGGGGGGGGGGGGGGGGGGGGGGCGAGCGGGAATCGCTATTGTTATATTCACATTTAAGCATTTACATGTATTGGATTAAAGTGATATTGCCATATAGATATAAACAGATGAACCTATATATTTTTTTCTGGTACAGAGATGAGAGTATAATCAATTGTGCAACAGAGACAGAGTTTGTAACTTAATGACAAGTGTATTTTTAAAGATGTAAATATAGCTAGTCAGTTATCTAAATATGTGGTTATCTGGTGTTGATCAAATTGGTAATTTACTACAAATAACATCAGAAATATAAATCACTTAGTTTCAATTACATCATCATAAACTGCAACATATTTTTTCATCACTAATATGCAGGACAAAGGATAATCTTACAATTGATGGTTTATACAATGTAATTTATGCAGTGACTTCTTTTAAAAATTTCCCAAAAGCAAGTTAATGTTCAGCCTCACCTGTGACATTTGGAGGCTGGTAGCCATATCTGGATATGTCCCCATTGATGTAGGACATGTCAAACTGTCCTTGCCACAAAGAGCAGGGACAGGTAGTGAATCTGCTGATGGAAGGCAGGGCTAACTCATTCCTATACCAGTCCATACACTTGCGCTTTGGATTAGTGGTCACAGCCAAGTTTGTATCCAGCCTGTAAGCCCATCTTCCTTTTAGACCTGCAACACATTAATTTATTGACGTAATATGTAATTTATAAACTCACCATCAGTATTGACAAAAGGACTGGAAAATTAGAAATAAAAAAGCCACATGGGGACCACAACACTTAGTCAACACAATGTCATGGACAGAAAATACACACACATTAACTAGCTTGGATAACAAGGTCGACCATTGCTGCTTTAAAGTAGTGTCCTATATATAGCATTTGCACTCAACTACTTAAAAAAACTACAGTATATATTATAATTAATAAACGGGCATAGACATATCAGAATATTAATTGTTTCAAAAACCACAAATGAAATGCCACTTCACTGCAGGTAGCACCGTGTAATTTTTTTAAACAATACATTGTAACAAAATTATTGCCACTAGCGATGTTTTACCCATGGCACACCAAGAATGTAATGCATGGGAAAAGAAAAATACAACGGTAAAAAAGGAAAAAAAGAGAAAGAATGGGGAAATAAGAGTAAAATAATGGAAATTAAATTGGAAAACGTGAGCATATGGTCAGGAAAGATGAGGAGAGGGTGGAGGCCACATAAGAGCCTCGATGCTGCACGGAGCAGCATCTGTTTTCACAGGGGGTGGGGAGACGGGAGGGATTCAGACTGCAAGTAGTCACACAAAGGTCACGTGATTTGCGAGAGGCTTGAGCTCATTTAGATATGTAAATTTACCCAGGAAATTCTTGTTTAACCAATAATCTTGAATGTTTGGCATGTGGGAGGAAATCAGTGATACCTATCTTACCAGGAACTCTTACGAACCAAGTAGTAACCTAGTTTAATCCTGGTTATCTTCTGAGATCAGGCAAGAAAATAGAGGGGAATTGCTAATAGGAATGATGTGCCAAGTTACAAAAATGGTTATTGGATGTCATGGTAAGTTGGTGGGAAAATGTCTCTTTGGCAGTGATAATCACCACAATAACAAAACATGAATAGCAACATTTAATTAAATGAACTGTGGTATTTAACACGTAGGCTTTCACGACCAATATCCATAATAGAGGGTTTTTTTGGGTTGGATCGCGTAAATATATAAATGTGTCATTAAAACCCACCACCACCCAACACAGCCAACTAGTAAGGGTTGTCATGTAAACAGAACATGCCAATTCGTCACTAGTACAGCACACCGGTGTGTTGGAGAGCCAAGCCACAACATTTACAATCTGAGTACTGTCGGGTGTGGTATTAAAAATACACAAATGCTAAAATATTAGAATTAGATGAAGATGCTGCTTCAATGAACTTTTAAATGAAATTTAAATAATAACAAATTATTCTATGATACTGCATTGGCAGTTGTCAAGAGAGGCCAACGTGCTGTGAAGAAGGGCCGTTGCCCTCTCTGTGCTGTGAAAAGGGCTGTAGCCCTCTCTGTGTGCTGTGAAAAGGGCCATTGCCCTCCCTTGTGTGCTTTGAACAAGGGCCATTGCCCTCTGTGCTGTGAAGGACCGTTGCCCAAAATATCACCTTAAACAATAACTGGTTTCATAGACACCCTGTAACAAGCTACTGTTCAGGGACATAGCGATCTATCACACTCAGCGGGACGGCACTAGCGTAAGCTAAAAAAAATACAGTTGTGGTTGTGTGCATGACTTTTATGAAGACTGGTTGTGAAAGATCCATGCTCTTTGTTTAAAATTAACCTTTATATGATATTTCAAGGAATGTGTGCTGCATCATGCAAGTGGTAAACCAACCAACTTTTATGGAGAAGCAACGTGTAAAAAAACAAATGTTTCACGTTAAAATAACGCATTTTGATGTTTTACAAATGGCAAAGGAAATCCACATTTTGTATCAAACAGTGCAGCCCCGGAGGGTGAGTGGTCACCATATATGGCCATTTTGTGTAGAAATGTCATCAACCATGATGGATTTTTTAACTAAAGACTGCCTATTACATAATTTCAGTTAAATCGTGATTGACAACCCATAATTCCTTTGGGGGTAAATAAAGTGAGTACCCTGCCATATAATTTGGCTCTGGGCTACAAAATGAGCGCTTGCCCACGTTCTATTGTACGGGAAATTAATTGATATTTTTACAGTAAAAAAAATCGAGTACAATTAATATTAATATAGTGGATGCCACGAAGGTTATGGCTCAATGTCCCCCCATTTAATTTATCTCCTTATTGCTTGCTCATAAAATGTTACACACATTTTTGACATGTTGAATAATTGAAGAATCTATTTACCAAACGCATCCAGACATTTAGATAGTAGAAATCAACACGGCAATGTCGGACCACATAGAAGCCTGAGAACGTCCGAATACAGATTGTCCTGTCCCATCCACCAAATAGTCCAGACCTGGTACCCTCACATTCACGTGCGCTAAGACATAAAACTTTAAAAAAATTTCATAAAAAATATATATTGTTGATGAAAAAGAAGCCATTACTTTTATGGGAAGTCTTCTACCAAATAACCTTCCTATTAAGTTAAACATTGCTATCAATAATGAGAGAGTCATAAACATTTTTTTTCTCTCCCTCAAAAGTCACAAGCCCTGTTTGTATTTCCCCAAATACACCTCGACATCTCCGTGTGTATAACAAAACCTTAAATGAACATAATGGGAAATCCACAACAGGTGGAATATTTTTGTTCCCCTATATATGGGAAGAGCAACGTATTGCAAGTCATGTCAGAAAACACTACGCTGATTTCAATGTATTAAAGTGTACAAATGAATTACCAGTATTGTTTCCAATGACCGTATCTGGGCGATAGCGAGCTGGATTTGTCGGTCTTGACAGTGCGTCATTGTAATAGAACCGGTTTGTTCCACTGTGAGGGGCAAATAAAGACATGAGAGAATCGTTATCACTGATTTCTTTGAAACAAATGTATATTGAGCTTATCTTTAAAAATCAAAAAAATATTCGTGGCCACGTTCACGATGTTTTCTGCACACCACTGTGTTCCATGACATTGTGACAATGACAAATATTCTTTGAGCATTCAAAGACCAGTGGTCCGGTCACCGTGGTTGCCACAAACGCAATGACTGTTGACAACGTTGCACCTCACCTATTGAATCCCATGAGGGCATTGTTAGAGCCGGGGTCTCTGGCTTCTGGCCTCCATTGCATGCCTCCATCTTTGAAAAATATGAGGCAGAACGAGGAGTCGCCATCCGTGCTCAGAACGGCCTGGAAGGTGTTCGTCTGGAAGTGAAACAGCACCGTTAACTGATTAGTGATTCATTCCGAGCAGACTATCAATTGCTGGACATACGAGACTGAGTTGTAAGAGTATAAATTCAATCGTGACGGGTGATAGAGCATGCCACTATATAAAAAGTAGTAAAGTATGGATGGACAAATACACAATGTCAACTAATGTATTGCATCTTCTTGGTTCTTTCGGTAAAGTCACGTAGAAGGGAAATAATAAAATGGTTTTTATTATTTATTATTTTATTATGTCTCTTATTTCCCTTCTACGTGACTTTACCGAAAGAACCAAGAAGATGAATTACTGCAGTCACGAAAGCTTTAAATCGAAATTTTAATGTATTGCAATTGAGCAAGGAAATGCTATTTTTATATGGAATTACAGCATGTGATATTTACCTCAGTCCAAACTATAGATTTTATGACGATCCAAGAGCTAGAAATATCACGAATAAATATGCATGCTCTGTGAACACTTTGATTTATCCTTAATCATGAAAACTGTTTTTTTTTAAAGCTGTTTAATGATGTTTCTAGCACACACAAAACTTGACTAGTCTCACTACATCCGGTAGGTGGTTTCCGAGATTGTTTTGAGAATATATTCATAATAGAAATAAAAACAAATAATAGTCAAACAATCGAGAGCAGTGCAGCTATTCTTGATAAGAAAAAAAACTCAAGAGCTGCTGTGAGATTGGCCACGATGATGTGTTGACATACAACACAGAATTGTCTATTGGTTGCAATCTGAGATAAAGTCCAGTTCGTATCAAGAGTACAGTCTTGATAACCTTGGTGCGACACAGATTGAGACACATTTATAGTTCTGCAATTTAATTCATGAACACGTGGAGGGGATTTTTTCAGAAAAAAGTTAAACATTTCTTCAAAACATGTGGTAAATGCAATGCACTGTATTTCATAAGTGTTCATCCATCTCTAAAAAGTACCATGAAAAAACATTTCATATGGCACCTTCATGAAGTGGTTACCTACACCTGTGGCACGATTTTTCTAAAAACAATTTATGTCAAAATAGTGAACCAGTTAAAAATTGTAAACAAACTTAAACTTCAAGTATTTTTTTTTTCATCAAAGGTAGGCCGAAGCGCCTGCCATACATGTATGTACAACAAAGCCATGTTTACAGACATGAACTCACCATTATTACTTCTGGTATGTACCTATCCGTATCAATAAATTACCGTAATGATAAAAAACTGCCTCATAATTTTACTTGCACAAGAAAACTGCAGTACTAACAAAAACCTATAAGAAGTCTATCATTCAAGATACAGTACTAATGCAAGTACAAGTAAAAAGTTAACCTTTCTGCTGGTTTCACAGATTCGTTATTCATATTATTGATGCAACTCGACCTGGATGTACTGTATAATTGTGCTTGAGATTGGGAACATTGATGTCAGGAGGAGGACATTCATTTTCCTTCAACAGTCCCTCGAATGTCAGGAATGACTTGTTTTCACTCTGGTTCTGTGTGTTCTAAGATGGCTAAAAAGCCCAATGCGAGACCCGCAAACTCTGCCGAGGTTTGTACACGTGGTACTTGACGGGTCGAGTGGGTCGGTCGGTTGAGCTGCAGCCGCGCTCCTTTCGCTGTTTGCATTTGACTTCCTTGTGCTCTCACAGAAGAGACTTAAAGTGTGCAGTGCCGACCTGAATGCTACACATCTAGTTTGCGCGGTCTGGAGCCAAGGTCTCCCTGTGTACCAGCCAAATGATAAGCATTTAGCATAAAAAATGTTACCGTAGTGCTACGATTGTAAAATAATGGTTACCTAATAATTGTATTTTTAGTGCTTGTAAAGGGCAGTATGAAAAAAGAGGTGGTTAAAGGGGATCAATCAGGAGTTGTTGTTGGTTTGCAAAGATGGAAAAAACGTGTTTCCCCATTCCAGAGGTTCTAACTCTATATGTCATCACACGAACTGACCAAGTGAGATAAAATGTCTCTTGTGACAGATGGCTTTTTGCTATCTTTATGAAAACGTGTTTTTTGATAAAGATGTTCCATACAGGTATCAAAAATAGAATGTCAGTCTCTGTACCTCGTGCACAGAACTGGGGGAACTGGAATTTGCTGATAATTTACGTACAAAATGCATTTCCTCTTGGTTTATGCCACACGGAATGCAGGTTCACCACCCACTCACCTAACTTCTCGCCAGCTGCAACCCCACCCTGTAATCTGGTTAGAGCCACCACCCTTGCCAACAACGTAACAACGTCAAAATTGAGCGTTGTTATATTTCACAAGATACCTTGAATCAAGGAGGTTTTGTACCTTGGTACAAACATTTTTTTTGTGAGTTGCTGACAAGCTGCGGATATATGTATTATGCTAACATATGGAATATGGTGATATGGCCTTATGTATTGTAATATGGTGGCATGGCACAGTGTTATGGGATATATATCAAGCTGTGGACCCTGGCAACAAGTCAAAAACCATGGTTATAGAGGGACATGGAATTTAATTGTGAGAAAAATTTGGTGAGACTTGTACAATGATACTTGCATCGTACAGCATTTCCACCACTTGCTCAGGGCTCTAAGCAGGAGAAGAGTACCACCGCAATGCTCATTTGAGCCATTAAATCACAACGACTTTTGTATGAAATCACTGAGATGGCCTTACGTATTTATAGTTGCTCCTGGCAGGCACAGCCGGGGCCTCCGCCCAGGTGATCTTCAACATCCATGTGGGCTCATAGCCATGTGTGTCTGACTGGCTGCTAAAGTTGGCTTGGATCTGCTCCATCACCTTCCCACGAAGGGTCAAGGCATCAGTATTATTGCTGAGGCCTTGATTAAAATCATACTCCTGTCAAGAAACAGGGGACATTTGTAGTTAGCTGCAATAATTAACTGTGATGCATTTTCCTATCAGAACACGCACTACAGAATAAACGGACACATCACGGTTAGTCGATTGGCAGGTTGAGTGTCATGGGTGAAAGCGTAGGTATTCACACCTCTTCCGGGATATCTGGTCCGTGTGGAAGATTAGGCCACGCACACCCTCGAAATGGGCTCTCTAGAGCTCCCTCTAGTGGACGTCATCCAGCCAGATACCGTGTATGCAACCCAGATCAAGATAAACACTGTGTGTTTTGTAAAGCCACTGCTGCTTCCCCATGCCGTGTCGACCAGAGATTTTGTATTGTTAGCATGTTCCATGACGCTGAACTGGTTCAGATATCACTCGCCACGGATGTTAGCCGTGGCCTGAGAATCAAAGTTAGGTCACCAGGTTCATAGTGCAGAATTTTAAACCACTATACTATCACTTCCCAATACAATGACAGTACATGTTAATACAAAAAATCGCAGTAATGTGTAATTCAATGTTATGACATACAGAAACAAAAGCCTGTGTTTAGCTATAGTGGTGCCTGGGAGTGTAATTGGAACTCAATGAATTATGCACACCATGTAAAATGATTTGTTTCCTATTGAAGGCTACTTTTAACAAACCTGAAAGTACATGTTCCCAGTTTCTGAGGAGAAGTCAGCATCATCCCAGAACACGGCAATCATAGGGATAGAAGAGGTCTCTGTAAAACCGTTGATGAAGGGGTTGGGATAGGCAAATTTCGTTGAATCTTCGACATCTTTGAAAATAATCAGGCCATTGTCTGTAAACTGTAGATTAGAAGCATAAACAAGATACCGTGAGTACAATTTCTATTAAAAATAAAAGCGTGCATTAATGGTATAATCACATTTTTTGCTGTCAATCATCACCTTAACTGAAATCACCTTTGTCAGCATCATCAACACCATCCTACTTACACGTAATTGAAATAAACTAAACTGCCAAACTATTTATATTTTACCTGGTAAGGCCCACTGAGCTACATAGCTCTTTTTCAGAAGAGACCTGGCCACAAATGATAGGGCAACGAAGTGACTTATCATGTGGAAATGTAGAGCAGCCAAATACTCTAAATGCATGTTGATGCTAAAAATGGAGAGAAAACCGGAGAACTCGGAGACAAATCCACATGACCACGGCGAGAGAGAGAACATGCAAACTCCAAATATACAGGTATCAGGGTCAGGCTTTTACCCATAACCTTCTGTATACCAGGCGAGGTAGTTAACATCTTACCACCGTGATGGCCCATGCCAACACCATTGGCTCTGTGAGGTGATAATTGTGTTTGCACTTAAATATGCAAATGAATATGTCAAGCAACGCGTGAAATTAAAAAAAAACAAATACATGTTCTTAAGGATTTTGCTAAAAAATGTACACGCATACACGTGTTATTCATTTACGTATAAAGTAAAGAGTTTAAACATAACTGGCTACTGTACTTACATACAACCGCTGGTAGAACTTGGAGGCAAAAGGAAAACCATACGGAGGTGAGAAGAAAGGAGACACTGAATCCGTGGAAAAGATCTTCATAGTTGTGTCACCCACAGTTGGTCCATATTCGAAAAGTCTTTTCTCTATATATACAAAATAAACACAAATTGCCACATTTTACAATGCGTTCATAAGTGACATACCAGTGGATGTTGGTCTTCAAAATACTTACTTTCCTGGTTAATTGGCATAGTCTGCAATTAACTTTACACGAGCTGTGATTTTTCAATTAGATTTGGGTTCTGCACGTGCTGTGTAGGATTTACAATGGCAGGTCATGCACGACTAACTTAATTATGTGGCGTAATGGGAGGTGATTGCCCGGATTTTAAAAAAACAATCACAAAGCTAGGATCGTGCAAAACACGTGTAAATTAGGCTATCAAAACATTGACACAATGGGGGCGACGGCATTGAATGTGTCATCTGTTTTTAGTTTGCTTGCCGACGCATGTGCAGTCACGTGAGCACCAAGTCACTGACCATCAACAAGTGAGGAGCTGCTAATAATTCAACCATAAGGACGTCAACTAGACATCGTCACTACATGTGACGATATCAAGCTGGTTGACTACCACAGCAAGCAGCTGCTTGGACTCAATATCCCACACTCATTCCCAGATGGCAAGCAAAGGTTGGCATTTCAAAATGAGGTTACAGCAGTGCGGAGAAACAGCAGCTCTTTATAATAGTACGGGCAATACCAACTGCACGACACGTACAACATTGTACGATGTGCAATATCAAGAGAACTATGATTCCTTACCAATGCATTGAACACCATCTCCCTCGTAACCAGCATTGCATTTGCAGCTGAAGGAGCCCGCTATGTTGGTGCAGGTGGCACGCGTGGCATGGCAGGGCCGCGCTATACACTCGTCAACATCTACACACGTGCAGTAAACACAAACGTGCATGCAGATGACATGCAACCGCACATGCAAAGATCCACAGAGCACAAATGCTCGTACACGCCAATGCACCCATACATATGTAGTGCTAATAATTACGCGATCCCGGGGGTAGAAATTCCCACGGGATTCCCAGGTGACTGTTAAAGGTGACGTCACGAAGGAAAGGAAAGAGAAGGCGGGGCGTGAGAGAGGAGATAGAGTGGTGACATCACCGGATGAGGCGGGGCGATCGGGGCGGCTTCCTGGTGGGATTTGGGAATCGAGTGGTCGTGCGTGGGATGAGCTCGTGCGGAAAATAAAGAAGTGTGTCGTCTGAACCTTCATCTGTGGACTCATTACAAATATATAAATATCCCTATATACGTCTTCGGATATATCAATATACGAGGGCCATTCAATTTTGTAATTATCTGATTGAATGCACCCATACATATGTAGTGCTAATAATTACGCGATCCCGGGGGTAGAAATTCCCACGGGATTCCCAGGTGACTGTTAAAGGTGACGTCACGAAGGAAAGGAAAGAGAAGGCGGGGCGTGAGAGAGGAGGAGATAGAGTGGTGACATCACCGGATCAGGCGGGGCGATCGGGGCGGCTTCCTGGTGGGATTTGGGAATCGAGTGGTCGTGCGTGGGATGAGCTCGTGCGGAAAATAAAGAAGTGTGTCGTCTGAACCTTCATCTGTGGACTCATTACAAATATATAAATATCCCTATATACGTCTTCGGATATATCAATATACGAGGGCCATTCAATTTTGTAATTATCTGATTGAACACTGGCACAATTCATGCGGCTACTTGGTAGAAATTTGGTAGTTTTCACTAAAAATGGGAGTCCATTCCATATTTGTTTTTATTAACGTGTGGCTGATTCTTGACAAAAACTCACCTTTTCTGCCACTACAGTAATTGCGGAAATTCCCAAAGACGGGGTTAAGTCAAGATTAAGGAAGAATCGATGGAAAAAATGTTCTGCAAATTGCCATCAGAAGGAATCCTATTAAACATGCTTTGGCAGCATGGCTGCCACATTTATATGACCGCTTTAACCCAGCAAAATCTCAAGAAGTCTCATGCCTTTTTCAGAAGGGTCCTGCCAAGTTTTCGCAGTAGTGGGTAATGTTACTGCGTGTACTCCCAATTGACTAATTTGCAGGTACTTTTTCACCATCGGGATGTTTAGTCAATGCCAGTTACATTGTATGTTTTCTTTTAGCTATGGGAGAAAATAGACTAAACCCATGCAGAACATGGGGAGAACATACAAACGCCATATAGTGCCCTAGTCAGGCTTCGAAACTGGGCCCTTCTTGCTACGAGACAATTGTTACCACTGTGTATACCCTGCCGCCCTGTATAATAATGTCTTGTCCATTGCAATTTTATATTTTAAGCAATGTATTTTATTTATCCCCCCTTTGCATGAGAAACAACTATACCAAGTAATGTACAGAAAATGAAGAGGCAACACATAAAAACAACAGATAACGTAAATCAATATTCTCTGTAACAGACATTCATGTCTTATGCTCAGGTTTTTTTCTTAACACAACCCCGTTTTAAGGAAACAGAAACGTGTCTTACCTTCTGAGCAGTTCACACCTCTCCATCCACTCCGGCAAATACAAGTGTAGCTATTATCACCGTCCAAACAGGTTGCACTATTTTGGCATACACTTCCAGCACAGTCGTCAATATCTATTTGGACAAATTAAAACATTAACATTTCAGTGCCAGTTCCCATGTATATGTTTTATTATAATTGTGTTCGTCATATGAATATGGTTATAAACTGTGTTTTCTGTTTTGGGTCCACCAGATGCTGCTATGGTATATTGGTGAGTACCTATGTGTATGTATGTTGAACTTCTTTCGCACCCTTAGGAGTTCTTTCGGTAAAGTCAAGAAAAAATGGAAATAATATAATAAAAATAAAACAAAATTCTCACGACGTTTCAGCCACAACGCAAGCAGCCGTCCTCAGGTGAAGAATAGAGCTAATGGACGCTGTTATGTTTAATTTTTATTATTTTATTATTTCCCTTCTACGTGGCTTTACCAAAAGAACCAAGAATATGAATCCCTGCAGTCACGAAAGCTTTAAATCGAAACTTATTTCGCACCGTATGTAGCTAACCATGCTAATCAAATGTGTGTGTGGAGGGGGGGGGGGTCAACAGACTCAACACCAAAAGTAGTTCGAGAGAAATGAGTTTTCAATTTGGAATTAAAAGAGCATAGCTCCAGTGACTTCCTAATATCGGAAGGAAGAGCGTTCCAGATGGCCGCAGAAGCGCATCCGAAAGTGTGCGATGCAGGGACCATCTTTGTCCGAAGGGTTGTCGGGTTCGTGACACAGCGCGCTAACTCGCTACAGTTGTGAACCTTTGAGATCATCGGGCCTAGTGTCACCAGGACAACACATGACTTGTTAACTGTCTGAGATCCCCCCCCCACCCCAGTAAACCTGTGCAGCTCTGAGCCCTCCCCACCACTAACTGTTGACATGCCAATACAGGGAATTATAAATACTCAATGTGTTGTGTATTTTGAAGAGTTACACGACAAGATTGTAATGCACTTACTCTCTGTGCAGTTCAGCCCACTCCAGCCTGACACACAGCTACACGAGTAGGAGCCTTGAGTGTTGGCACAGCTGCCTCCATGTTTGCAAGGCCTCGACTGACATTCATCCACGTCTGCAAGATAATACATTGTGCATATGACTTATCAAATCAATCACACTGCAGAATTAGTTATAGTATATTAATGTATTCGATGAATTCATCCTTGTGAACATTTCACAAAACCTCATGATTCCATAAAGTGTACAAACGGCTTCTTGTACACCACCGTATTTTGGAATTTCATAGCTTTTCTAAAGATGTAAATTTTAGGCTATTATTACTCCCGTGTGCAGTATACATAGAGGGTAGAATATATAAATAATGTTAAAGTACTGTAACTTGATGCTAGACTAACGATGACTATAGAGTGTTGACGTATTATACAAAATTTAACCTATATCGGGGGTTATTGCGATTAAATATAAAGATATCGGTGCGTTTGAATTATACTTTTAAAACACTAATTCAAACAAACATTTTGCAAACCTTCATGAGTATTCTGTATGTATGTACAGTGTTACAAGTTGTCTTATTAAAATAAAAAATAACATACTCCTTCAATTAAACTAAACTATTATATTTACTGGGTAAAGTCCACTGAGCTATTAGCTATTAGATGTGGCTTTTACCACACGAGGGTATGCATAGCAGCAGCCAAATAATGTAAATGCATGTTTATAAATGTGGAGGGAAAAACCGGACCCAAAGAAAAATCTATGCGACCACACGGAGAGAGAACACGTGACTCCAAAAATACAACAGGCATCGTCAAGATCAGGATCAAACCCATGACCTCTTGTGTACCAGGCGAGAAAGCTGACACCTAGTCAAAACTATATATAGGGGTTTATTTTAGTTGAAAGTTGCCTCTATAGTTTACTCAAAGAATTGTGATGACGTGAATAAGGCATGTTAGGCTCACCACTGCATATCTGCGGGCTGGTGAGGCTGAACCCACTGTTACAGTAGCAGGTAGACATTGATGTCTTCGCATCAATGAAGCATTGGCCGTTGGTGCAGGCAATGTTGCAGGTGGTGAGTGCTGTAAAAATAATCGATTTCACATCATCATCACTGTCATCAACAAACTTAAACACCAAGTAAAAGGATACCGCATAATCTTCATCAGCATCATCATCATCCATGGTCTATCAAGTGCTGAATTAAGACCTCTCAAGGCCATTGCCATCTCTTGTCTTGGTTCAGTGATACCACAATCCATCTCACTCTGGCACAAGAACTGATCTCAATGCTATATTCCTAATGTGGTTGTCCTCGTCGGTGCATTCTCTTCTTTGGCTGAAATTCCATCATCGGTCTCGTCGTCCATTGTCCATCATCACGCCCTCCAGTGATGTGTCCTCCCCAATCCCACTTAAGTTGCTTAACAGCCAATATAGCGTTTCTGATTTTTGTTTGTTACCTGATCCATAGTTGTTAAAATGTGATGGTCAAATTCGATTAACATATTCTTTGTCTTTTCCATATATTTCATGCAAAACCAAATTCATTTAAATTTTTATTTAAAGCTTTCGTGACTGCAGGGATTCATATTCTTGGTTCTTTCGGTAAAGTGACGTAGAAGAATCTTGTTTTATATTTTTATTATTTTGTTTCCCTTCTACGTGACTTTACCGAAAGAACAAAGAATACAAATTCATTTAATTTGAAATTATGACATTGCGAAGATAAATCAGCACCGAAAGCCAAAGTGCTGAATTTTTTACATGATTATATTATTTCATGGGCTATGTCAGTATAAAACATAATGCCAACATAGGCTATAATTTAATACACATTGATCACAAAGATGGAATCACAGAGATGGTTTCCATCTCTGCATTTATCAGAATCTAATTGAAAACAAGAACACACGCTTGTGTAAATTGTGTTCAGGACAAATTTGTTGAAAATTAATAAGGCTCAACAAATAATGTAGGTTTGCAAAAATGTATATAAACATATTTTTTAATCTGGAAATTAAAATTGTTTTAGATAACAGGGAATTCGAGCTGTGGCTATGTTTGATACAACAAAGAGAAAGTCCATGAGCCTAGACCAGATATGTCACTGAAATTTGTTACATGGTCAATAACAGTGAATTACGTGATAACCATGTGGAATGCTAGCAACCAAAACAATTCAAATCAACCAATGCTTATGTTTGTGCAAGAACCGGTACCTGTTACTTGCTTCACTGACACTCCGGCATTGGAGACATTGCCTCTTCCGAAGGTTTTGACCGTGATTGTGTATTCAACACCAGGACGTAGCGCAGAAAACCTGGCTGTGAGTGACCCGTTTGGGCTGACCGACACAGCCGATGCCTCTTGAGGAGAGATGAATGCAATGTACTGCTCCACATAACCCTCGGCAGCCAGCCACACAACCTCCAGGGAGGTGTTTTTCACTCCTTGGCTGGTCAAAGTCAAATTTTTCACGAGTCCCGGCACCACGATTGCAGTCGTAGTTGGCACGGAGGTCGTGGAGACAGTTGTTGCGGATGACGGTGTCGGTGATATCGACGATGTAATAACAGTTGTTGTGGATTGTGTTGTTCCATTTGAAGTTGGTGTTGTACCTGAATTTACAGACGTACATATGTACATGTATTAGGTTGTGGCGTGATTACACATTTACTTCATGGGACCTCCTTTGCCAGTACCAAAATATGAGAATAGGTTTTCCCCTTTTTTCTGGAAACAAAACAGGTGTTAAGATGTTAAAACACCAAACTGAAACCTTTTACAGGGGAATCATGTCTGCATTAACCGCAATACTTGTGGTCAGAATGCAAACAAAAAACATACTCTGATAATATATGCATTGTCTTTGCAACTGATTGGTCCACACCAGAGACAGCTTTCTTTTGAGCCTAGTCTCAAACGGTGTTAGACCAGAGGACGCCAAAAGGCGTCAAAAGGCGTTCTCTGACATGATTCCTTGTAAAAGGTTTCAGTTTGGTGTTTTAACATCTTAACACCTGTTTTGTTGCCAGAAAAAGGGGAAAACCTATTCTTACACATTTACTGTATTACTGCATACATTACATCTTTCCACTTTGTTGTATTCCACATAATGTACTTTAAAAAATAGTTAACAGGACTTGGCAAATTAGAACATGAATCATTTACAATTAGTGGAATGTAACTGTTCAGGAAATACATTTTTCATTGTCATTTTCTAGCAAACATTTTAAGCCAGTGTCTCCCTGCCCAATTTAGTATTTGGCTGCTATGAATTGTATTTGGCTGCTATACATTTCCACATGATAGGCCTCTTCGTTGAACTATCATTTGTGGCCAGGTCGCTTATGAAAAAGAGCTGTATAGCTCAGTGGGCCTTACCTGCTAAAATAAATAAAAATTTAGTAAAATTTAGTATTAAAGTCGGTGCTCATCCCCGCTCACAACATTGAACCAGTATGGGAGACAACATATCGAAGGACAAAGACCCCAGTCTCTACAGAGGACAATTAAAATTGAATTTTCACGGTAGTGCTTATTTTATCTAGCTTTGAAAAATTATGAGCTGAACTCATAATCTCCACCCAGCCTCATTTTATTTAATATATCGACAGCAGAATACAGAGTTTTGATACATGAGCCCACTATACACTGCTTACCTGAGTTAGACACAGTGGTGGAAGTCGATGCAGTCGTTGGAGATGTCACCGTTGAAATGATACTGATTGTTGAATTCGGAGTGACTGTTGCATTTGTGGTTGAGGCTGTAGACGATGACACTGTTGATATTATTGTTGTGTATGAGGTGGGTGAGTTCACTATCGGTTGAGTCACAGCTGTGCTTGTTGACTGGTTTGTAAGTGCAGTCACTGTTGTGCTATTGGTTTGCAATGTAGTTGTTGATGTTGTTGCCGAGCCCACAGCTGTGTAAGCTGCTGTCGTGTTCGATGTAGCAGGCGAAATCGCACTTGTCGACGCTCCCGTTGAGGAATTGGGAGTTGCTGTTGTAACTATGTGTGCCATTGTGACTGTGGTTGTTGTGTTTGATGTCCCTAATATTGGTAGAGTCACGTTTGTGCCATTAGGTCCTATTGTAGACATGGCTGCGGTGGTCACTGATGTCACAGTGGTCTTTGAAGTTGCGTTTGATGCCTCTGTTAGAGCTACGGGACCTGTTGTATTCATATTCACCGTCACTAATGTGCTTTCGGTCCCAACTCTCGTTGTTGATGCTGTTGTCGAATCCACAGCTGATGTATTCACTGCTGTTGTGTTCGAGGGCACTGTTATTGGTGATGTCTCTACAGCGGTAGTGGTTGCATTCATATAATCTGTTATATGTGTTACCGAGGCGGCTAATGTTGAGAATGATGGAGGTTGAGTCACAGCTGATGTATTCGCTGCTGTTGTGTTCGAGGGCGCTGTTATTGGTGATGTCTCTACAGCGGTAGCGGTTGCATTCATATAATCTGTTATATGTGTTACCGAGGCGGCTAATGTTGAGAATGATGGAGGTTGAGTCACAGCTGATGTATTCGCTGTTGTTGTGTTCGAGGGTGCTGTTATTGGTGATGTCTCTACAGCGGTAGCGGTTGCATTCATATAATCTGTTATATGTGTTACTGAGGCGGCTAATGTTGAGAATGATGGAGGTTGAGTCACAGCTGATGTATTCGCTGCTGTTGTGTTCGAGAGCGCTGATATTGGTGATGTCTCTACAGCAGTAGCGGTTGCATTCATATAATCAGTTGTATTTGTTATCGAGGCGGCTGATGTTGAGAATGATGGAGGTTGAGTCACAGCTGATGTATTCGCTGTTGTTGTGTTCGAGGGCGCTGTTATTGGTGATGTCTCTACAGCGGTAGTGGTTGCATTCATATCATCTGTTATATGTGTTACTGAGGCGGCTAATGTTGAGAATGATGGAGGTTGAGTCACAGCTGATGTATTCGCTGCTGTTGTGTTCGAGAGCGCTGATATTGGTGATGTCTCTACAGCAGTAGCGGTTGCATTCATATAATCAGTTGTATTTGTTATCGAGGCGGCTGATGTTGAGAATGATGGAGGTTGAGTCACAGCTGATGTATTCGCTGTTGATGTGTTCGAGGGCGCTGTTATTGGTGATGTCTCTACAGCGGTAGTGGTTGCATTCATATCATCTGTTATATGTGTTACCGAGGCAGCTGATGTTGAGAATGATGGAGGTTGAGTAATTGCAGTGAATGATGCATTCATTGGTGCAGTAGCGGCCGATACACCTTCTGATGTGAAGAATACTGCAGAATTACTCGTTGTGTTTGAGGTGGTTGATCTTGGTGGACTCGCTGTCTGTGGTGACTGTGTTGAATTAGCAGTCCCTGGCGTGGTTGAATATGTCGTTGCGACTGTGAGAGTAATTCAATAGTTTACAATTAATCAATCATTCTTGTGACTTAAACAACTTTTCAATGTACCTTGCAGTAAAACAAGAACAATACGCAGTATTTACTCAGAAAAACCTGAGTATTAAGACGATTTTTCATAAGGATCCTTACTGATCGATATTATCAGGAAACTAGAATGCGTCCGAGAAAAACAACACATTTCACACCGGGCGATACTCAATATTGTCATCCTTTGGCAACCCTGCAGCCTTATGCCTAAAACACATGCCAAGCCTTCGTAGTCACCCACAAGGGTTATATTTGTTTAACTTATAAGGTCTCATGGAATTGGGAACATTTAGGCTTATTTGGTCACAGGCCAATGTATTTCTATCATCAGTTACACAATGTACGTTCATATCTGCTGATGGAAAAACTGTGTGTCCCGTATATAATGCACTGTACAAATACACAAATGCTGTCAATCTACCTGTAAATCATAGAGTTTCTGTTTTTGAACATATGCAACTTCTACGTGTTAAACGTTGGCGTTATATATGTTAAACTGACAATTGCACCATGATTCTGATATCAGCATTAAGGGACAGAAATTTGACATTTTATTGACAGATGACCTAAGCACGCTAATAACCTTGTAATTTTTTTTTAATCACAGGCCTTAAACCGACATATTTTAAGGCGTTATCTTACCAAGCGTTATTTTTACCAAGGATGACACTGGACTTTGAAACACTTTTCACACTTAACACCAAAGATAATTTCCCTCAGAAGTTACTTAATGTACAGCAGGGGGTCAACAACCAAAATAACAAGAAGAGCCATTTTTTCGAAATCGGTAAAATAACTCAATATTACAAGAGCCACACAATACACATGAATACGAGACGGTGATCCTTAATAAATAACGTCACGAAGCAGTCTCTTAAAGAGCCGCATGCGGCTCCTGAGCCGCAGATAGCTGGCCCTTGATGTACAGTCTTGCACCATTAACAAAGTTCCCATCATTGACATATTTACAGTACCGTATATGAGAAAATAGTGATGTGGGAATACATTATATTCAGTGGCATCAGAATTTCTAATTGTACATTTGACTGAAAGTCCGAAATTTTTTCCAAAATATCCCTCAATTTTAATGGTAAATTTTCTCTATTATTTGCTCTGTAATGCAGCCTACACAAGGGTAGGGAGAGAGACTCACGTGAGCATGTTGCATTTCCATCACCTGCAGAGGGGGAGAAGAAGATAGCACCATTAAGCACCGTCATAACTTAATCGTAAAAAATTCTACTTTAACCAAAACAAATGTTCACAAACATATAAAATATTGTAAAGGCATAATAATTATTTTAAAATGCTGAATTAAAATACATTATTATATCACTATTTACAGGAAATCCAATGAGGCTAATATCAAATGGCCATGTATAGACTCATCATAAGAGGAATAAGAATAACTTTAATCGCTCTGACAGCTACAGACTTAGTGCGGCCTGGAAACGTATTATTAAAAAATACACATTACATATTGATTTAAAGCTTTCGTGACTGCAGTGATTCATGTTCCTAGGCTCTTTCGGGGGAGTCACGTTGGGGGGGAAGCAATAAAATAATAGAATATCTATGTTTGTTGTTTTGTTGTTTCCCTTCGGCGTGGCTTTGCCGAGGAAGCTAAGAATATGAATGCACATTACAATTCCTTATAGGGGAAACACATACTAATTAACGGATTACTAACATAGCATATAATCACTAACACACATTACAACTAATTACTAATCAACAACTCATTACTAATCATAACCAATGACTGATTACTAATCGATTGTATAATTACAATACCCCCCCTCCGCATCTAATCACTGCAACTGATATGAGTTAAATGATGACGTCACCCTCCTGCTCTATATAAAACCGGGAGCAAGCGAGGGCTTTACCATTCTGGCGAATTGCCCGATGATGCTGGATGTATTTACCAGCGAAACGTCGTACTCAAACTGTAAATGTTGTGGATTCACTCTTCAACACACTGGTGGGCTAAAGTAGTGAATTATTTGTCTTTTGTCAACGTGACACTTTTTTGCTGATTGGCCATGTCGGGTGGTGGAGGGTTACGACACATTTATAAATAACGCGATCTAACCCAAAAACCTTTATTATGAATAATATTGGTCGCGAAAGCCTACGTGTTAAACTGAGGTCTCATCCCTCTAAACCTCCACATCCACAATGAGATTGGCGACACAAATCTAGATTTAGGAGAGTTCCAGGTGTTCACCGACATGTCAATTGTGGTTACTTCAAATGCTTCTGTCATGGGCCTGCCAAAGATCACTGAAGCTCTGTGGTTTATAAAAAAAAAACCTATGTCAGGAATATACTCGTCCGACATAGTTTTTTTCACGATTATTTTGCAGTAAAGCTCTGAAGTTAAACAGCGCAACTACGAAAACCCACGGAGTAGTTATCTACATGGTACATTTGTAAATGTATACAGAAAGCTTGTTTCCAATATTGTGTGGTCAGAAAAAAAGAACACAAACAGATTGGCTTGAAAGAAATCCCACTGTTATGGATACCCTGTACAGCGCAGGATGGCAATGGAGCATTTACTTGTGTTGCGTTGATATCCTGGAGCGCAGGGGCAGCGGTATGACCCCACTGTGTTCTCACAAACCGTTCCCAAGCCACACACAGTTGGGACTCTCCCACACTCGTCGATGTCCTCGCACACAGTAGCATTACCTAAGGGAAATCATTTAACGTAACGTTTTACATATACGCAGTGTAAACGATAACAAAAACATTATTTTGTATTAAGTTTACACTACTTTTTTTGGTTCGTTTAACTTCCTATATCGATTAAAATGTTGTTTTATTGGTTTTAGTTGAAAAAAATACTACTGAAATATTTTTTTATATTTTACATATTTCAATACGAGCTCTATATTCTGAGCAGCGGAACCTTCATCCTGCACATTATTAGGTGAAAACATTTCATAAACTGAAACATATTCATGCCAAATTCTGCTTTCTATTGCCCCATATATGTGGGTGTTATCTGGCCACTTCCATTTAAAAGTATATACTATAAAAAGTTACGTTGCCACGATATTCCAAAGCAGATCCCTCCTAAAAAAAGCCTGTAGACCATTGAGTACAAAAATATCAGACTAAAAATGCTATCCCCCCAATATGGGTTTGGAGGAGTTAACACGTATCCCTTTACAGCTCTTAGCCATTATACTGTTACGTGAAAGGTTACCTTGAACTGTAGCAAGATCCTACATTACCTTGGCATGAATACCAAAACAATCGTGAAACATCTCACAGAGGAAATCCACGTGATTCAACTTACTTTGGAAACCAGCATCACACTGGCATTGGAAGGAGCCTGGCGTGTTCTTGCAGGTTGAATTGGCACTGCAGTTGTTGCTGGGGAGCAGACACTCATCCACATCCAGGCAGACAGTGCCATTGCCTATGTATCCCGCAAGACACTGGCAATTGTATGAACCCACCGTGTTGACACAGTAGGCTCCTGGCCCACAGGCCGCACTGCCAGATGTTTGACACTCATTCACATCTACGCATATCTCTGCAGTTTCTGAGGGAGGGGGGGAAACATTTGAATAAGATAAACAAAATCAGATACATATTACACCACTGGAACCCATAACACAACATTTACTTAATTTGTATCATTGGAAAAAAATACGACACGAATTTATATGGCTGATATCCATATAAATGTGAGGCCATAGAAATGAAATGAGAAGTGGACATGTCGGATTTTTTTGGTGTACTGTATTTTTATTTTTCCATAGCTCGTATGAGTAATTTGTATAATCCCGAGCAACAAATAACTCTGAATACATTATAATGGAAATCACGTGGACCCCTATACGGTAAATTACGTAATATCAACTCAATATAAATATACACCACACTGACCATCATACCCAGAATTGACTGTGACAATTCATCAAGAGACTATTATTTTATGTATTGATGATTGTATTGTTATGCTCGCCTGCTCAGAAAAGCCTCACAGAGTTGCAGAACTCTTCATTAGAGGGGTTCTGCTAAGCTTTCAGAGCAGAGGGTAATGTTGCTATGTATATTTCCCAATAAGTAATTTGCAGGTACATTTTCAGCATTAGGATGTTTGGCCAATACCAGTTATGTATTTGTTTGTTTTTGCTGTGGAAGAAAACCGCTGAGCCTGGAGGAAGCCCCATGCAGAAGAGGGAGAGACACACAGAGAGGTGTCCAAGTTGGGAATCACACCAAGGCCTATCTTGCTGTGGCGTGCAAGTCTTTTTACTGTGCCACCCTTCCAGCCATGTTATTGTAGGATGAGCCTAGATTACATTGACGCATACCAAAACCATGAAAATCACGCAGAGGAAATCCACGTGGTTCAACTTACTTTGGAAACCAGCATCACACTGGCATTGGAAGGAGCCTGGCGTGTTTTTGCAGGTTGAATTGGCACTGCAGTTGTTGCTGGGGAGCTGACACTCATCCACATCCAGGCAGACAGTGCCATTGCCTATGTATCCCGCAAGACACGGGCAATTGTATGAACCTACCATGTTGACACAGTAGGCTCCTTGCCCACAGACCGCACTGCCAAATTTCAGACACTCATCTACATCTGTGCACATCTCTCCAGTTTCTGGTGGGTGGGAGGGAGATTTGAATAAGATGAAAAATATTAGATACGTATTTCACCACTGGAATCCAAAAAACTACATTTTCTTAATTTGTATCATTTAAAAAAATACTACATAGCCTGGGCGGGAACAGTGCTGGGCTGATATCTGTATAAATTTGAGGCTATAGAAATGGAATATGAAAAGTGGACGTGTGGAATATTTTGTTTGTGTACTGTATTTTTATTTTTCCATAGCTCGTATGAGTAATGTGTATTATCCCGAGAAACAAAGCACTTTGAATACATTATGAAGTTAGTCATATGGATTTTAACTGGAAAATTACATAATATAAGTTCAATACAAATATACACCACACTTACCATCATACCCAGAATTGTACCATTAGGTTGTAGTGTGGCAATTCATCTTGAGATTATATTTGTATGTATTGACAATTGTATTATTATATTCTTTGGGTCTTTTGGTAAAGTCACGTAGAACCATTTTTTTTTTTACAAAAAACTACTGTATTATTATGCTTGCCTGCTCAGAAAAACCTCACTGAGTCACAAGACATAAATGGAGGGTCCTGCTAATTTTTCAGAGTAGGGGGTAAGTATAAGCCCAAATAAGTAATTTGTATGTACATTTTCAGCATTGGGATGTTTGGCCTCTACCAGTTATGTATTTGTGTGTTTGTTTTTGCCGTGGAAGAAAACCGCTGAGCCTGGAGGAAGCCCCATGCAGAAGAGGAAGAGACACAGAAAGGCGGACGAGTTGGGAATCGCACTAAGGCCTTTCTTGCTGTGACGTGCAGGTGTTTTGACTCTGTCGCCCTGCCAGCCATGTTACTGTAGGATGAGCCTAGATTACATTGACGCATACCAAAGCCGTGAAAATCACACAGAGCAAATCAACACGATTCAACTTACTTTGGAAACCAGCATCACACTGGCATTGGTAGAAGCCTGGGGTGTTTGTGCAGGTTGAATTGGCACTGCAGTTGTTGCTGGGGAGCAGACACTCATCCACATCCAGGCAGACAGTGCCATTGCCTACGTATCCCACAAGACACCTGCATGCGTATGAACCCAATGTGTTAGCACAGTAGGCTCCATGACCACAGAGAGCACTACCTGCTTTTTGACACTCATCAACATCTATGCACGTCTCTCCAGATTCTGGTGGTTGGGGGGGGGGAGAAAGATTTGAATAAGAAACATTGATAAATACATTGTGCGTTTACATGCTTGAACTCAAATGAATATACACCCTGAGTGGGAATACTGTGGGCTGATTCCTATGAAAGTTTAAATTTCTATACATGAAACAAAAAATGGATGATGGGAAGTAGACACATGGCAATTTTGTTGGTGTTTTTATGTTGTACTAGCCTGCACAATTAATGTGTAGAATCCCTATTATCATGAAAATTCGTATAGACCTTTGCATGGGAAATTCATTCAGGTACTATAGAAATAGCCACTAAGACACTTACGGACATATCCACTGTTGCAGATGCAGGTATAATTTCCTTCTAAGTTACGACACGTGGAATATTGAGTGCAGTTATAGATTCCGCTCTGACACTCGTCCACGTCTTGGCAGGTCCGGCTGTCGCTTACGACCGCGTACCCAGCCACACATCCACACTTGAAGCTGCCGATTGTGTCAGTGCATGTCCCGTATATGGAGTCGCAAGGTGTCTGTCCATCAGCCACGGATAAGCTGCACTCATCAATATTGATGCATTGCGTTTTGCTCGTGCCATTGAGGGTGTACCTGATGAAATAAAGTTAACAATTACATTCCTTGAAACTGATACGAAACACAAATCAATTACTTGAAGCGGACAATGTATACTAATTTTCCACGGCACCGAGAAGCACATAAAATATAAATGCTTTTAACATCAATTGCAGTCCTGAGTTGTGGTCCCATGACCTTTTATTTTACACAAGGTGTATTATTACTCTGATTAAACAGAATTGAAAAATGTGAAGTTATTCATAACAAAGTTCACCATAACAAACTAAATAAGTAAAGTACTTTTAGACTTTACAAGGTTGAGAAAGAAAAATATTTTGCAACTAATCATGCTAAGTTACTTTGTCCACGAGAGGAAATGGGTTTGCATAGACAAGATGAACCGCCAACAGTATAAAGGACTTTAGAGTATTGTTTCTTGTCTTGTGATTACATAGCCGATTACACTATTAATCCAATTGTAAGTTACAAGTCTACAATGTCATATTACAATTCCAGAAATGTTCTTGTTAGAAAAGGTTTCGTCTTTTCCCAGTTTTATTTCACCTATAGTGCGATCGAAATAACATCATGAGACTATTCCAAACTCTTGTAGACCAGCGCATCAGAGGCTGACATCACATAACCAAACTTGATTTGGCGCTTTCGTGACTGCAGGAATTACTCTTTGTTTTTTTCGGTAAAGTTACGTAGAAATAAGAAATAATAATAAAATTACATAAATGCATACGACGTTTCGATTGCAACGCAAGCAATCATCATCAGGCATAGAAGAGCTAAATTTAAGAGAGAGAGGAAACACAGAACCGCAGATATATATACAGACACCTAAGTAGAGGGAGTTAACACAGAGACACAAAGAGACACAACGTATGGAGCACAGAGAGATAGGGTCTCTGTGCCGAGGCCTTAGCATGTAGGGGAGACAAAGAGAGATGGAGAAGCACATCAAATCGAACAAGATTTAGTAAAATTTGGAAACAATATAATGCAACACAGAGGGTCGGTCAAAACACAATTAACGCATGGTCTAGCTGATTACGTAATTTCAAAGATTGCTAAATTATAGGTTAAGAGTGATAGAGTACAGATCGCAGACACATATATAGACATCTAAGCAGAGAGAGTTAGCACAGAGACACACAGAGAGAGACTCACACATGGGACACAGTGAAACAGTGCTTCTGTGTCGAAGCCTTAAATAGAGGGAGAGGGGGGCGGCGGAGACTGAGAAATGGTGAGGGGGGGAGGGGCACAAAATCAGATAAGCATGCCCACAAGGACTATGGAGAGAGACAAGACACGTACACGTAGACACAAAGGCAGAAACACAGGTAGAGACAACACAGAGACAAACTGAAGTTAAGTGTGACATTTGAGAGAGAGACAAGAAACATACACGGAGACATAAACAGAGACAACGCAAAGACACAGACTTGATACCTCCCCGTAGAGGTGGTTTAACTTGATTTGGTGCTTTCGTGACTGCAGGAATTACTCTTTGGTTTTTTCCTCTACGGGGAGGTATCAAGTCTGTGTCTTTGCGTTGTCTCTGTTTATGTCTCCGTGTATGTGTCTTGTCTCTCTCTCAAATGTCACACTTAACTTCAGTTTGTCTCTGTGTTGTCTCTACCTGTGTTTCTGCCTTTGTGTCTACGTGTACGTGTCTTGTCTCTCTCCACAGTCCTTGTGGGCATGCTTATCTGATTTTGTGCCCCTCCCCCCCTCACCATATCTCTGTCTCCGCCGCCCCCCTCTCCCTCTATTTAAGGCTTCGACACAGAAGCACTGTTTCACTGTGTCCCATGTGTGTGTCTCTCTCTGTGTGTCTCTGTGCTAACTCTCTCTGCTTAGATGTCTCTATATGTGTCTGCGATCTGTACTCTATCACTCTTAACCTATAATTTAGCAATCTTTGAAATAACGTAATCAGCCAGACCATTGCGTTAATTGTGTTTTGACCGACCTTCTGTGTTGCATTATATTGTTTCCAAGTTTTACTAAATCTTGTTCGATTTGATGTGCTTCTCCATCTCTCTTTGTCTCCCCTACATGCTAAGGCCTCGGCACAGAGACCCTATCTCTCTGTGCTCCATACGTTGTGTCTCTTTGTGTCTCTGTGTTAACTCCCTCTACTTAGGTGTCTGTATATATATCTGCGGTTCTGTGTTTCCTCTCTCTCTTAAATTTAGCTCTTCTATGCCTGATGATGATTGCTTGCGTTGCAATCGAAACGTCGTATGCTATTATGTAATTGCATTATTATTTCTTATTTCTACGTGACTTTACCGAAAAAAACAAAGAGTAATCACATAACCACTTTTGAGATACATGCACATGACCTCTTTTGTCCAAGCTAGGGAGTGCTTGCTACATATCCACACGTCCCGCATGGCAGTCAAACCAATATCCTTATTTATGTTAAGAGCTGATTTTTCTTTCATCCATTAAAAAATAAACTAATTTAACATGCATTCGTTTGTGACCCAGCTGAAAGCATTACATCACTTTAGTTTATGGTTGAGAACCCAATTTAACCATAGTTCTTGGCAACCTAGAACCAATCCCAGAATCTCAGCAGTGCTGAGCTCAATGCTCTGACTCCACAGCCACATGGCCACCTTTTCAAGCAACTGTCTAGTGCTGGTGTGTAATATATCCTTGTGGATATGAAACATTGCTATGTACTTAGACACAGTATGTTGAGTAAGCTGCAAATATCAATTGGTTTGGAAACAACCCTAGAACGATCAATTATTCATACCCAGAATTGCAGGAACATCCTGGGAGAGTTGTTTCATCAATGTAACAATCTCCAGTTCCATTGCAAACGTCCGTCACACAAGTTTGGTTTGCTGAAACATAAATAAATGTACAATTTATTTCACGTGCAAAATTGCATATTATGGTACCATAGATGTTTGTACATTTCAAACCAGTGATCTCTTCAGTGAATTCTTAACACAGTTATCGATATCACTCTAAATGTGTTTAGTTATGCAAGACAGGAATTGCATTGCTATAGCTATGTACAACACACACACACATAATTATGCTATAACATACACTCCCATCACCGTAGGAAGCACGAAGCTTCAAGTGACAATTACCTACAACTTGTATCCTGTAGATATGCACAAAGGCAATGATCCCCATTAAGCCATGTAAATTGGAAGACGTCTAGAATCGTTGATCCCTAGTGCTGATGCTCGCACAGCATGCCAGATATTCATTTTAGGCCGAATCAACCTTGGGAAGGCCCAGGTCATGTACAGATATGACTTGCCAAACTGGTGCACATTACAAGGGATTAAAACTGGGCAACCAAGATTGTAGCACGGGCTCTAAACACTGAATCAGTACAGGTTGTGACAGTGGGAAGCATTAAAGTACAGTATAAACATTTATAGGGCTGCATTGCCTCTGCTGCACCCAACGTAACCACACAGCCTATGACACTTAACCATGCTTGGTTGGTCACCCATATAAGCACTATCTAGGCTCAAACCTGCTTAGCTTCAGAGATATAGAATTAGGCCATAGAGTATATACATAAGCCACATGTACAAAGGATGTAGACAAATGAAACTTACGTTTACAAGTCCCATTCACAGAGCTGAAACGGGCAAAGCAGCTGCAGGTGAAGCCTCCTTCGATGTTCGTGCAGTTCTGGGTGCAGTTGTGGAGTCCTCTGATGCATTCATCAACATCTGGACAAACACAATGAGCATCATCGCGGCCATACAAGTCCTTAAGGTAGCTTTTCCGTAACAAATGCCATTCCAAGACATCGGTCGCCTCAGTGCAGAATTAACATTGAGACACTCAAATTGATTTCCCCTCATACAAACAATACTAGTAAGTAAACAGCGATGCTTCTGCGCAATTAAATCAAAAATGATAATTTGTCAAACCTTTGCATGTGGTTCCATCACTGTCCAAGTAGTATCCGAAGGGACAGCTGCATGTGTAGTGGCCAATGGTGTTGTTACATCTCACTCCGACAGGGCCTTTGCAGGGCTGCGTTGCATTTTCCGGTGGGTTACACTCATCGATATCTGTGGTGCATCACAAGAGAACGTATGTTAATATGCAAAAGTTGAATTACAAGTGGTCTTTGGGGAGCTTCACTACTGCACAGTGATTGGGAACATCCTAACCAAAAACTTTACTTTTGTACAACTTAATTGGGGTAAAATCACAAAGCAACACCACCCCTACTGCCAGATTATACCAAACATCCCAATGCTGAAAATGTACCTGCAAATTACTCATTGGGAAATATACATAGCAACATTACCCCCTGCCTTTGCGATAGCCTTGCATTACAGTGATAACATAAGAAGCTATACTTGACTTTACTATACTCAAATTTGAACATTTTAAACATCCAGAAGCATCGCTTCCTTTCCATTTCTAAACCTGCGCGGACAATACAGCACAAGGGAGAACAAGGCAGTCGTATGCTTGGCAAAACTCAAGAAACAAAATAATTGCATGGCACTGCATCCATGCATTTTTTGTATAATGGTTATTATTAACAGTCAAGATATAATAAGGCTCATAAAAAAAGGCACGACTCTATTCTACAAGTTGTAGAACTTGGGCCTCTTAAAAATAAATGTATAATCTGAGTGTATCTATTGTATGCTCTATTAACTTTTCAAGACACATTTTATACTTATTCCCACCACTTACAACACATCGGCCTAGTGTGGAAGAGTAGGCCACTTCGAGAGGCTCTCTATAGCTCCTTCTAGTGGAGACCTCTCTACCAGCAGTGCCGGCACCTTTACCGTTTACATGTTATTCGTTCCCACTTTTTCCTATTTCAATTAAAGTCAGATTGAGCAAGACAACAAGAACAATAAGCACCACGAGCATACGAGTTTATTTTTACAAGTGCTTGGAATGTCTATAGTAAGTTAATGCTTTCAGCTGGGTCACAAACGAATGCATGTTCAATTAGTAAAACTTTTAATGGTTGAAAGGAAAAATCAGCTCTTAAAATAAATTTAACATATATTGGGGATATGTAGCAAGCACTCCCTAGCTTGGACAAACGAGGTAATGTGCGCGTATCTCAAAAGTGTCTCCGCGATGTCAGCTTCCAATGCACTGGTCTGCAAGAGTTTGGAATAAATAATCTCATGAAGTTATTTCGATCGCACTAAGTGAAATAAAACTGGGAAAATACGAAACTTTTTCTCACCAGAGAATCACGGCACCTCGACACTGGGGGACACCCACCACGTGGAAGCAAAGCTTACCTGTGCACGTGACTCCATCTCCCGTGTAGCCAGCCATGCACTGGCACGTGAAACTTCCATCGAAATTTTGGCAGAGCCCTGTCGTCCTCGAGCAGTTGTTTAATGATGAAACGACGCACTCGTCCGTGTCTAAGAAACAATCGCAAAATGTACGTAGCTTTGTAATTAGCATACCGATGTGTGATTGCAAATGTGCAGACGCATTTGAGAAAGACTACAAAAGCTCACGCGATGCCTCGAGAAATACTGTATCTTGTCAGTCATTTTAAATTGAACGATGTCATTGTTCTTAACGAGATGTGAGCCCAGTATCTTTATCTCTTCCTTCAGAAGAACATACGTTCTTGCAGCTTTTTGTAGTGGTAAGAGCACTACACAGTATATGATTAGGTTTATACTGCAAAGAGATATTGCGTTGATAACAAACCCGCTGGCAAAAGACTTACCAGTACAGATGCGAGCTGTGCTATCATACTGGTATCCCGCCTTGCACAGACATGTGTACGATCCTATCGTGTTGCTGCACACCATCGTGTTCGCGTCACACGGTTGGCTTTTCTTGCACTCATCAACATCTGGTCGAAATATAAACAATGCACATCACAATCGAGCAACCATATACAAAACGATGGGTTCCAACAGCTCAATGTTAGTGTACAGCGGGCTTCCGTACGAGTGGGCACGACACGGGTGTAGGATCGTAAATGTCTACATGTAATGTCATGGAAATCGTATGACCTTCGAGGCAAGGGGTAATAGCTTACATAGAGATGCAATAATCTGCTAAACCCAGTGGGCTGTGAGCTAGCCCGAAAATGCCTGTACAGCGTAGTGAACCACTCCATGTCAACCATTGAGTGTTGTCTCGTATGTATGTACAAGTTCTCACGAAACTCAAGTTTTCTCCAACATGAAACACAACGGTTAATATAACGGTCCAACATCCCAATACAAGACTCAAATGGCTTGGGCATGTACTCAGAATGGACCAGGACCATATACCCAAAAAATGCCCTCAGGTGGACACTACCGGGCAAAAGGAAACCTGGGAGACCCAAGACCACCTGGCACAAGATCATGAAGGATGAGCTGGCAGCAGCCATCAACATGTTGCCAAGGACAGGAGGAGGTGGAGGGAACTCATTGTGGCCTCGTGTCTCCCATAGGGGATGAAGAGGATTAACTAACTCACCCTAGTCTATACATCTCTTCGTGGTCTTGCTCCACCATATCTTGCCATGTCTGTATCTTTCCATGTGCCTTCTCACCCTCTACGTTCTCAATCTTTGTTGTCTCTCTCTCTGTTCCTCCTCCTTGCACTCAATCCACGCTTTCACTCTCTCTTATTGCCCCCATCACTGGAACAAACTTCCCCCTCTGCAGTAAAGTCACTTTCGCTCACTAGTTTTCGCTCCGCACTCAAAATTCACTTATTTTTCCAAGCTCTCCCCATGACCCCTTAATCTCCCCCTCATAACTGCCACCGTTACTCTTCCCTCTTCACATTCTCATATGGCTTTCACTCATTCCACCTTCATTCAATCCATTCATCATTTACTGTCATCAATAACAGATGTGCCCTCCATTGCTTTCTCTCAACTATTTCATTTACTTCATCTCCACCATTAAATCCATAAGTACTCTTGTTAATTCTGTGTAAAGCGCCTTTTACAAGGTGCTACATAAATTATGTTAAAGAAAGATGAGAACTAACTATTCCAATACAGTGCCTTAGTTTTAAACCAAAAACAATCTTGAGAATGAGTGAGGCTTTCCCAGACAAGTCAATGACAAAATGGTAAAATCCATATGAGAATTGTGGCCATGGTTATTTAAAGGATGCTATGAGAATATCAGTGTGGCAGACAATCTCCTTATACACACTGCATAAACAAGCCTGACTCTGCTGATGATGAATGTCAAAACCGGTCCATAGATTTATTGTAATTAACCAATGCTGTTTATGAGATGCACTCTCTGAAGACATTTTGGCTGATGGGATGTAGTAAAAAATAAATACTGGAAGCAGGCATTATGTCTGCCCCTTTATTTCGTTTCTTATATATATATCTTTTAGCGCATATATGACAGACATTTGTAGTTTTGTTGGATCCAGATTCTTGGCAGATCCACCAATTTTTAAAAAAATCCTCATCACAATATTGTGTACCTGTACAAATTGTTCCATTCCTTATGTAACCTGGTAAGCACTCGCATTTGTAGCTTCCAATACCATTCATACATTCTTCTGTGTCCTGGCACAAGTATGGATTGGCCGTGCATTCATTTATATCTGTACACAAAAGAACAGCCATATTAGTTAAAAAGTAATACATTAAACGATGTTCTGCAGTTTGCTACTCAGCCTCTAGTGTTTAATTCATGCTCCCACCAATCACAGGTATTTCAATTCACCTAGGGATCCTTTTATATAGGAACAAAAATAATACGTCCATCAGTTCTTCAGTAACAACACTTGCTTGAACAGTTGTCATAATATGATTTCGAGTGAGGGCTCATTCTGTCTGTGAGGAACCGGGATGGCAAGTCATATATAACGTATGCCCTTGATTTAGGTTCAAACCATTGGGAGCGACAATAGATGATGCTGTCAGGAGTGCAGCATTAGTGGTGGAGATTGAGGCAATATGGGAAAAAATGTATCTCAAACTCCAGTGCGAGGTAGATCAAATAAGCATTGTTGTGGTAGGCCAACAGGAGTTCTACGGGGTGGTCGTTCCTCACCATGGCAATGTGAATTCCCACTACCAGCGCAGGGTGTCTCATGGAGAGGTGTGCCACCCCTATGTCCATTTGACCTTAGGGGTGGCACACCTTAACACCTTAACACTTAACCTGCACTGCTGACATCATCGGTGTGACTGTTGGTTCAGCTACCCATGATTGCACTGAATTATCAAGTGCAGTGAATTGATCGTCTCAAAGCCAGCAAATTCCAATTCTGAGAATGTAAAAATATTTGGCTGGCCATTTTTCTGTAGCAGGGCATGTGGGATAGTATGTGTGTGGATAAAGAAAGGCCTTTGATGGGATCTCCATATTTAGTGATGTGACGTTCCCCTTGGCAGGCCACTCGCTAACAAGGAGGGGGGGGGGGTCACTGCTGTGTGAGATTCATGATGTCTTATGAATGTCTTCTTTAGCTTACAGCATGATGCCAATAGCACAATAGGACAATCATTGTAAAAGATACAAGCACTGAAAATACTTAAATAATTTAATTAAATCGCCCATCACATTATCTACGTAAGCTGCCTATTTTTTCGCCATTAAAATTTAAGCATGTATCCTCTTACCTGCGCAGTAGGTTCCATTCCCAGTGAATCCAAGCGCACAGGTGCAGTAATATGACCCATCAGTGTTCATACATTCTGATCCGTTACTATTACAATGGTTTCCCGTCATACATTCGTCGATATCCTTACAGTTCCAGCCATTTCCCTCATAGCCCAGTTTGCATGCACACGTATAGGAGCCGATCGTATTGGTGCAATTGGCGTTGACGGGACAATTGTTCTGCCCGCTTATGCATTCATTTATATCTGTAACAAAAATAAACTGTGTAAGTTTTCAGGCATTCATTGACTTTTTCCAAACAATAAATAGAAAAACCTGTAATAATTATCATTTATAATCGTGCTTTTTACTCTTAATTTTAGATTCCAGGCATGATACATTACACACTTGCTGGTTTACTCATATTACATGGGACCTTTTTTTGTCAATATCAAAATATGATTCCTTGGAAAAGGATTATATTTGGTGATTGAACATCTTAACACCTGTTGTATTGCCAGAAAGGGTAAAACCTATTCTTAGTTTGTTTCATACTTGTATTCAGTAACGTACATTGTCCATAATGTCCGTTATTCAATAATTATAATTTGATATATCTTTTGAGCTAGGTCAGAAAAAGCAAATGTCCACACACTTGGTAACTTGACAATTATATTGCACGAGTTTCATCCCTATAAACTTTCACATGTCCCCAGATGCTCAACATCTCCACTGTGAATCTTTGAAACATTTGCGAATACAAAGTGTATATATGTTGCCAATATTTTAACCATATGGTTAAAGCTGATCATATAATCAAATAATAATCCAGTACATTATATCTCTATAAACATCCAGCACATATTAAACAAGTATACAAACATCTTTGGGTCAAGCATCATTAATTGAAATATACACACCAGCTTGGAAGATAAATATGGGAAGATATACAGTGAGATTGCATTTACACATCATTTGACCGATCAGTACTACCTGAAAGAGGCAAAATTTAAAAACGACTAAATACTTGTAACACTTTTTGTAACTTTAGCATCCATAATCCTAATCACCCTAACACTCGGAGGCAAGAGAACGTTTTTTTATAGAATGTGGTATCGGTAAAATGTATGTGGTAGGGAGTACGCGTATCGAGAGAGGAAGTGTAATAATTTCGGGGCTGTATATAGTGTAGCATGTTGCGTGTCAGCACGGACATTATTTACACTTAAAAATGTCCTGTTTGTTTGCTGGGTGAGATATGTTGTATATGAATAATACACTAGTATGCAATGATGCATCGATTAAACTGTCAAAACTCATGAATATGTTCACCGTGCAATAATGTATGTGAAACATCTATAATTTAAAATTGAGTACGATGTTATAGGTAGTTTGGTTCACATTAACCCTGCAACTAATGGAGATGATATGTACACCGAAGTAGAATGTAACACCAATTATTGAATGGATTAGCGACCTCGAAACCGTGACAATTCATTAAACTCATTATTAGTGAGGGGGTGATTCGTTACACCCTAGGTGTACAGTAGCACAGAATATAATAATACAATTCCTACGAAACAAAACAAATAACCTAAAATATTGTGTTTTATAATTTATTACCTTCACAAGTTGTGCCATTATAGCCGGAAGTGCAGATGCAGGAATAGGACCCGATGCTATTGTTGCAAAATGAATTGTTTACGGATAAGCAGGGATTATTTTTGACTGAACATTCATCTTCATCTGCAGGAGAAAAGCAAAACCGTCATTGAGTTTAAAATCGACACTTGAATACCAAGTACAGATTAATAAATGTAATACTATTTAAGGCAACCATGGCGAAACAATGATCTTACTCAAGGCACTCACTCACTTGCAGTCAGAGTCACCACCTGATCACTCTTTTATCACCTATGACTATGGTTACTATTCCCATGAACTTCACTCATTCTTCCACCCATTGAGGACTCAGTATACCAGATTGACCATTTCATCTGACTCGTGTGTTCAATCACCATGCTGCAGGTCAACAACTTTCTCCTCCTGCTTCTTTCCTCGCACTGCTCAACTTTGAAAGTCACTCCCTCCATCGCTTTCCCAAGTTCTTAGAACCTTGCTTGTTTATGTATGGCTTGGGCCTATTTAGGATTTGTGCTCAAGAACCGTGATAATATAATAATTAAATTCGCCCACATAGTTCCTGCTTTTGTGAAATCTCGGACGTTAAACAGGACAAGGCCTGGATAGTGTTTGATTGGGTCCCCACAATGTATACCAAAAGTTATAAGCTGTGGGCTTACATTGCAGGTAGCGGACATCAGTGAAGCAAATTAATTACTGTAGTGTACTATGCTGCCAGGTATATACTCCTGGACTTAACTAACCTGCACTGGCCAGTATGGTGATGCGTGGTCAAATAAGGCAGGCAAGTAGACTTAGGGGCCGTCCATAAATGACGTCACGCGATTTTGGACGATTTTTTACCCCCCCCCCCCCTTCGTCACACGGCGTCACAAAAAGTCAGACCCCCCTCAAATATGACGTCACAACGCTCTGCCCTACCCCCCAAAAAATAAAACATACTTAAAATCGCTTTAAACTATTGTCATTGTAGTGCGTGTTGAATGTGCCGCTGCACTCTGATGTAGGAGAAAACATTTCTTAAAAAGTCTATTTAATTAAGTGAACGTGTTGTCTATATTTATTTAAAGTTGCACATTTTGATGTGACGTCACATTTCTCAACCCCACCCTCGTCACACATCGTCACAAATGTCTGACCCTCCCCCCTAGGTGCGTGACGTCATTTATGGACGGCCCTTTAAGAAAAAAAACTAAATCCGTGGAAGGTAGTTATAAGCGAGTGTGAGATTCACCTCTATTACAGGTGAGTAATGTCTGTGAAACTTAAGGTACGCTTCCCTTTCAAATGCTATAGATGTCTGTTATGACAGCAAATACTTATCCATAAACTCCGCATCAATAGTTTCAAGAGCCATGGGGGGGGGGGTAGTTAAAATGTGTAAAGCCCTGTCCATCCAGTGCTGTGGGGGGTTTTGACCACGCAGTAACACCATGCTGGTCAGAGTGGGTTATTAAAGGGGTACCTAGAACTGGTTCAAACATCGCACGTCACTATAGTTTCCACTTTAGAGCTTGAACATGACTGACAAAAAAACAAGGAATGTTAATAATCCAGGAACACTTCAACATTTCCCATGGCAGCTATCTCAAATAATTTGCGTGCTCATAATGCGTCACTCATGCAAACTGCATTTCCCAACGTTTCCCAACCCGCAACACACACGGATGCGCGTCTATGAAGATGCTTGCAGCCAGTACGCGTGGGAGGAAACCAGAGCACCCAGAGAAAACCCAGGTGTGCGAGGCGGCAACGCTCTATCCCAGGGGGTGGGCAACCTTTCAAAGAAGAAGGGCCATTTTTGGTTTAGTTTTCGTTTTTGACCGAAATACTTCGAGAGCCGCATCACACGCGGAGCTACTTTTACACACGCACACATATAGCAGGTATACAGTAGCCAAAGATCAAAGAGCCGCACGTTGCCTGACACCTTGGTCTATCCCATACACATGGACCCAATGACAATAGTCCGGATATTGCTGTACCGCCATCTAGTGGTGATCAAGGATTATGGCACCCCCGGGAAGGCCTCGCCTCCACAAAGATGGATTACAGGGCCACGTGCATAGTCAACCATCGGCCCCGAGGGACATTCCCGGGAAATCCGGGCCAGGTGGCAATCCTACTCGCCATTGACGTTAGCCATGGACGGCAATAAACCTCGGGTCGCTGGGTTCATCGCCACTGCGCTCACCGCTGCGCCACCGCTCTGCCATGGCCGATGACATCGGTCTAAAATACGAATGTACCTTCTCCAGAAATAAAGAATACGAACAACTTCATTGGCCGGAACAAATAGCCAACCCTTAGTCTGGTAATCGGGGGCCCGCAAGAGACTGCATTCAAAAATAGCGCCCTCTGCTGGAAATATTGTAATATTTTTTTCCATACATTAACGATCACCACCGATCTAAACTTTTTCCCACATTTGCTTTCCATTTAACAGAGATGGGAAAATACTAAAGTCTGAAAAAGTTACTACATTTTCTCAAAACAAACATCCAAGACGGTATGCGTATACTTCTCAAGGGGTGTATTTGAGAAAATAAACATTTACCTTTTAACTATTACCCATCACCAAAACACAGTTAATGTGAACAAGCATATACAATATAAACCGTTTTTATTTTACAGCAGTTGCAGCTGATATTCAGACTGCTAACTGCATTCACTCTGACATAATTAATTTAAAACTAATACATATGACCAATTCAGGAGATGATATTTGCACACACCGGTGAAAACATGGATTTTTCAGTGAAAAGTTTGTGACATTGAATGTTTAAACAAGAAAACTGCAGTACTTTAATGCAAAAAAGTGTATCAGGCAGTGTTAATGTACTTTGCTTCCAATTCCCATGTTGTTGAATTCTACGTTTCAAAGGTTTTTGTAAAAAAAAACTTTCAGCATTGCCAAGAGTGCAGACAATCACAAATATGTCTTGGCCTTTTTTTCTGAGAAGTGAATCTGGCCCACGAATTTCAAATAACATACTTTCAACAGCTTCTATTCAGTGACTAGCAGGAGACAAAACTTTCGAGACTTTCAAGAAAGCACCGTTTGGTAGATAAATAAACCTCATTCAAAGTATGAGAGAAGCCCCCAGCTAAAAGTATTGGGTTAAGTTAATGGTATCACAGAGACAATCAGACCTAAACATGCACGGATGCAGCGATTGTTTTACCTTGACAATCTATAAATCCATTTCCTCTGAAGCCAGCATTGCAACTGCAGTCATAGTGGCCAGGTGTGTTTACACAATGGGCATTTTTGACACAAAGAGATGAATTCAGGGCACACTCATCAATGTCTGTTTAAAACAAAACAAAAACACGTAAGGAATGGCTCACAGTTGAATGGGGTTCACATTTCTCGTTCCAGGTCAGATCTCGGATACAAACATTTTAAAACAATGTGCTGCATTAACATGTCAACATACATTCAAATGTAAGTAAAATGCATGTTTCAATATGAAAAAAACGAGCAGGGGAATCCTGTTTGACCACATTTTATTATTTTAACAAACCATGAGTAGCTTCACAGCTTCTATGCTTTCCTTCATGCAAAACTTGTAGACTATGGGAAGTATATTTAGATATTAAAAATAACAAAAGTGCAAAACATACAAGGAAGCCATGCTTGAGAGGGTTTTATTTCCGACGATAATATTTTTTCACTTTACTTGTGCTACATAATTGACAAATATACGAAAGCCTCAAAATACCTTCACATCTGTGGCTGTCCATGGTGACATTACGATAGCCATCATTGCAGCTGCACGTGTAGCCATTAATTATATTCGTGCACGTTTGGTTACAATCAGACAGCTGTAACATGCACTCGTCCACATCTACAAAAGGCAGAGATCAAGCAAAGAAAATACATTGCAGTTGAATCGTTTCCAAAAATATATATAGTTTACCTTTCTGCATCCTCTCTTAATAACACCAAAACCCTGTTGCATTCTCAGTTTGCAAACAAGAGCGTCAAGAGCAACAAGGGTTATCACCACCATCGTGAACATCACCACACCATCACCACCAAGTAACAATCATAACTTATAAGCCACACATAGTATAGACAGCGTTAATACTAACCTACAAAGCATACTCATGCAATATATATTTCATGATATTACACTTTACACGTGAGAACATGAAATGAGAAAAGCAAATTAAGCAAAATGTACGCACCGAAACACTTGCTCCCGTTGCCTGTGAGCCCAGCGGGACAGGGCCCGCACGAAAAGCCTAGGGAGGGTGCAGGTTCATCTGTGCAGTTCACTCCAGGATGGCAAGGGCTGTCTACACAGGCATTGTAGTCGTCCGTGCAATACACTCCCGCGTAGCCAGGATCACACAGACAGCCGGAAACCTTCAGGCGATCGCAGACATTTAACAAAAAGGGAATGATAAAAATGAAAATGTAAATAAATTATACAACTTTTGGCGGACGTTTCCCTAAACTCAATTAAATGCTTAATGTTGCTACAATATACAAGTCACGGGTTGTGTTTTCCTTCTGACAAAAATAACACCATTGAAATATCAATTGTTAGAGCATTACAGATATATATATATTTAGAAATATGTTTTAAAAACTTGTACTTGTTATTCATATATTTTTTAAAGCAATGAAGTAATATCAGTGAACCATTGTATAACATTCGGTTTCATATGCAATTATATATTTCCTGGTACTTATTAACGTTGACTCATCTTGACCACAGTGAAATACAGCAACCGGCACGTCATAAATAACAGCAGCACAACATGTGACCCTAAAACATACGACGCGTCCGATACAAAAAGCCGCACACTTCATTGTCATAGGAACCCCAGAATGTTTACATTCCCTGAAATATTAAGATTCATTTGTCAGCAACTCCACACTGATGACAGGTACCTTTGAAAAACACGTATGCCAAATATGTATGTTTTGGACATTGTTTTATTAAAACAAGAAAAGGAAATAAAGACTTTTGTCGTAAAAAAGTGCTGATGCTTTGTCACAGATTGTTTCCTCGTCGTCCGGACGTAACTTCACGATGCACTTTAACTTTAAACGCACAACAAAGGATTTTGTTTTGTTGAGGAGTGAATATGCATTGGTTAATTTTCTTATTATATAAGAGAAAAGGTCCTATTACAATAACCCTTAATACTAGGGCATTGACTCTTCGCCTCCTCACAATTTGATTAACAAAAACATTGTTATCATTAATATTGTAATGTAAGTACAATCTGCAGTGGCTGGTGGATTAACATAAACCTAATCACAGAAATTATATGTAAGTATATATGTTGAACTTCTTTCGCACCATACGTAGGCAACCGTGCTAATTGGAGGTGCGGAGAAATGACAACAAACTAAACACAAAAAGCACATGGACCTAAATCAATGCTTACATCTTGAGTGAAACAGTAAAATATGATTAAATTAATGTATGATTGTAACAAGCATCCTGGCTGCTTTGTAATACTGAAAAACTGCTAACCATAACACATTTATTTGTGCTATTGTCATTCTGTGGTACATGAGCACAGCTTAGTTTCTCTGGAGGATTTCACATTCAAAAATTATAATTCTAAATGCATGAAATATTTGAGTCATTATCAAAATGTGTGGTCTACTGAAATACGTACAATAAAGGACACGTGATATAATATACAAGAGCAGGCCTTGGGTGCCAGTTCCAAAAGTTACAATTGGTAAGACATGAAGTTTTCCTGCTTTGTTTGTTTCACCTGATGACGGTTGCTTGTGTTGCAATCAAAACGACGTGATCTATTCATTTTCTACCTACGTGACTTTACTGAAAGAACAAAACAGTATGGATTCCTGCAGTCACGAAAACTTCAAATCAATAAGAAATAATGTCGGTCATACTCCCTGCAGCAGCATGCACGAAGACTGCCATGGCGAAACTGCTACACTACAGCAACGATAAATCAGAGCTATAAATACGCTTTCTTATAAGAAGGGTACAAGCAGGCAGATTGTTTGGCAGACCTGAAAATTGGATCCGTCGCTGCCATTGATGCTCAGGGTGGTCTGGTTGGAGAGGCACATGGAGTTCGCGCTGCAGTTGCAGAGAGTGAGGTTGAGCAGCAGCGCAGAGGAGGCCTTGCCGTCGCTGGCGCTCACCACGCCAAACGCTGGCTCCGAGCTTCTGGGACTCCACGTCAAATTCCCATCGCCTGCAACAGCCAGCACCCAAAAAAACACTTTTCAGATTGCAGATTCTGTGTCCTTATCTTAGTCTCCGTGCCAATTAACCCCCTTTTTCCATTGGACAAACAGGCCGTGCTGGGACCATGCCGTGCAAGGCTGGCACAGCTCAGGAGGAACCACGTAAAATTTTCAATACAGAAGCTGAGTCGTGCCGCTGAGGTCGCACACATTGAGAAAGTCGAGGCGTGTGTAGGTGATGCAGTGACGCTGTTGTCACAGTTTATTTATTGACATCACATGCAATGAACGTGTAATTAGCCCCCCCCCCCGCCGTATTTGGCCATTCATTCATCGGACATAGTCAGTGATTGCGCCAAACGTGTGACCTCTTGCGACAGCATTAGCATAAACTGCTCTTGCTGCCTATACCAGTGTCTCGAGTGATTTGTTTGTGTTTTATCACGGGGGTGGGCGGGGTACAACAGCGGTGGTGGGCATTCCTTTGAGGGTCGCAGTCCACTTGGAATGTCAGCCGCCAACTGAAGTGCACCATTTTCTGGAGTTTGTGCATCAAGACAGGGAAATGTGTCCAAAAAGCGACAGCCATATCCCTCGAACTACGCTCTCACTTGCTAGGAGACCGGTCGAGGATGCAATGGTGACATTTCTGATTAAGTCAAACCCGCCATATTCAGATGGCTTGTGAAGCAAGCGTATCACAGTTCGGCTCTGGCTCGGCATGGCAATTAGCCAGTGGAAAACCACCCGTATCGCGAGGGCCATGCACTGATTAGCTTGGCTTGGATATGCCAGTGGAAAAAAAAGTATTATATAAATTCTCCCTTTGTAATATATACTTTATAATATGGCTATTGTGTTCAATCATTTTAAAATGTAAGAGTGGCCATCATATGGAAAGAATGACCCCCTGTCATGGCAAAATGTGAAATTTTCACCACTGGCTTTGGGCAACCAACAGAGAGAGTCATATGAGCATGGCGAGCCCTTGGTCTGGAGTCTCATCTTGGCGAATGCTTATTTTACTACAGCGTGGATGTACGCGGTTGTGTTTTGTACAGCTCTCTGATGTCTTTTCGAGTTCTGCCACGTATTACTCGCCACGATGTCCAACGTTTCACTCCACATCCTAGGAGCTTCAGAAAAGGAGCTGAATTTCCCAGCACGTAGAAAGAAACATCAGACATCACGCCAAACAACGGGCACTTCACTCCGAATGTACATCGCATAGCGATGTTCATTTTCAAGTAATAGAAATTTCTAATAAGGTCATCTTATAGATATTAAAAACCCACTTGTAATTGTGAGGCCTGATGAGTTTGTCGAAAGGGTGAAGACAATGGTGTCATTATTGGGGTCCTCTGCAATTACTTTGGCCCACACCGTAGAATTCACTTTGGTCGAGAGCTGTCCGCTGCTTGTAATGTTGGGAGGGAAGTTTTCTGCAACGAAAAAATATCCAAAGCTTTTTAGTAGTTTTCACCTTTTTTTTTACTCATCATTCAATAACATAAACACTTGTTCGTAGAAAAAATACGAATAAAACCCACGCAGTGTTTGGCCCTGCGATCCAAATTCTCCAGCGCTGTTCTTCGTGGCCTGCCCAAAATTGGGGTCGTCAGTGCTGAGCACATCAAAAATGCAGTCCTTTTGCCCTCCGCAGGATGCGCTGACGTCGGCCAGTTTTTTGGGCGATGTCCGATTAAGGAGTTCTTCATAAAACATCGGCACAAAGCTGTTGTTGTTGTAGGTGTGCCAGCTCTCCCCAGCACTGGTGTTGTAAGAAAACAAGCTCGTGTTTGCAGCGATTTGCCCTGTAAATATAACATTTTTAAAACGGTGAATATAACAAGAATGTATGCACCTACAGCGTCGTACTAGGCATTTTAATCGTAGGTCATTCTGTTGCAAGAGCCACAGTTACATGTATAATGCATTCCTTTTTAAAAAGTTTTAATCTTAATACTCGCTAATATTTGCTCATCATATTTAACGATAATCAATTAGATGTTAACAATCACTAAATGATGGTTAATTACCCAATCAGTTTAATTCAATAAAACACGTAAAAAATTTGCATTCCTAGATACCTGGTATGGAAATAAATTGACTGAAATAGAGTATCTAAGCAAAAATTTACCCATAACGATCCACTTAAAAATCAGTGAACCTTAAACGAGGACGTACGCCGGCAATGCGTGATTCCTCAGAAAGTAATTCACAAACTGAATATTTATTTTGAGACCAATGACAACAAGAACAAACGTTGTTGTGACGTGAAATGTATTTTTTTTGCAATGCTCACGTGCAGTTCTATACGAGTCGTCTGAAATACCTTCCTTGTTAAATTTTATTCTTCCACTTTTTCAGGTGTTTTTTGCCACGCGACAACAAATGTAAATGGTGTTGATTGCATGAGCATAGCAAGACTCAAAACACTAAAATTGCAATGGCGTTTACAGTAGAACTCTTAACGACCACCCCTGTTAATGACTAATCGCTTAACGACGGGACCTTCATAGAGCCCAATGTGTAGTGTATGGTGTAGTTATAGTAGCGTAGTGTATAGTTTAGTGTATAGTAGTGTAGTGTATAGTAGTGTAGTGTATAGTGGTGTAGTGTATAGTAGTGTAGTGTATAGTAGTGTAGTGTATAGTAGTGTAGTGTATAGTGTAGTGTATAATAGTGTAGTTATAGTAGCGTAGTGTATGTTTAGTGTATTGTAGTGTAGTGTATGGTAGCGGAGTGTATAGTAGTGTAGTGTATAGTGTAGTGTATAGTGTAGTGTATAATAGAATAGTATATAGTGTAGTGTAGTGCCTCCAAAGAGCCCAATGTGTTCGCTTACCGACCATTCTCCGGTTAACGACGGGCTGTTGTAGGTACAGTAAATATGAATTGAATGCATTGATTAACCATGTTTCTTTTAATATTATGTGTTTACAATGTTGTTAGTATCTTTATGTATTAATATCCAATGTCTGAATATTATAAAGTATGTGTTTTGTGGGTGAAAAAGCGTATCTTTCGATGCTATCAGAACGAATTTAGCTTTTAACATGTATTTCCTATATTCGCTTAATGACTAAATCACTTAACGACCTGTTCAATGGAACTAATTGCTATCATTAAGAGGAGTTCTACTGTATTAAGAATTGTTCAGCTGTAGCAATATAAATGCTCATATATAAACGCATATTGCCATGAAAATGCACGTGTCTCTCTGCAAGCTTCTCTTACGACACATATGAAGGGAAATTGAAGAAAATTGGTTCAATAACCAAAGTTAATCAGGAGGATGCACGTCAAATTGTTGCCGAATGCTCCCCCCTTGTCACACACTTTTACTAATCTGCACTGATAAGCATGGTTAAGTATGGTCAAACAACCCCCACAGCCGACACAATTTGAGAAAATGTATAAACTACTCACATGTGACTCCAAAATCATAGTATAACTGGTTCTCTGGAGGGACATTTGTTCCATCAAAGGGCAGCACAGTGCCATTCTTAGATTTAAAATCATCTTTAGGATCACCGTTGAAAACACCTGCAAGTAAAATATGTAATACACTTAATTTTACTTTAAAAAACTCAGACAAATTACATGCATCACAAAATATATTTATCACAAAATATATTTAAATACTGCGTTTGTATTTGTGATATGATTTAAATGTTTCAGCTGTTGTTTATTGGAGAGTAAAAAACATTCCGTAAGGAGACAACCCACAGACCGACAGAGGTAGATGAGTATTTGGTGTGGTGGTGGCGGTGAGTGGGATGGATGGACATCTCACCCAGCAAGCCTTGCGTTTGGTTGACAAATTTTTGGGGTAGCAGGGTGATGAAGTTGAGCGCCCCGTAAGAAGCCGTCACATTCACGGAGATACCCGATGGGAACGACGCGACAACTGACCCATACGACAGCTCGACTGACGTCTGGTTCTGAAACGTTTTGTTTCCTAACAAAGCACGTTGAAATGAAAAAAGGACAAATGTTTAATATATATAAGCTACAGCGAAGATCACACATGCAATACTAATGTGTACGTTTTCGCCGTCACGCTGTATTATGTCTCTCCGATGTGTTTTCTGGTTGCACCAGGTATTGTTCAGCATGATGTCCAACGTTTTGCTCCACGTACAAGAACCTTCTTCAGGAGCCTCTCAGGAACTGTCCGAACAAGCTTCCAGCATGTCGAGGCGAACGTGGGACATCGTGCCGAGCAAAACGTTTACAGCCACAAACCACATTTGAGAACATTACAACAAAATTATTATTTCTTATCCAGGAACGCATTAAAACTCGGTTATCAAGGATGGTTTTACGAAGGTCTAATTTACAAAATATCCTTACTGGGGTTTGTTTTTCTGTGGGCAATAAGGAACATTCAATGTATGTACTGACTGCGACTGAACTTTTTGGTATATTAAGATGAAACATCAAATCATACGTAAAAAACGTGATGCATTGCATATGTCACAAAAAATAATCACACACAGCATCTTTAAATGACTATATATCAAGTGTATGTGCACTTCAATGCAAAGGGGGTACCTGAGACTTGAGTAACTTGACTATCTAATAGCACGACAGTGATGTTGTCTTTGAGAATCCATTCAACCTGTGAACGCAAAAGCTCGTTACAGGTGCACTTCGTTGTCACAACAACAACCGCCATTTGCCACAAAGTGGCGGTGACGTCACCGCAGCACTTGTGCCAGGCTATGTGCACGTTAAGGCCACGTGAAGTGTCAAACGCCCACTGGCAGCAGGTCATGGGACAGACCCAGGTGCCATGGGGTGACTCACTCAAATGACTGGCTGATGCACCACCTGTGCCCCCCTACTGTGCCAACTTTGTCATAAGAGCACCTGTCCACAAACGTTAACAAAACGGCGAAGGGTTAGGGGGCAAGCTGAGCGCTCGAGCCACTTCCCTACCCACCTTGCTGCTGCCATTTTCTTGGGCCACGATGGCCACAAACGACGTGGCTTTTGAGGTCCCATTGGACCCTGCGATCGCCGTCCGGGCCTGCATGGTGAAATGGTTCTGATCGCCAGACACCTCCAAGACCGTGTACTCTCCCAGGCCGTTAAAGGTGTACGAGACGTTGTCCAGCGTCGTGATGTGAGGGTCGCCAAGGAGAAACGCTGCCAATGCAAGAAAAATATGACAGCAGGTTGTGCACGTTCAAGAGTTTACACAGTAAAACACATATCTGCATGCATAAATGTGCATGCAAGTGTTTGTAGAACTCTGCTGGCAGGTAAGCAATTACATATTCTGTAATTGCAGTCACATTTTTCGGAAAGATATTTTACTCAATTTTAAATGTTTTGTGTGGATAGGATGTAATTTATATGTTGGCTCTGTCTTAATAATACAATTGCCTCTCCATCAATTCGCAAGTGATCACGTGACAATGCTTCACCACTATGCTAGTCTGTACAGGTTGGTGAATTTTCCAAGCATACACAAAAGGGGTGGGGGGCAGCATAGCAGTGGAGTAAAACTATCCATTTTGCTGTACTGCCAACCACAAAATCCTAGCAGAATGTTCATCGAAGCACTATGCAAGCACCATCCTGACGGGATCACGCATGTTGCGTTTCTGAACATACATGTAATATAAATATGCTATATAGCGAAGAGACCATGAGACTCACCGAAGAAAGGAGGCCTGTAGAATGAACATTGGTTGCGAGGGCGTTTCTCTTGGTACAGGCGACACAGCCGACTGTCTCCAGACTGACAGCAGTATTGGTAGGGATCCGCTTCCTTTTCTAAATTGAGCAAAACAATGAAGACATAATAAAATATTAGTAAATCACTCATTGTAAAGTATTATTTTGAGACTTAATTAAGCAACTGAAACATGCATTCGACTAACGAAGATAAAACTATGGGTAGGGTTCTGCGATTTTGCGATACTACACTAAATCAAACAAATACAATACAAAGACAAAAATGTAATTGGATAATGACTTTCGCTGTCCATGTAATTATTGAATACTTTTCTTGAGTAACTGAACACGTGTGCATTATAAGCATGACAGGTTGTAGAGTCACAATGCTTACGAGATTTATGGCGGGCTTATGATTGAGTGTACTGCAGATGAATACCCTTTAAACAATCTACATTTGTACTTAAAGGACATCAGAGGACAACAACGAGATGATACGGGTGTGAAATACAATTACATCTGCCAACATCGTTATCATCAAATTGCTGAATTGTAAATATCGTATCGTGCAAAACGATTACAAAGTCTGAAACATTTAGTTCAATATCTTTCAAATATGCCCATGACATCACGTGACTTCTGCAATAGCACCACTTTATTTTTTGTGAAATAGCGTACCGTTAAAGTAACTTACGTTGATATTCTTGTCTTTGTAGTTGCAAATAATACGCCCCCCCCCACCACCACCAGTAGTTCCAAGGAGTGGGCAGATACCTCTCGTACCCACCCGACAGCAGAGAGCCCGACCAGCTATAGTGGCATCTCACCCCTCCACCATTGTAGTCTGGCCAAATGTTCTGTAGACTCCGAGATGCACCTAAATTGCACACGTTGCCAGTCCAGTATTTGTTTTTTGAGAGGATGCAGGTGTGAGAATGTGTTTGGACAAAGTGAAAGGCAGCATGGCAGTAGGTGCTTCCAATGGCTTAACAAATTTGAATGAAATTGTTTTCGCAAGATAGTTACAAAAGTTCTCAATTGCGAACATTACAGAAATCAATTACATGCAGAATATAAGTACGTGAGGAGAAATAAATTGCATATTGAATTGCTTCAGAACAGCTCCAGTAATACAATTCAAGGTACAGATTAATTAATGCAATAAATATCGGCACACGAGGCTTGTTCCTGACGAGAAAATGTAAACAAAAAAATCACATCACCACCATGAGCACCGTTATCGTGAAACAAATCAGACATAAAACAACAAATATTATAAACGTACCTGAGACGTAGGGAGGATTGTAGCCATACATTTGTATGATGTTCCCGTCAACGTAGGACATGTCAAAATACCCTTGCCAATAGAAACAAGGGCAGGTAGTGAAGGGACTGAAGTAGGGGGTGTTTCCCTCATTTTGATACCATTTTAGGCATTCGCGTTTTGGATTTTTGGTATAATATGAGTTCGTATCCAACCTGAGTGTTGATCTCCCCTTCAAGCCTGCAATGGAGTCACATAATTTGATCATATAAAACATGCATTTAAGAGCACTGCTATATATGTCTATGTATTTTTTATTGTTTTGTTTAAGCATGTACCTTTGTGAGAAGGTGAAATATACACCAAGATAGAGCATCCTCTTTTTATGACTCGCTAATAATATGGAGCAGAAAGTTGAACACCACAAAAGGTGTTTAACTAGCGAAAGAATCATCTGAAATGGGGAGGCCTTCAAACAGCAGTGGAAAGACCAAGGCAGATGATGATGAGAGCATTCGGAATGTATGCACACTGGTGCTGTATTACACTCAGTTCTCTACGTGAATACGACTGTTTTACCCTACGGGAATTACTTTGATGTTTGCTTTCCATGCTGATCATGAAACAATTAATCCCCCGGACTCTCTGAAGCATTCAGAAAACACATTTTAAGTGCATTGCCTTTATTGCTGTTTTTGCTAAAATATGGGAAACCAAGTGTCTTCTTTAATGTGGCCATATATGACACACTTTGACATGTATGCAACACATTACAAGAATTACATGCTTTGGGCAGTTGCAACCAGCTATATCATGGCCCTGACAACTGGAAAACAACGCTTTGGAATTAATTGTGAAGGGAGCGTTGTATAATTTCACATATTTGTCGAAAAGCAGGTAATATTTTGCAACGAGTTACATGAAAATAGACAATATTTTCAAGGGTAAGTGTTTGACCTTGTATTGAATGAAGCAGCATTTTCCTCAGACATGTTGCATTGTAATGTTAACACAAAAGAACAGTGAGCATAAACAAAGTGCGATGGAAGCGGTTGATATCTGCAAGTACGAGTCTCAGTGCTCATGACGAATGTGTCAGGAATGTTTCGTGATTGCTGTCAAGATTTTTCGTTGAACACACAATGCTTTATCTTTTTAACATATCAACATTGCCCTTTACCAACCCACTGCTGGATAAAGCCCTTTAGATCAAAAAGGTTGTTTGGTCGCACCTCACTACACTGGTCAGTATGGATTGGTTAAAGTGCAGTGCTTAGGGTGCCTATGGCCGATTCAGAACACTGATGTTCGCCGTGGCTAGGAATGAAACCCAGGTGGCCAGCAAAGGTTAGCACCTGAGTTTGATTCCTGATCATGGTTAACATCAGTGATAAGTGACACCTAATCAGTCCTGGGCACCCAACCTTCACCAACCCACATTGACCAGCATAGACAAAGATATCCCATATAGCCTTTAACAGACTGTGAGGGCAAGTGCTGTAAGTGAGCACTTATGAAGGCCAGTATGGCACATGAGGGGGTGGGTGGTTAATACCACGCCCGGCCACCTTTGTCTCCCCAGTGGTGATGCTTACACTACTCACCATTTGAGGCTGAGTCGACCTAGGGGAGGCCCAGAACTAGTTCAGATAATCGTCGCTGGTGTTATGAGCTAGAATCAAACTCGGGTCGCCGGGTTCGTAGCGCAGTGCGCTAATCGTTGCACACTCTGGTCAGCATATTGAAGTATTGGTCAAACAATCCCCATGACCGAAAGTCATGAAGAGAGCCTTTTATCCAGAAGTGAATTAATCTTCTGTACTATAAGAGTTTAGATTGCATTTTTATTTATCTTTGTATTGAATAATTTGAATTGTTTACGTTGATGCATAATTTATTATTGTTTTTTATTGTATTTGTCAAGCATCTTGCGACAAATTATTGTGAATGGCACCAAACCAATTAAAAATGAATTGATTGAATATACATAGCAACAAAAATTTAGTATTAATTTTAAACAATCAATATATTAATGAATTTACAAACATGCCACAATGAGAATCACAAAAAAATAAACGTAATTTACTAACAGACAGACATCCATATGTTCTATTTTTCAAGTTTATTCACCACCGCATGGAAGGGTTGTACATTTTTTTGCGAGTGGTTAATTGAAAACCAATTGCCTGGGAAATGCCAAACTTTAAAAGACGGTCAATTTTATATAAAGGCAATGGTAATAATACTCCCTACTTAGACACTGTGTGGTAAAATAATTTATTTTAAAAAAGCTTTTCTAAGACAATCTGAATGGAATTGCAAAGTGTGCTGGCTTCTGACAAAGTCACGCAAACATCCCAATGTCAAGATCCATTTTGACAACCAAGATAGGATCTACTACAGTAGCGTGCAGGTGTTTTCATTCACGTGCAAAGGACAGGGTATTTCAACAGAGGCCTATCTTTTTTTTGTTTGAACAGAAACCGGAAAAATACCGGTTTGCAATATACCATACACTGTGCTGCTACGTGTTGCGTGACAACATTGACGCACAGCAAGTCTGAAGACTATCAGCCTTACTGTCATGCTACAGTATCTTCATCTTAAATGTTTAAACGGTTTAATTGATTCATCACAGGACAGAATGCAGCTCTTAAGTTCGTGGATGCGGAAAATGTGCACGAATGAATAAAGGAATGCAATTGTAAAGTGCGCAGTGTGCGTACATTCACAATTCCATGTTGTGCATTGCACTTATACAATTGCGTTTCTCTATTTTTGCTCATTCATTTTTCTCAACTGTATAACTAATTTGTTATTTGATTAATACCTTTTCTTCGTATAGAGTTAATGGGCATGTAAATTCACACGAACAAGAACACAAACCTGCAATATCCACTCTTGCAAACATTTCTATAACATGTATACAGTCACATTTGATCACTACAAATTCATATGAATACCTGTATTTGTTCCATCAGCCTGGTCTGGACGATATCGTACGGTGGCATTTGGCGACAGTGAAATTGGTTCAATGTAAGGGCTATTTTCTAGTCCACTAATAAGGGAAGGAATGATGGGAAGAAAAAAAAACATCATCCAAACACTCATGTAAGAGATTAGAGAAATTAACACACAACTCATCCATGCATAAATGTTGGACGACTCAAACATCTTAAGAGGATATTCTTGGTTCTTTCGGTAAAGTCACGTAGAAGGGAAACAATAAAATAATAAAAATATAAAACGATAAAAAGAAGATTTTAAAGAATGACAATTTAACATTCTAATTCAAATAAAATAATCATCCGTTATTATTTAGACTTTCAATTGTAATTTTAACGTATCCAATTGTCATCAACAAAATCAAACATAAAAAAATCAAGATATACTGTCTTCTTTATTACTACTTTCGTTTGCCTAAAGAGTAAATTTTCTAGTTTTCAATGTAATGTGTACAATACAATTATTACTTTCAAATTTAATAAAAACACGCAAATATAATCAACAAAAACACATTTATAGTCAAATTCTGATTCCATATGTTTTCAAATCGGTTGATCATTCAAGGTGGATTTTTAAACAAATATCCAACAAAGTAACAACATACTTTGCAGAAATAATACACTGTTACCATAGGTATTCTAACATCTAAAACAAAATGTGTTAAAGTAACACGAGGTTAATATTATGAAAATACTGATGTATTCGATACAACGAATGTAGTAGCATCAAGTTATGTAAATACAGGGCGATCCATTTTTAGACCCCCCCATGACAATGATATGGAGAAATCAATAGAGAAAGAAACAATTGTATTTCAAAGCATCTACAAGTCTCTCACCAAACTCAATACTACATATTAGATTGTTTAATGCTCTCCTCGATAAGATATAGTGCCATCGTTTATACAATATTCAATCACCTGTTCTGCAGAACACCAAAAGGTCGTTAGAAATCAATAAACTATTTACACGATTAACTATTTTTTTATTTGACCAAGCAAGACCTACTGAGCTATATAGCTCTTTTTCAGAAGCGACCTGGCTTCAAATGATAGCTCAAAGAAGTGGCTTATCACGTGGAAATTTATAGCAGCCAAATACTCTAAACGCATGTAGATTCTAAATGTGGAGGGAAAAACCAGAGGACATGGAGAAAAATCCATGCTACCACTAGGAGAACATGCAAAATCTAAATATACAGACGTCGGGATCGGGATCGAACCCACAACCTCCTGTATACCAGGCGAGGTTGTTAACATCTCACCACCATGGCGCAATGTTATAAATGGATCATCCGGTATATAACTCATAAAATATTATTTTCAATGAATTATTACATTTTCAAACTCACCAAAACCAGTAACCATCTATATCGGTGATGTTTGACCTACCTCATGAAGCCCATGACAGCATTGTTGAAATCCCTAACTTCAGTTCTCCATCGCATGCCCCCATCTTTATATATTTGTAGGCAGAATGAAAATATGCCATCTGTACTCAGGATGGCTTGGAAGGTGTTTGTCTGGAAAGTAAACAAATAGAAATTCATGCGGAATGGATATCAAATGGATATGATTCGAAACAACATGCAGAACGACTGAGAGATGTAAATTGACATTCAATTCGCTTAGAGTACACATGTTATTGTGGTTGGCTACAATTTTACAAAAAAAAGTATTGAAGATAAACATGTTAATGCTTATACTATTTAGGACTTCGTGAGAAAAGAAATACAAACTCACTTTAGTTTAAAAGTTTTTTGGAAGGTACTGATTGAAGAATGTAGTGAAGTACAGTCAAATAATTTCCATGGCATAGTCAGATAAAATGTGTCAATCCTGCAGGTGTATGCCAAGTTGTACCCCATATGAGGCATGGACAGGAAGGTCTACGAGTTATAAAGTGAAGTCAAAAGAATTTTACTCTAGTATGGGCCTCAGCGGGGACAAATAATTTTCTGGAATACAGCAGTGTTGCATTGTAATCCGAGTCCAAACAAAAATTTGCTTAACACCATTGCAGTGCCATGCAACCCTATCCAGAAAAAATAACTCAACGGGATCTGAAATATGAGCTGACAGTAAATATCTCGTGGCATCTATTTATAACCTATGGATAAGTGGCACTTTTCCGAATATTATTTTTCAATTCCCATTTACAGAAATACAATTTTCTTTTAAAATACATTTTGTTTCAAATAACTATGCAATGCTTCACGGCGGTAAGGGGAGGGACATTGGTGAGTGTGCTTCACTCAAAACCTGGAAAAGTGCATTCAATCCCCACCCATGGCTACCAACAGTTACGAGAGATATCTGAACCAGTCTTGTACCACCCTCCACCACCAACCTCACCAACTCAACCCGACCAGCATGGTGAAGTATGGTCTTAACAACTCCCATGATTGACGAGGTGTGGGGAGGCCTTGCGTGGCATGCATGGCTCAGGATGGTGTGACGGCATGTGCATGAGTAAGTGATGGATCATGCCTCACACCCGATAGACCCGGAACCCACTCTGGTCCAGGTCACTTGGACATTTCAAGTTTACCTTATGTCTGCTGCAGTAACATAATGCCAGGACAAGATAATGTGCCAAACCAAAACAAATAAAATAAACGAAAGAAATTCCGTAACTGTGATTTTTTTGTGATTATCAAATTTCATTTAAATTCAATAAATACAGTTATGATTGATTAACATAAATCAAATACTTATTGTGATTGGATTAGATAGATTTTTTTGATGCCCCAAAAATCAAGCAACATTTGATGAAATAAATATTATTATTAGTTACGATATTTGTTTTGTACACTTAATACGCACACATGCACACACACAGAACATTTATTGAAAAATGCAATAAAAAAAATAAAAATGTGAAAAAAATTATGAAGTGACATTCAAGTATGTCCTGCAATAGAGTAGCTAAATATTCTTACATATCTGCCATTGTTGCTTGCTGGCACAGCAGGAGCTTCCTCCCAGGTGATCTTTAACATCCAGGTGGGCACATAGTTTATTATATCCGGCACAGTGCTGAAGTTGGCTCGGACCTGCGCCTGCACCTTTTCACGGAGCTGTGTTGCATTTTGGCTCGGGTTGCCAACAGTAAAGTCATACTCCTGCAAAACGGAAGCAATGTTGTTTGAGGTGGAGAGACGAAGCCCAACAATTTTACTCCAGCAAGACATTTTTGTTAGGTTTGCAAACGTGTGCATTCACGTGAAAGCTATATATATTTAATGCACGGAAAAATAAATCAAGTGGAAATGGGCAGGACACATCATGACAACAGATGATGAGCAATAGAGGAAATTAACTACATAGTGCATACTGAAGACAAGGCAATCGAAGAAACAGAAAGACGGTGAAAGAGATGGCGAGACGAAATAAAAGAGTTTGGAGGCTCACTACTTGACAACCGAGGAAAGGAAGGAATGGAAGAAAATGGGGAAGACCTTTGCCCACGAGCGGGTAGTTACAGGCTAACAACAATAACGGCAACTGGATACAGAGGTGCCGATGGCTTTTACACTCTTCAGCGTACAGCACACATACCTGGTAATATATTTTTCCAATGCCGGATGAGAAGTCACAATCGTCCCAGAAAACTGCAATCATGGGAGTATAGTACCACCATGAATTTCTAGTTGGATTTGGATAAGCAAACTTTGATTGGTCTTCGTTTTCTTTGAACACAATCAACCCGTTGTCTGTGAACTGGATACCACACAGACAAACGTGCATCAATGAAAATATGTGAGGATCTTAAATGACAGAAAACAAATGCACGAGTGCCACTTTTGCACAATTCAAATAAGACAACAAACAAAGAACTGGGCAATACACAAATTAGGCAATATAAACAATTGCACAAATTAAGCAACCTCACAATTAAAATAAAAAAACTACTTCGACATAGTGGGTATATTATTAAAGACAATTATCTATACACCTGATGATGATTGCTTGTGTTGCAGTCGAAACGTCGTGAGAATTTTATTGTTTTATATTTTTAGCATTTTATTGTTTCCCTTCTACGTGACTTTACCGAAAGAACCAAGAATATGAATCCCTGCAGTCACGAAAGCTTTAAATCCAAATTTATAAAAGTTGTTTTATTTATTGAACAAGTCAACGGTTTTTTGGTTTATGTGAAACTGCATGCATCTCAGCATGGGATTAAAATCAGTTCCTCTATGTGTGTACATCCAACACCGTGATGCTTTGAGAATTTCTCCTTTATCAAGATAATTGGGCGAATTATTGATTTTTTATTCTAAATGGTGGACGTACCATGCCCAATTAAAAGCTGCTTAATGATTATACAAATGATTTCCCACATATTTAAAGTGTATGAAACGTATCCATGATATAATTGAAATTCAAAGCCCGTATTACTTCATAGCTACATAGCTAACATCTACTGTATATGATATCTAACTGGACGATCCAAAAACATACTTTTTAATATAAAATAAATTTTTAAGTGTATTGTCGGATATTACAGTGTCATCACTAAAGTGTGAATGCTGTAAATTTGATATACTCGTATCAACTATATAAAAAACGGGTTTTGTCTTTAGTTTGTTGTCCTTCCCCCGCACCTCCGATTAGCACGGTTGGCTACGCACGGTGCAAAAGACGTTCAACATACATACATCAATGGAGTTGTATGGACAATAGATTTTTCTGTAAGGCCACATCATTTTCTGACGAAAATCGTATCAACAGACCCTCCACCGCCCAATATAGCCAAACAAACGTGCTAAAAAGAACGGTACTCACAACCAAATAAAGCTAATCAGATTCCCCGATTTCCTGGATTTTCCTGAAGGTGTTTGATGCAGTTTCAAGCGATACGTTGTGTATCTAATTGCTAAATTTGGTCTGTGAGAAATGTTCTTCAAATTACCGGTTGACCTGAAACAATACTAATACTTGTACACGTGGCAATGTAAGTAGTGTGGTTATGTCAGGTAATGAGGGTTTATCGACACAGATTTAGTCAGATCATAATGTGAGTCTAACACGTAGCAGGCTTTCGTGACCAGTATTATTCATAATAAAGATTTTTGGGTTAGATCGTGTTATTTATAAATGTGTCACAACCTGCCACCACCCAACACGGCCAATCAGTAAAAAATGTGTCACATTGACAAAAGACAAATAGTTCATTACTTTTTAGCCCACCGGTGTGTTGAAGAGTGAATCCACAATATTTATAATGCCTAACCCAAAATTATATTACGAATCAAATTGGCTGCAAACACCTAGCTGTTGCTGTATTATACGTTTTCATACAAATGCAACTACATTCTGACATTTTTATTTTAATCTATGGCAGTCACATTGCAATCGCATGGTTAGAGAAAGCTCTGGTAGAAGTGTTTACACACTGATAAAACTTGTGTTGGACAGCCCGATACACACAGCCTAGGTACAAATCTATAAAAGATATGCATTTATTTATTTAGGAGTTGCACCTTCCTTTTATTTTTATTTTTACATATGCGAGTGTTAATAATTATGTTCTCAATGCTGGGGCAACAAAACAGCACATAAGTATTTAAATAACTTCACCATATTCCGGTCAATATGACGTATTTAGCAATAATGAAACTACATTTTCAGACGTTGACATATGTATTGTACAATATCTTGTAACAGCATCAGTTGACATTACTTACATACAACTGTTGGTAGAACCTGGTTCCGAATGGAAATCCGTACGGTGGTGAGAAGAACGGAGACACATAGTCTGTGTCCCAAATATACGGACTTTGGTCGTACACATTTCTCCCATAATCGAAGAGCCTCTTCTCTGTGAAAATAAATCAATTACACTATCAAAGAAAGACTCTTACAGTGAATATAATTGTTACACATTAAAACTGACTTTTGGGTAATAGAAAAGGTCTTGCTTAGATGCAGGTGTCAATGGAAAGTGATCATTTTTTCAGAAACTTTAAACCCTAGTTCATGATTTGGAAAGGTCACGAGACATGGTTGCAGAAGTCAGCATTGTCAGGTATTTATCCAATCAGTATCAGATGAGTATCTCTATATTGAATTAATTGACATATACATGATATTGAATTTGTAAATATTAATTGTAAATGGAATGCGTATTATATGTATATGTTTACACCTGCTGATGCTGGATGTAATCTTCAGCAAAATGTCAATATACAATTGTCAAAAATATGCTTGCTTATTAACAGTTCAGTTTGCTGTCAAACCAAAGCAATTAGCATAATTACCCACGTGACAACTTTATTGAAATTGAATTATCGTGTGTTCTATTAAAAGCAGAGTTTGCATACCGAAGCACTGAATGCCATCTCCCTCATAGCCAGGCTTGCACGAGCAAGCATATGAGCCAGGCGTATTGGTACAGATCCCAAGCGTTCCGTGGCAGGGAAAAGGTCCAACTCTGCACTCATTAATGTCTGAACAAAACATGCAATGTGCACACGGCCACAGTTACATACATGTAGACATGCTGTATGTACTGAGCTGAGATTGCATCCTTTAAAAATCACATTTTAGACTATTTTCATGAAGGTCAGCAAGCTTAAAACATACAAATTGTATGTTCTTCTCGACATGAGAAGAACATACAAATTGTATAAATTTCGATTTAAAGCTTTCGTGACTGCAAGGATTCATCTTCTTTGGTTCTTTCGGTAAAGTCACGTAGAATGAGAATAAAATAAGAAATTGATAAAATAAAATAACACAATAATATTCTCACGACGTTTCGGCCACAACACAAGCGGCCTTCAACACAAGCGGCCTTCATCAGGTGAAGGGACTTTACCGAAAGAACCAAAGAAGATACAAATTGTATGTTCTTCTCGGCATAAGAAGAACAATCATTACTCAAACTTCACCATAACAACTAAAACCGAAATAATGTTAAGAGATTTGAAAGGTGCAGCTCTGTAGCTGCTTGCTTACAACACTGCTGGTAGAAGAGCCTCCCAAAAGACACAGGTTTAGTTTAAAAAAAGTTATATATGTGGTAAAAAACATATAAAAATGTACAGCCTTTTCTTCAATCCATGAACAGGATGAAGGCCTCCCCACACTGTGTTGGTAATGGGGGTAGTGTGACCATACTTCACAACACAGCATTTTACAATCTGATGAAGGCGAGGCCCAGGACGGGTTCAGATATCAAATTCAGGTCACGGGGTTCATAGTGCAGTGCCCCAACCACTGGACCACCGGTTCAAACTATGTATGCAGTACCATGTATGGCTTAACGAGTAAATGGGCGATGCTCAATTGTTATAAGTATATGCTATAAGTATTTTAAGTAGTTATACGTCAATTGTTATAAGTAGCATGGTATATGTATGTTTACCACTTGCACAGCGAACACCACTCCATCCACTCGGACAAAGGCAGATGTAACTATTGACACCATCCAGACATGTGCTACTGTGCTGACACTCGTTTCCAATGCAGTCATCGATATCTATGGAGAAATCACAAACATCATTCATGTAAATGTCACTTTAACAGTCCAAGGTTTACACTATTGACAGCTACATTAATCATAACTTGCCAATGGAACACAAGACGTTGAGAGGGACAAAAAAGTCTGGCGATTACATAAGGACTCGCGCAGAACATAATACAAATTTCATGGCAGGATAGGGTAAGTAACCTGCTAAGTTTAGAATCACATCACCGATAAATGCACCATGCATGCACATCCTGGCGGTGTCACTGCAATCCATACAGTGTCTACCGCCTCCCTGTATTTGTTTAAATAACTTAGCATTCAACTTTCATATGTTTCAAAACTGTTGATGTATCCTCCTGCCTTACAAAAGAAGAATAGGTGTCGAAAACAATGTTAATAAAGCGTAGCAGACATAATCACGAATAGGAGTATGTGATTTACTCAAATTCACACTCTTGCTGGCACATTTGATTCTCATAGAAATCAATAAAAAATATATATAAAATAATGGCCCACATTGCATTTTGTAGTATGACAACTATGGTCAACTTCCATATAACCCACAGATTTTGGAATGAGAAATCAGATAAATATTACAAGATTATTTTCATTGGCATTCATTTTAATTGGAAATCATACCCATGCGTGAGGATTTTTAGTCCAGAATTCTACCCCCTAAACTAAAGTCACTCAAAAATAATAATTTACAATACATTCATATACTTATGAGTTCTAATCCCAGTCAGGGATCGTCTTTTCTCGACATTCCTCAACAACAGCGGTCAACCTAAACATGGGCTCCTTCATATGAATGTGTAAATTCTACCAATGGCTCAGCATAACCAAAAGAGATCGCACAATTCTACGGCGTGTCTTCTTGGTTGGCACTGCCTGTTCTTCACCATGGCATGATGTGTCCGACGTTTCGCTATACATGCTAGCAGCTTCTTAAGAGAACTAAATACACATTGGACATCAATCCAAGCAACACAAAGAGCAACAGAGGTATACAGCACAATCACAAAAGCTATGCAATAGTATGATATAAACACAGCCTAGTGCTCATCTGAGTTGAAAACTCTTACATTTTACTTCATATAAAAGAATGAGGGAAATGAGCCTTACTGTATTGGCAGTATTGCCCTGTGTATCCCAGAATACAGGAACAGTTGTATCCCTTCAGAATGTCAATGCAGGTTGCACCATTTTGGCACTGTGCATTCACGCAGTCGTCGATGTCTAAACAATACCACAACGCAGCAGTTATACACACATAAGGCTAATTACACTATTTAACTGCATGGTGCAGCAAACTATTATTTTGATGGAACCACTTTTATGCACAAATTGACACACACAACACTCACTTACACATACCTTTAGACATATTTACTTCTCTCTCAATGCCAGTTGATATCAGTTTATTTATGCGCTCTACTATTTTGCACATGTGTCTCATTTGAAAATATAGTACAATACATTATGTAAAATGCGTTTTGAAGTGCTTCATCATATTCAATATCTGAACACATGCACCAAAACACTCTTCACGTTCATGTGTAAACATTCAACAATTTTATGTTGGAAACGCCAGAAAGTTCTACAAGCTGAAAATGTGCCCGTTAAACTTCAGCTTAAGGGCATTAAAGTGGCACAACAATCAATAGTAAGGGGTAGAAGTAAACTATCTATTCCTGGGTTGCCGTTCAGTTATCGTAGTAGTGCATCTGCCTGCTCGCACCCCAGGAAGGTGTTTGGGAGGTTGTTATGAACGAAGCACATGTACTGGGCTAAAGACACTTTTTTTGTTATGCTCCATATGTATGTGAGGCAAGCTGAGACGTGTTCGATCTAAAACGTTTTTCAGTGAAGACGAGCATGATCAGGACTCACTCGTAGTGCATGTGTCGCCCGACCACCCCTCGTCACATCTGCAGAAGAAGGCGTTGACCTGATCCACACATGTGCCGTGGATGCACGGGTTGGACGCACATTCATCCACAACTAAGGGAAGCAAAGGGCAGTGTGAACACACACTTGTGCAGTCGACACGATGGCACAGGACCGCATTGCACACTCCAGATAAACAACAATGAGACGCAAAATGTCATTCGTATTAACAACCATTTCATGTCTGGTGGAAAAAAAAGACCTAAATAGGCAGTGTGAGGTTGTACAATTGTTTTTAATATATACGTTTCATTTGTGAAGTTTATAGGCGTTAAAGCATCAATGTGCAGACATTGGTGCTACATCTACATTTCCCATATAGAAAATGTGTTTTTGCTATCGTGAACCGTGTACACAAAAAAGAGCAATGTTTGTTAGTATTCATGGACTTTTGAATGTGTTTAAGGATTTACATTTATAGGGCACTCAAAGTGCCCTCCATCGTATCTCATCTCAACCATTTTGATACCCTGCTGCTGTCTGGCTAAAGATGCTCCCCAGTGGCAGCTGTCCCTGTGTGGCACTCAGCGCACACAACACTGGCCTGCTTGTGGGCTTTTATCTGCCAGTAGGGGCCAACGTTGCTATCTGGTTATTCCCAATTCAGTGATTTTGCGAGTAATTTATCAAAACCTAGCCAACGGATATGTATCAGCTTACGCAGTGAACAGAGGTTCCCACTCCAACCGGGTGCACATGTGCAAGAGAAGGAGCCCTGTGTGTTAACACAGGTTCCTCCATGGGAGCATGGTCTAGAGGCACATTCATTTACATCTGGAAAAACACACACACATGAAAGGTCATGGAAATGTACCCATCGATGTAAAACGTCCGGTTAACTTTTTTTTACAAAAATAAATTTTTATTACGACATTTCTGCTAAATGTTGTTATACAAAATTAACATACAGTACATGTAAGCATATTTTGCCCCAAACTCACATCACGTAGAATATGTAGTAGTAATGTCACCAAGCATATTGTTCATAATAAAGTTTTTAGGGTTAGATCGCGTTATTTATAAATGTGTCGTAACCCTCCACCACCCGACACAACCAATCAGCAAAAAAAGTGTCACGTTGACAAAAGACAAATAGTTCACTACTTTAGCCCACCGGTGTGTTGAAGAGTGAATCCACAACATTTACAGTTTGAGTACGACGTTTCATCGGGCAATTCGCAAGAATGGTAAGGCCCTCGCTTGCTCCCGGTCTTAAATAGAGCAGCAGGGTGACGTCATCATTTAACTCATTTCAGGTGCAGTGATTTGAGGCGGAGGGGGGGGTATTGTAATTATATAATCGATTGGTAATCAGTCAATGGTTATGATTAGTAATGAGTTGTAGATTGGTAATTAGTTGTAATGTGTTTTATTGTGTTTATATGCTACGTTAGTAATCCGTTAATTAGTATGTGTTTCCCCTATAAGGAATTGTAATATGTATTATTTAATAATACGCTTCCAAGCCGCACTAAGCCTGTAGCTGTCAGAGCGATTAAAGTTATTTCTATTCCTCTCAATTTCAATGGATTCTCTGATTAGTCTTTGCCAGTAATAATTAGTTTTACACAACACTTCAACGTTATCAAAATCAATTGAGTGTCCTTGTTGACAAGCATTTTCTGCCACTGCCGACAGTTGCATTTGAGATAATTTAATATTTCTTTGATGTTCTTTTAGTCTTATGCTGATGTTACGTCCCGTCTGTCCAATATAGCATCTGCCACATAAACAATTAATCCGATAAACACCTTCTGTTGATAATTTTTATGTAATGCATCTTTAGTGCAAGATACTAGTTTTTGAATTTTGTGTACTGTACCAAATCTTACTGTAATGTTTTGCTTTTGCAAAACACGGGCTAATTTGTCAGTTACTCCTGAGATATATGGAATTTTAATTGTTTTAACAATCTGATCGCTTTCAGCAGTATTGCTTTGCGATCGTGATTTGGCATTCAGTGCTCTGTTAATTTGAGCATTATTGTAGCCATTCTGTCATAGTGCTTCTTTAACGTGTTTGATCTCATCACTTAAAAGCATATTGTTGCCTCTATAAGTATGTTGTTTCCATTATAAGTACATAAACTACATCCACATGCTTGGAAGCATTTATCACACAAACATTGATGTAATTAATATGTTCCACTCACCTTCATCACAGTAGACACCGGTCCACCCACTGGTACAATGGCAGGAGAATTTATTTACCATGTTTTGACAGGTGCCAGAATTTGTGCAAGGATTACTCTGGCACTCATCAACATCTGTGGGGAACAAAAAAAACATACAAATGGAGTAAAGCCTTAGAGCAGCACACAGTTCATTATAATGATTTACTCGTTCATCCACGAGACCCCCACAAAACACCCCTTAGGACTCTTTTTTACATGAAGGTTCTCCATTGGGATTTTTTTAAATAGATGTTTTCAGGCAATTACCGAGTGTCTATACAAGTAGGGAAAAAAACACTAGCACCCAGCGATAAACCGCACGTGTAAAGGGGGCAAGACTCTTATCCACGAAAGGAATCAAAACGTATGATAGCTATTATTGGACTCGCTGTCCTTCCTTTTCCTGGCGAGCCTCGGGTATGGCACCTTGATGCCCACGGGAAGGGATCTTCACAATATTTTTTGTGCGATTCACCAACTCTCACCTCCACCATCCTGGATTACAGGCGTGCATAGCATCCACCGCCCAGCATTAAGGTGTAACAGGTATGAAACAATTATTAATAGTACAATGGTACACATGTGTATCATGTAAAATGTAATGGCTCGGTCGTACTTATTTCTTTCGACTCAATTTTGCTGTACCAATGAAATTAATATCCTTAACAACACAGCCCCCAAACCGCACTAACGAAGTATGGTAAAACAAAAACCTGTGACCAAGATGATGTGGGGAATTAACCATGTCAGTGGATTAACAAAGGGATGTGGAATGACAAGTTCACTCATTTCGTTCATAATAAAGGTTTTTGGGTTAGATCGCGTTATTTATAAATGTGTCATAACCCTCCACCACCCGACACGGCCAATCAGCAAAAAAAGTGTCACGTTGACAAAAGACAAATAGTTCACTACTTTAGCCCACCGGTGTGTTGAAGAGTGAATCCACAACATTTATAGTTTGAGTACGACGTTTCGTTGGTAATTACATCCAGCATCATCGGGCAATTCGCCAGAATGGTAAAGCCCTCGCTTGCTCCCAGTCTTAAATAGAGCAGCAGGGTGACGTCATCATTTAACTCATTCTGGCGAATTGCCCGATGATGCTGGATGCTGGATGTAATTACCAGTGAAACGTCGTACTCAAACTGTAAATGTTGTGGATTCACTCTTCAACACACCGGTGGGCTAAAGTAGTGAACTATTTGTCTTTTGTCAACGTGACACTTTTTTTGCTGATTGGCCATGTCGGGTGGTGGAGGGTTATGACACATTTATAAATAACGCAATCTAACCCAAAAACCTTTATTATGAATAATATTGATCGCGAAAGCCTATGTGTTAAACTTCACTCATTTCGTGTCTATGTTATTTTATTTTGCGGTTCTGTTTGAGAACATCCCCCCCCCTCCTTTCCCTCAACTTTTGCTCCCATAAAAATGCCACATTCCTGATCGTTGCCCCTACGTGAGTAGGGGGACAGTGATCCCAATCACTCTTCCCTTCCCTTTACCCCATGGAATACCTGTACCCCTTTCCCCTATCGATCATGCTTTGTTTGTTTAAAGAAAAAACACAAGGGCTGTGGAACTGGGAAAAATCTCCGTAGTGACGGTTTTCACGTACCAATGCATCTGTTAGCAACAACGGGATCCTGTGTGAACCCAGGAGAACAGGAGCACCTGTAGCTTCCGATGACGTTAGAGCATTCCTGCTCACACGGTTTAGGCTGCTCTTCACATTCATTCAAATCTGTATCGTTCAAGAGCACCGCACGCAGTCATCAGGCAATTGAGCTTAAACAACACAGTATTGGAAATGTATCATGACAATTATTGCATTGCTTGCAACTAAAAGTTATTCATTTAAATATGTATCATTCAGTAGCATTGCATGTGGTTATCAGGCAATTGAGCTTAAACAACATAGTATTGGGAATTTATCATAATAATTATTATGATATAGCTAAGCAGCAGGTCTAGAGGTATGTTTGAGGGTACGTAAAGCACAATCATCAGATTAGAAACATAACATTTTAGAACAATGTTAGAATCTTAAATGTTTTAAAGAAAGATACAGTATTACTGACATCTCCTCTAAGAATGGATATTAGGTAGAAGAAAGCATAAAAATACAACAGATTGATCATGCAATATTATGTCAGCTGTGCTGGCGAATCCAGTTTTACCCAAGCAGTTTTGCTGGCTTTTGTCAAGGACGAAACCAATGTTACAGGAGCAGGTTGGCCTTTTTGTGTTGGGATCAATAAAGCACCTTCCATTGGTACAGGCCAGTGTGCAGCTCACAATAGCTGAAAAATAAAATATAACATATACAGCGCATTAACCTCCATACGGTATTTGCAGTGTAATTGTTCACATTTCAAAACGTAATGTGTGTAATGAAACAGTACAGTAATGCATACACTATGACTCAATATTTTAACAAGCATTTTTTTATATATATATTTGACTGTAAATACATTTAGTATGTTGTAAACAAAAAATATCTATGTACGTGCTTATACATTCAGTAAACTTATTAAACAGCTAACATGTCATGTTTGGGTGTAAAGAGATGGCCAAAACAGATGAATGTGAAATGTAATGTTTAGATTACATTTTTGATGCAAGGCAATACTATATTGTACTCTAAATAATGACATTGATTTTCTTTATTCAAGCCTACCATCCCACGATCAAAATGACACAGTGAAGTCATATTCTAAATATTTAGTTATCCAATTCCTATTCTCCATGAGCCGTGTCCTTTCTCAAAGACTTCGGCGATCATGGCCTTCTTCCATTTGGCTCTGTCCATGATATGATACTCCACTCCCAGTTGCATCCAATTGGTCAAATTGCTTATGCATTGGTGACCATTGCCTCTATTTACGATTCAAATATGTACTTTAAATCTTATAAAAGTTGCAAATATGAGCTACTAGCTTTACTACCCGGCTTTGCCCGGGACTTGGATTCACCACGCGCGGCCGCCTTTGTCTCTCCAGTGGCGATGTTCACACACCACACCAGTTACTGGTTTGAGGCTGAGTCGACCTAGGGGAGGCCCAGGACCGGTTCATATAATCGTCACAGGTGGTGGGCGTGAGCAGGAATCGAACTCAAGTCACCGGGTTCGTAGCGCGGCCCGCTAACCACTACACTACAATGCGTTACGTTTCCACATGCACGGGTCACATGACAGATATGATGTCACGGCTCACTTGCCGTGCAAAAAGAATATGCGTTATTGAGCTCCCCCACCCACAAAAAAGTGTATTTTTATATTTTTGCATGGTGTACAGCCTGGAAAGTACCCACATGGCAAATTTCAAGTTTGTTGCATGTCGGGAAGTACACTAAACATTTTGAACAGACACAATCACAACTTTGCCTTTTATATATGTAGTGTTCGATTTCACTCGGACAACTTCTGTCTTTCTCCGAACACCGTTTTATTTACAACTCTCAGCATGTCCTCTACATTCCACAGTATCCTGGTCGCCACGGCTCGCTTGTCGTGCTTCACTCGACTCGCTCGCCACCTTTGTCTCTCCACTCCCCACGATTACTTCGCTTACTCCGCACTCAGCGACTCCGCACTCAGCGACTCCGCACACAGTGTCTTCACACACAGCGTCTTCGCACACAGCGTCTTCGCACACAGCGACTTCGCACAAAGCGTCTTCGCACACAGCATCTTTGCACTCAGCAAATCCACCCTTCAACTCTTAACTCCAACTCTGTCTTCCAAACTCTGTCTCTCAAACTCTGTCTTCCAAACTCTCCACACTTCAACTCCCCCAAGCTCTCCAACTTCAACCCATCTCCAAGTTCTCCGCTCTTCAACCTCTCTCCAAGATCTCCACCATTCAACCTCCTCTGTTGACTCCGACTCCCGCTCTTATACCCGCTCTCATTACACCCCCAATTAATTAACCCGCGTCCCTACAGCACTCCGCGTGACCTTCACCTGTTTCTCCTCCAGACCTTTAGATGCCTCTTCAGCCCCGGCAACAGCACCAACCAATCACAGCCGTCCAGGGCTCTCCCAGCTTAATTGCCCCAACATAACCTGCACTGTATTCGCCTTTGCTACAGGCTGACCCAAGATAACCCGTACTGTCTGTGTGATCATGTAATCACGCTGTTTCCACAATGCACCTTCGTACTCCACTACATATATATGGAGATATGTAAGACTTTGGGTCAGTCACAGCATATATGGCAGCATTTGTATTCACATCTCTGAGATACAGAATTAATATACACTACCGTTCTTGTATTTGTTAATATATATTAAATCTGAATTAAACACACAGCGATCCCTTACTTAACTTTGTAAGTTGGTGGGCATGTGTTGTTCACAAACACTTATTAAGAACCAGTCTAGGACACAGGAAGTGTGGCCAGCACCACGCCTCACCAGCGTTGTGTGTGCTCACCTGTGATTAATCACACATGATCAATCACACGTATGATCAATCACACATGATCAATCACACATGATCAATCACACCTATGAATGATTAATCACACGTATGATTAATCACACGTATGACACGTATAATTTGAGCACTCTGCTCACAGCGACGGGTAACCATGTGCGTTTAAAAAAATTCATTATTTAAGTTAATGCAATGGTGATCAAGGATTGGGACCCTAGCCCCCGAAGTGCACAGCTTAGATTTGGGCGGATTAAGTGCCCTTTCAGCCGCGTGTTGTTGTTGTTACATTAGCTCCAATAATAATGTCTCACTGTTAAATGTATGTCAATCGACTGACAGGAGCTCGGTGGAGTCGCCTTGCGTTTTACGTAACGCGGGTTTGAAGTGGCGCGTTCGATTACCTCGCACTTATTCGTTGTTGTTGTACATGCGCGCACTATGATTGGAAACAACGAACGCGTCACGTAAGCTTTAAATCAAAATTTAATGTAGGAGCAGTTAAAACTTTAATATTAACGTTGATTTTTTTAAATACTCGTATTCATTGGGTCTAAAAATAAACACTGGCACTCAATCCCATCAACAGAGTAATCTAGTAGCGGTGTTGTGACATGGAGGGTGTTTCTGATCGCTATTGCAGGTAGGAGATTGTTCACTTTATCTTTTTGAATTGTATTGTTTTATTTGCCGTTTTTTGCGCGGGAAATCGTCTTCGTGGCGAGTTATTTAATCAGTATTACGAGTGCTAATGAACTTGTTTCCTTTGAACAATACAACTCGAATCAATAGCTATAACGGAGTTGGAAGATGATGGGTGTGTTTTGGATTTGGAAAACGGAAGTCGTTTTTATTATGCATGTTTTTATTTAACTCACTGTCTGTTGTTGTATCCTCAAATCTTGTAACTCAATTTTAACCCACTTCCCAATGTGGTATCGACTGCAAACTTGATATACTTATGTCATACTGATGACAATACTATATTCTATCATTAAATGTAAAAAATATATTTTTAAACATTATTTTTTATATATTATGTTTCGGCTTGGCTGTAATTGGCCACGGTCCCTTACGTTGTGGCAAGCTTCGGGGCCACTTCTTGGAGTCGTGGAGTTCTTCCATTACTAGTACGGTACATTTCATTAAAGCGTGTTTCTAAAAAGTTTTTTTTTAAATATATAACTTATTGCAAACGCTTGGTGGTGGTGTTGTTGTTGCGATGTAGCGCTGTACATTGTAAAGGCGCACAATGGCTGATTAGAGCTTGGTTTCAACACTGAGCGAGCTAATGGAGCTGAGCAGAACATGCGCTTTGGCAGCGGGCACATTAATACAAGAAAGAATAACTGTTTTTGATGTTTTTGTCAGTTAAATATGATTTCTCTAATTAACATTGTTCATAGAATTGGATGTTGAACGAAACGTTTAAGTATTACGATGAACTGGGACGTTTAGGAGGGGCATCATATATATTTTGGGCAGATGTTTGTATGTTAAATGTTCCTAGATATATATTCTTGGTTCATCTTCTTTGGTTCTTTCGGTAAAGTCACGTAGAATGAGAATAAAATAATAAATTGATAAAATAAAATAACACAATAAAATTCTCACGACGTTTCGGCCACAACACAAGCGGCCTTCATCAGGTGAAGGGACGAGACTGTCTGGAGGACAGCTCTGGAGCAAAAAAGCCACGCTCAGATCGCGACCTTCAAGCTGTGTGAGAACAAACAAAGCGCCTTGACAAAGGAATTAGCATAGAATTTAGCATTGAAATGGCTGAGTGATTAGCTTGTGACTGGTCACAGAAATGGCTATGTTAAAGTTAAAGCATACACATCCGCAGAGGCACCCATTGACAAAGGAATTAGCATAGAATTTAGCATTGAAATAGCTGAGTGATTAGCTTGTAACTGGTCACAGAAACAGCTATGTTAAAGTCAGAGCATATACATTCACATAGGCACCTAGTACAAATCAAACAGGAGAATTTAGCATTGAAATAACTAGGCGAATTTAGCATTGAAATAACTGAGTGATTAGCTTGTGACTGGTCACAGAAATGGCTATGTTGAAGTCAAGGCCTACACATCTGAGCTATTCACAGTAACTGGGTATACACTACAATATATAATGAATACTATATAGTGAACCAATAAAAAACTAAAATATAAATTACCTCAATGTTATCAATAAACTCTATATATTCTCCAATCAGCTAAGCTACCAACAATAAGTCGTTATATATCACAATGCTATATGGCGAAAAAATGGGTGGATTCTTACCCTCAACTTTAGCAACACGGATAGCTACGGGCCCCGTTCAGACGGACGAGTTCATCCATGGTCGGAACAGAGGAGGGGGAGAGAGACAGCTGCGAGGCGCTGTTATACTCCATGTTGTAAACCATACCATTAACTGTGGTGTGAGAGGTATTAAGAGTCAATGCCAGCGAAAGAGCTGCGGTCTGAAGGTCATCGTAAAATACAATTAAGAACGGAAATGGTTTAAAACATCTTTCCAATGGTTACTAAGCCAGAATCCATCTTCTCGGTTGAAATTGTCTCTGTGCTTGTATATGTGAATGGCCTCATGAACGAATCTCTCATGGTAGCCGGTTGGTTTGCAAAGAACCTCCATCTTGGAGAAGTCAATGTCATGTGAGCCCACTGAAACACAGTAGAACGAACTCCTCTGCCGTGGCAGATCACTGTTATAATTCAGTGGGCTCACATGACATTGACTTCTCCAAGACGGAGGTTCTTTGAAAACCAACCGGCTACCATGAGAGATTCGTTCATGAGGCCATTCACATATACAATCACAGAGACAATTTCAACCGAGAAGATGGATTCTGGCTTAGTAACCATTGGAAAGATGTTTTAAACCATTTCCGTTCTTAATTAATTGTATTTTACGATGACCTTCAGACCGCAGCTCTTTCGCTGGCATTGACTCTTAATACCTCTCACACTACGGTTAATGGTATGGTTTACAACATGGAGTATAATAGCACCTCGCAGCTGTCTCTCTCCCCCTCCTCTGTTCCGACCATGGATGAACTCGTTCGTCTGAACGGGGCCCGTAGCTATCCGTGTTGTTAAAGTTGAGGGTAAGAATCCACCCATTTTTTCGCCATATAGCATTGTGATATATAACGACTTATTGTTGGTAGCTTAGCTGATTGGAGAATATATAGAGTTTATTGATAACATTGAGGTAATTTATATTTTAGTTTTTTATTGGTTCACTATATAGTATTCATTATATATTGTAGTGTATACCCAGTTACTGTGAATAGCTCAGATGCGTAGGCCTTGACTTCAACATAGCCATTTCTGTGACCAGTCACAAGCTAATCACTCAGTAATTTCAATGGTAAATTCGCCTAGTTATTTCAATGCTAAATTCTCCTGTTTGATTTGTACTAGGTGCCTCTGTGAATGTATGTGCTCTGACTTTAACATAGCCATTTCTGTGACCAGTCACAAGCTAATCACTCAGCCATTTCAATGCTAAATTCTATGCTAATTCCTTTGTCAAGGCGCTTTGTTTCTTCTCACACAGCTTAAAGGTCGCGATCTGAGCGTGGCTTTTTCGCTCCAGCGCTGTCCTCCAGATAGTCTCGTCCCTTCACCTGATGAAGGCCGCTTGTGTTGTGGCCGAAACGTCGTGAGAATATTATTGTGTTATTTTATTTTATCAATTTATTATTTTATTTTCATTCTACGTGACTTTACCGAAAGAACCAAAGAAGATTACTGTATATACTTAGTTCTTTTATATACTTAGTTCTTTTTATTATTTTATATACTTAGTTCTTTTTATTATTTTGTTTCCCTTCTACGTGACTTTACCGAAAGAACCAAGAATATGAATCCCTGCAGTCACGAAAGATTTAAATCAAAACTTACTGTATTTTAAACGTGAAAAGGCCGATTCTAAAGTAATCTACAACCTTCGATTCCTTTGCGCGATTTAAAGAATCGATTTTGGGCGCGATCGGGTTTTATCTTAATTTAAGTGAATGATATTCCTAGTTCTTTCGGTAACGTCACGTTGAAACAATAAAATAATAAAATATATTTTATTATTTTATTGTTTCCCTTCAACGTGACTTTACCGAAAGAACTAAGAATATGAATTACTGCAGTAACGAAAGCTTTAAATCAAAAATTAAATGAATGAGTTATCTTTTCATTTGTATGTTATGTTTTTAAGTTTTCAGACGTTTTAAAATATATATTTTCCCGCTAGTAGCAGTATATATCGACTATATAGCACAAAGTACTCACCTGACAGATTGCCGTGACGAGGCCTAGTCCCGTGCAAAGCCTCCGGCCTCGCCTAGATTCCCCGGCCGGCCGAGGCTGGGGCTTGGGCCACTACCCCCCCACCCCCCGCACTACAATAATCCTATTTTTATCGCTATCATTTTAGTATCTACCAAGCCTATAATAGTAAGTGCACACATTGGGGCGGAGGGGGAGAGAAGAGGACGTGACACTTTGATGAATTTACCTCAGCGTCGCGTGTAATTTTTTTGCATTTTGAATGAGAAATGGCGTCCACCCTGCGGTGACGGCGTCTGTGCGTTGCCAGGGGCAACAACTCGCGTCGGCGTTTCGCGCATGCGCAGCAGCGAAGCCGGCCGGCAAAAGTAAATAAATAAATACAGATAAATCGCACCAAACCGTTAATTAAACCACTTTAAAGGTGACGGATGGCAAAACGGAATAGCCTATGCCAAGCGGGGGGCTCGGGGCGTGCCGCCCTGCAAAAAAATTTCAACGCGAACCCCGCGGTCCCAGAGCCAAATCCCCCGCAAGCGCGCGTACACAGACGGACAGACAGACAGACAAAAAATGACTTTTATAGGTTAGATGTTTCGGCTTCGGTCTAATCGTTCAAGGTCAACTAACGTTGGCTGTAATTGACCACGGTCCTGTACGTTGTGGCAAGCCTCGGGGCCACTTCTTGGAGTCGTGGATTTCTTCCATTACTAGTACGGTACATTTCATTAAAGCGTGTTTCTAAAAAAGTTTTTTTTAAATATATAACTTATTGCAAACGCTTGGTGGTGGTGTTGTTGTTGCGATGTAGCGCTGTACATTGTAAAGGCGCACAATGGCTGATTAGAGCTTGGTGTCAACATTGAGCGAGCTAATGGAGCTGAGCAGAACATGCGCTTTGGCAGAGGGCACATTAATACAAGAAATAATTACTGTTTTTGATTTTTTTTGTCAGTTAAATATGATTTCTCTAATTAACATTGTTGTGGCCGAAACGTCATGATTTTTGTTGTTTTATTTTTTACCTACGTGACTTTACCGAATAGAACCAAAGAGTATGGATCCTTGCAGTCACGAAAGCTTCAAATCTAGAATTGATCATAGAATTGTATGTTAAACGAAACGTTTAAGTATTACGATGAACTTGGACGTTTAGGAGGGACATATATGTTTCGGGCAGATGTTTGTACATTAAATGTTCCTAGATATGATAAGCGGCTATTATGATCACAATTGAGATTTGGGCGAATTTCGTGATGAGAAATTGAACTGCGGTATTGCGACGTGGGGAGGCTGTTTCTTCTGATAACTATTGGGCGATTCACAGCAGGAGAGGGGACAGGGGCAGGACCGGCTACACTAATTTTATACAAATATTTATTTCAAGGATACCTTTGGGGAGGCTTGGGTCAAATTTGGATATCGCCAGCCGTAGACGTGCATTGCCAGGAATTTAAATCGACGTTGCCAGGAATTTAAATCGACATTTGCCACTATTGTAACCAATCACTCATTGTGGTAGCACCAAGAATAAATACGGTAAAAATACACAAGGCAAATGGGAAATAGGGTACCGATTACAACAGAAGATGCGTGTCTCAATCAAGTGCACTCACGCTGACAACTAATGCCATCTTGCTGCATCTTGAAGCCACCGATGCAGCTGCAGTTGTATCCCTGGCTGTTCTCAAAGAGGTTCAGCTCATTGCACAGCTGAGCGCATTTGCTGGTCCCATCGCTGCATTCGTCAAAGTCTATAAAGTGAACGAGAAGCGAAATTAAAAGGACAAATTAATGCAATTGTATATTGATTTTTTTATAACTATCTCAGCTCACATTGGATATCTAAAAAATATAAACAGCTGCACACAGTAAATCCTCTTATCTGCAGTGATGTTGTGGGGAGATTGAATTTTGTGGTTGCGATTAACCACACATTTACTTAATGTATACATTTTACAATAGGAAACCATAGGGCCATGGATAATAGGTTTCCATAAATCCTACAGCTTATGGTTAATAAGATAATATGAATTATACTTTAATACATGGTCATCCGTTTATAGATACCCAACTGATGATATCTGACTCCATATACGTGACTGTAATGTTGATAACAGGACACGCTAAATGTTAATGAAACAGTGTACATCTAAATTTTGATTTAAAGCTTTCGTGACTGCAGGGATTCATATCCTTGGTTCTTTCGGTAAAGTCACGTAGAAGGGAAACAATAAAATAAACGTCGTGAGAATGTTGTTGTTTTATATTTTTATTATTTTATTGTTTCCCTTCTACGTGACTTTACCGAAAGAACCAAGAATATAGTGTACGTCTACAGAAGTGTGTGTACTGACGGCATTTTTAGGGTTATAAATAATAAACAAGTGCAGCAGAACACAAATAATTCCAACTTCATTAATCTACGAATCCTTGTAGTTCGCGGATAATTATAATTGTTGGTTCGCGATGCCCTCCGCTAATTCCGCGGTGGATTCAAAATGCTTCGCGAAAATGGAAATCGCGACCCGTGCCAGCGGGTGCCGGGGCGAACGTGGGGACTGCGCTGTCGAGGTTTGTTGAGTGAGACAACGAAACGCGTTGATAGCGACACGGAAGATTTGCACAATTTGGGTCCGAGAAGAAAAGAAACCGCTCGCGGGTTATTTTTAGGCACGCTTCCCCTGTCATGCGCACATTTTTTTCACGGATTAATGGGATTTTTCATCCTATTATCTGCATCACACAACCGCGTGGGCGCAAAAGAACACATTGCACGGATTTTGATTTAAAGCTTTCGTGACTGCAGGGATTCATATTCTTGGTTCTTTCGGTAAAGTCACGTAGAAGGGAAACAATAAAATAATACAAATATAAACAATAAAATTCTCACGTCGTTTCGACTGCAATGATGATTGCTTGTGTTGTAGTCGAACGTCGTGAGAATTTTATTGTTTTATTTTTTTATTATTTTATTGTTTCCCTTCTACGTGGTGACTTTACCGAAAGAACCAAAAATATTGCACGGATTGTTTGGTCAAACCTGCGCGGTGTGCTGCTGATTACATGATTTGTGACATAGCCTCTCAAATCAACACGAATTATTGGATTTCTGCTGTGCTTTATGTGCCAACGAATTGCTGTATCTGTATTTGGCTCTTACGTAAGCATTGTGAAAGCAACCTCAGTAACTACCAAAAGGCTACAGAGATAAGTTACCTGTTCTTTGCGTCACAGATACCCCATCATTGGAGTTATTCCCATGATCAGTGGTTTTCACGTTGATGACATAGAGGACACCTGCTCTCAAATTATCAAACTTGGCGATGAGTAACCCATTTGGACTGATGGAAAGGGCAGAAACGTTTGCCGGAGAGATGAGCACCGAATATTGTGCCACGTCGCCCTGAGCGCTCGTCCAGACAATTTCCAAGGACTTGTTGGTCACTCCTTGACTGGTGAAGGTCAAATTCCTTGCATTCCCTGGAACTGATAAGTATAAAACGATTTAGTATGACGTTAACTATGGACAGGAAATTAAAACATGTGTGTGCCCTTCAAACCAGCATCCGGTTTGATAATAAGAAACACGTCCCGAGATGTATGTTGAACTTCTTTCGCACCCTACGCAGCCAACCATGCTAATCGGTTGTGCACGTTGGTAGAAGCTATACATAAAAACTGGAATGTTGCTGCATCAATTTGTTGCTGTTGCGTGTTGTGGTTGTTTTTAACACGCGCCAACACGTGTTAAAATGTACTAACTTTAGCAGGGGGAAAGATCAGAATAGATGGTATACCCTTATACAGTAAATAAATAAGCACTCGTGGTCATGAAATAATTTCATCACTCCATCTCCACTGGTTTTTCCTCGTGTTGTGCATTGCTCTCTTTTGGCTGGCGCTCCGTCACCAGTTTTGTTAATCGGCCATGCATGCTCACTTTTATTCAACGATTTTATTTAACTTCACTTGTGTTTGTCGTGGTCAAATCTTGTAATCAAAAGTTAGTCTACTTCCTGTTGTACAATCATTTCCAAATTTTACACACGTACTCAGATCCGGTGACAATGCATGCCTGTGTCAAAATCGACATCAATTAATCAATTGCCTCATTTCAAGCAATTACATTTTTTTGTATGGACGGCAAATTCATTGTATTTTTGTGAAGGTCAAAAAACGCCGCGGTCCCTAAACTGTGGAATCGGCTCGCACAAAAAGCAGGTGCCGTGTGTCTCAGTCGCCACTGATGTACTTCTCGACCATGAGTTAAACGAAGTTGTTAATAAAACCGTTGTTTAAATTTTTTTAAGGAGTTTATCTTCAGTTAATCTGCTGTCTCTGGTTTGTGTTTTCCTTTAAGAGGTTTTTTTGGTTAGATCGCGTAAATATAAATGTGTCGTTAAGTCCGACATAACCCGACACAGCCAATTAGTAAGGTTTGTCATGTAAAAAGAAACGTGGCAATTAGTTACTACTTCAGCACATCGGTGTGTTGGAGAGTAAACCCCATTGATATTTACGTGATATAACACAAAAACCTTTTTATGTATAATATTGGTGGCGAAAGTCTACGTGTTAAACGGGTTTGTGTTTGTTCCCTCACCCAAATGTGCCTCCCGTGACAGTTTCAGTCTGTGAACATATCCCTATGCGTACGGGTCCATACATCAAAGATAGCAGATAAACATGTGGAACGCTTTTTTTAGTTATACATCTGTATCTCCATTTATCAAGTTAAAATTCACAAGAATTGCTCTATTCTGTTCTGATGTCTTTCATCATTTAATCCTGATCCACCTGTAATGGTTACCCTGGGTATATACAACACAAAACAGCACAAACAACGTGCACTGTGCATACAAAATGTGTTCGGGCCTTAAGCATTATACAAACCCGCCAGTTCCTGAAGAACTGCAATGTATTAAGTTGAGCTAATTTGTCTAATCAACAGACAGAACGGTAGACCAAGTTTGACATTATTGAGACTCAGAAGAATAGTAACCTAATGCTCACTTCTTGGCAGGTCTACTTCTGGAAAGCTCACATTCGTTGTGTATTCAGTCCCCACTTCTACACTTTGGTGACGCCCATAAGATTGCCTCATAGAAAACAATTCAACTCTGTAAATAACGAGTAACTTACGAATTTGCTTTTAAATTGTCTCTCCAATAATTTTATTTAGTTTTGGACACGTATACGTGCATTTGTCCCGACGTCATGAGTATAACTTGTGGCACTCTGCAAGTGAAATCGTTTCTTGTAATTTAAATTTTGTATTTATAATGCCTATGTTAGAAGATCTAATATCGTTAATGCAGGAAGTACACATTCACAAACATATCTTGGGAGCTATGTAAAGAAGAAAATTATTTCATCGCCTTTACTTTCAGATGTAGTGAGTGTTGGGATTTGAGAAGCAATATTGTACAAATAATGATTGAAATACAGCATTTAACATTTATGGTATTATATATGAAGGATAATCATCATGTACGTGATTTACTGCATTAGTTAAATAAAATCATACACAGTACATTGATTTTTTAAATATTTTTCTGCGAGCATAGAATACTTTTTTTGTAAATACTATACAATAGTTAAGTATCATACTATACAATCCTAATATATAAACACCCAGGTCTGTGATTCTGTCATCCTGTGACTAACGCGGCACGGATTGGTTGAAGTGCATCACGTGACCAGGACCAAGCAGTCAACCAATGCTTGGCGGGGCTATAGAGGGGCGGGTGAAAGTCCGCATCGAACCAAACCCCCAGCAAGGCCATCTACTTAACGACGAGAGGAAATTCACACGAAATTTTTTTCAATTAAGTATTCCGGATGTAACATGATATAAGCTTTTAATGAAGAAATACAATTATCTAATTCAAAACAATACAATTCAAAATGTTTCATTTTAAAACTTCAAAACGGAGCATCGGGTGCTTGCGTGAATACGTCGTTCGTGTGCAATTTTTTAAGTGACACTCCTGTCCGAAGGCCGTAAATGGTTGTGAGGGGCGCCATAGGCACCCCCGAACAACCACTAGTAGTTATATAGTCTAACCATCGAACAAAGACGATCACTGCATTGCGCGCTTTCAGATGCGCTTCTGCGGCCGTCTGGAATGCTCTTCCGATATTAGGAAGCCACTGCAGCTGTGCACTTTTAAATCTAGATTAAAAAACTAATTTCTTTGGAACTGCTTTTTGTATTTAGTTTATTGTCCTTCCCCCACACCACTGATTATCACGGAAGTTCAGCATAATACATATTGTATGTGTACAATATTGACATTAAATAAATGCCCCTCAAATCGGCTAAAATGGCTTCAATGTAGTTGGAGTGTAAATACCTGTCCTCGCAGTCACAGACACTCCTTCACCAGAGAGATTTCCTTTGCCAATGGCTTTCACAGTGATGATGTATAGGACTCCGGGTCTCAGCCCAGCAAACTTGGCATTGAGTGAACCATTCGGGCTAATAGCAATGGAGGGTGAATCTCCAGGAGAGATTAATGCCGTGTATCGTTCAACATCTCCCAGAGCACTCAGCCAAATGACTTGCAGAGATGTGTTTGTTACTCCTCCACTGGCAAGAGTTAGATTTCTTGGCAAACCTGGTACTGGAAAGTTGCATGTAAATAAACAACATACATTATGGGTAACTAAAAATAGTTTTATATGGTGCTGTATTGTTCATTGTAGAAGTTGTATGGATATATGACTTAGTAATATATAAATTTTAAGCACTTAATATATATTTCATATCGCCAATGGATTTCCCAATTGTTTTATCAGAACCTTGTCGTGGAATGAACGTAGATATAGGCGAGCTCTCACATTATCTCTAGAGGGTTAGCCACATTTAAAATTACCTATGGGATATTAATGTTATTATGCAATAATATACAATTCACACGATAATGTATGCAGCACAATAATCGGTGTTCACATTGAGACCACCAACCGGCCATAGGTCCTTGCCTCAGACAGACCGAGGCCAAGTCATGTTTACATAACGTAACTAACCTGTACCTTTACCGAAAAAACTAAGAATATGAATTACTGCAGTCACGAAAGCTTTAAATCAAAATTTAACCTGTAGATGTTGTAGAGGGCGATGCTGTTGTGCTTGGCGATGTTGAAGATGTTGTTGTTGAAGATGTTGTTGGAAGAGTGGTTGTAGTTGGGGTATATGTTGTTTGTGACACTGTTGTGGTTGGAGATATTGTTGTGGTTGATGGTGATGCTGTTGTGACTGTTGTCAATGTTGTTGGTGATGCAAGTGTGGTGGGGAGAGATGTTGTGGATGTAGATGCTGTTGTGGTTGTTGATACTGATTGCGACACGATTGTTGGTGTGGTTGCCTGATGTGTGGTTGTCAAATGTACAGTCGTTACATCTGTTGTTGTCGGTGTATTTGTGGTGGATTGGGAAGTTGATTGCATGGTAGTTTGCAATGTTGTGGTTGGTGTGGTTGTTTGCGGAGTGGTTGTTGTAAATTGTACGGTGGTTGTATCTGTTGTCGGTGTATTTGTGGTGGATTGGGAAGTTGATTGCGTGGTAGTTTCCAATGTTGTGGTGGGTGTGGTTGTCTGCGGTGTGGTTGTTGTCAAATGTACGGTGGTTGTATCTGTTGTCGGTGTATTTGTGGTGGATTGGGAAGTTGATTGTGTGGTAGTATCCAATGTAGTTGGTGTGGTTGTCTGCGGTGTGGTTGTTGTCAGTTGTTCGGTGGTTGTCTCTGTTGTTGTCGGTGTATTTGTGGTGGATTGGGAAGTTGATTGCGTGGTAGTTTCCAATGTTGTGGTGGGTGTGGTTGTCTGCGGTGTGGTTGTTGTCAAATGTACGGTGGTTGTATCTGTTGTCGGTGTATTTGTGGTGGATTGGGAAGTTGATTGCGTGGTAGTTTCCAATGTTGTAGTTGGTGTGGTTGTCTGCGGTGTGGTTGTTGTCAATTGTACGGTGGTTGTCTCCGTTGTTGTCGGTGTATTTGTTGTGGATTGGGAAGTTGATTGTGTGGTAGTTTCCAATGTTGTGGTGGGTGTGGTTGTTTGCGGTGTGGTTGTTGTCAAATGTACGGTGGTTGTATCTGTTGTTGGTGTATTTGTGGTGGATTGTGAAGTTGTGGTAGGGTCTTGGGTGATTGCGTCTGTGATTCTGGTAGATTGTTCTGTTGAAGTCGATAGTGTGGTGGCTTGATGTGTTGTGGTTGCCTGCAGTGTGGTAGTTGTCAATTGTACAGTGGTTGTCTCTGTTGTCGGTGTATTTGTGGTGGATTGAGAAGTTGATTTGGTGGTCGTATCCAATGTTGTGGTGGGTGTGGTTGTCTGTGGTGTGGTTGTTGTCAAATGTACGGTGGTTGTCTCCGTTGTTGTCGGTGTATTTGTGGTGGATTGGGAAGTTGATTGTGTGGTAGTTTGCAATGTTGTGGTTGGTGTGGTTGTCTGTGGTGTGGTTGTTGTCAATTGTACGGTGGTTGTCTCCGTTGTTGTCGGTTTATTTGTGGTGGATTGGGAAGTTGATTGTGTGGTAGTATCCAATGTTGTGGTTGGTGTGGTTGTCAGCGGTGTGGTTGTTGTCAATTGTACAGTTGTTGTCTCTGTTGTCGGTGTATTTGTGGTGGATTGGGAAGTTGATTGTGTGGTAGTTTCCTGTGTTGTGGTTGGTGTGGTTGTCTGCAGTGTGGTTGTTGTCAAATGTACGGTGGTTGTCTCCGTTGTTGTCGGTGTATTTGTGGTGGATTGGGAAGTTGATTGTGTGGTAGTTTCCTGTGTTGTGCTTGGTGTGGTTGTCTGCGGTGTGGTTGTTGTCAAATGTAGGGTGGTTGTCTCTGTTGTCGGTGTATTTGTGGTTGTTTGTGAAGTTGATTGTGTGGTAATATCCAATGTTGTGCTTGGTGTGGTTGTCTGCGGTGTGGTTGCTGTCAGTTGTTCGGTGGTTGTCTCCGTTGTTGTCGGTGTATTTGTGGTGGATTGGGAAGTTGATTGCGTGGTAGTTTGCAATGTTGTGGTTGGTGTGGTTGTCTGTGGTGTGGTTGTTGTCAATTGTATGGTGGTTGTCTCCGTTGTTGTCGGTGTATTTGTGGTGGATTGTGAAGTTGATTGTGTGGTAGTATCCAATGTTGTGGTTGGTGTGGTTGTCTGCTGTGTGGTTGTTGTCAAATGTACGGTGGTTGTCTCTGTTGTTGTCGGTGTATTTGTCGTTGTTTGTGAAGTTGGTAGGGTGGTAGTATCCAGTGTTGTGGTTGGTGTGGTTGTCTGCGGTGTGGTTGTTGTCGATTGTACAGTGGTTGCCTCTGTTGTTGGTGTATTTGTGGTTGTTTGTGAAGTTGATTGTGTGGTAGTATCCAATGTTGTAGTTGGTGTGGTTGTCTGCGGTTTGGTTGTTGTCAATTGTACGGTGGTTGTCTCCGTTGTTGTCGGTGTATTTGTGGATTGTGAAGTTGATTGTGTGGTAGTTTCCTGTGTTGTGCTTGGTGTGGTTGTTGTCAAATGTACGGTGGTTGTCTCTGTTGTCGGTGTATTTGTGGTGGATTGGGAAGTTGATTGCGTGGTAGTTTCCAATGTTGTGGTGGGTGTGGTTGTCTGCGGTGTGGTTGTTGTCAAATGTACGGTGGTTGTATCTGTTGTCGGTGTATTTGTGGTGGATTGGGAAGTTGATTGTGTGGTAGTATCCAATGTAGTTGGTGTGGTTGTCTGCGGTGTGGTTGTTGTCAGTTGTTCGGTGGTTGTCTCTGTTGTTGTCGGTGTATTTGTGGTGGATTGGGAAGTTGATTGCGTGGTAGTTTCCAATGTTGTGGTGGGTGTGGTTGTCTGCGGTGTGGTTGTTGTCAAATGTACGGTGGTTGTATCTGTTGTCGGTGTATTTGTGGTGGATTGGGAAGTTGATTGCGTGGTAGTTTCCAATGTTGTAGTTGGTGTGGTTGTCTGCGGTGTGGTTGTTGTCAATTGTACGGTGGTTGTCTCCGTTGTTGTCGGTGTATTTGTTGTGGATTGGGAAGTTGATTGTGTGGTAGTTTCCAATGTTGTGGTGGGTGTGGTTGTTTGCGGTGTGGTTATTGTCAAATGTACGGTGGTTGTATCTGTTGTTGGTGGATTTGTGGTGGATTGTGAAGTTGTGGTAGGGTCTTGGGTGATTGCGTCTGTGATTCTGGTAGATTGTTCTGTTGAAGTCGATAGTGTGGTGGCTTGATGTGTTGTGGTTGCCTGCAGTGTGGTAGTTGTCAATTGTACAGTGGTTGTCTCTGTTGTCGGTGTATTTATGGTGGATTGAGAAGTTGATTTGGTGGTCGTATCCAATGTTGTGGTGGGTGTGGTTGTCTGTGGTGTGGTTGTTGTCAAATGTACGGTGGTTGTCTCCGTTGTTGTCGGTGTATTTGTGGTGGATTGGGAAGTTGATTGTGTGGTAGTTTGCAATGTTGTGGTTGGTGTGGTTGTCTGTGGTGTGGTTGTTGTCAATTGTACGGTGGTTGTCTCCGTTGTTGTCGGTTTATTTGTGGTGGATTGTGAAGTTGATTGTGTGGTAGTATCCAATGTTGTGGTTGGTGTGGTTGTCAGCGGTGTGGTTGTTGTCAATTGTACAGTTGTTGTCTCTGTTGTCGGTGTATTTGTGGTGGATTGGGAAGTTGATTGTGTGGTAGTATCCTGTGTTGTGGTTGATGTGGTTGTCTGCAGTGTGGTTGATGTCAAATGTACGGTGGTTGTCTCCGTTGTTGTCGGTGTATTTGTGGTGGATTGGGAAGTTGATTGTGTGGTAGTTTCCTGTGTTGTGCTTGGTGTGGTTGTCTGCGGTGTGGTTTTTGTCAAATGTACGGTGGTTGTCTCTGTTGTCGGTGTATTTGTGGTTGTTTGTGAAGTTGATTGTGTGGTAATATCCAATGTTGTGCTTGGTGTGGTTGTCTGCGGTGTGGTTGTTGTCAATTGTTCGGTGGTTGTCTCCATTGTTGTCGGTGTATTTGTGGTGGATTGGGAAGTTGATTGCGTGGTAGTTTGCAATGTTGTGGTTGGTGTGGTTGTCTGTGGTGTGGTTGTTGTCAATTGTATGGTGGTTGTCTCCGTTGTTGTCGGTGTATTTGTGCTGGATTGGGAAGTTGATTGTGTGGTAGTATCTAATGTTGTGGTTGGTGTGGTTGTCTGCAGTGTGGTTGTTGTCAAATGTATGGTGGTTGTATCTGTTGTCGGTGTATTTGTGGTGGATTGTGAAGTTGATTGTGTGGTAGTATCCAATGTTGTGGTTGGTGTGGTTGTCTGCTGTGTGGTTGTTGTCAAATGTACGGTGGTTGTCTCTGTTGTTGTCGGTGTATTTGTCGTTGTTTGTGAAGTTGGTAGGGTGGTAGTATCCAGTGTTGTGGTTGGTGTGGTTGTCTGCGGTGTGGTTGTTGTCGATTGTACAGTGGTTGCCTCTGTTGTTGGTGTATTTGTGGTTGTTTGTGAAGTTGATTGTGTGGTAGTATCCAATGTTGTGGTTGGTGTGGTTGTCTGCGGTGTGGTTGTTGTTAATTGTTCGGTGGTTGTGTCCGTTGTTGTCGGTGTATTTGTGGTGGATTGGGAAGTTGATTGCGTGGTAGTTTGCAATGTTGTGGTTGGTGTGGTTGTCTGTGGTGTGGTTGTTGTTAATTGTATGGTGGTTGTCTCCGTTGTTGTCGGTGTATTTGTGGTGGATTGGGAAGTTGATTGTGTGGTAGTTTCCAATGTTGTGGTGGGTGTGGTTGTCTGCGGTGTGGTTGTTGTCAAATGTACGGTGGTTGTATCTGTTGTTGGTGTATTTGTGGTGGATTGTGAAGTTGATTGTGTGGTAGTATCCAATGTTGTATTTGGTGTGGTTGTCTGCGGTTTGGTTGTTGTCAATTGTACGGTGGTTGTCTCCGTTGTTGTCGGTGTATTTGTGGATTGTGAAGTTGATTGCGTGGTAGTTTCCAATGTTGTGGTGGGTGTGGTTGTCTGCGGTGTGGTTGTTGTCAAATGTACGGTGGTTGTATCTGTTGTTGTCGGTGTATTTGTGGTGGATTGGGAAGTTGATAGTGTGGTAGTATCCAATGTAGTTGGTGTGGTTGTCTGCGGTGTGGTTGTTGTCAGTTGTTCGGTGGTTGTCTCCGTTGTTGTCGGTGTATTTGTGGTGGATTGGGAAGTTGATTGCGTGGTAGTTTCCAATGTTGTGGTGGGTGTGGTTGTCTGCGGTGTGGTTGTTGTCAAATGTACGGTGGTTGTATCTGTTGTCGGTGTATTTGTGGTGGATTGGGAAGTTGATTGTGTGGTAGTATCCAATGTTGTAGTTGGTGTGGTTGTCTGCGGTGTGGTTGTTGTCAATTGTACGGTGGTTGTCTCCGTTGTTGTCGGTGTATTTGTTGTGGATTGGGAAGTTGATTGTGTGGTAGTTTCCAATGTTGTGGTGGGTGTGGTTGTCTGCGGTGTGGTTGTTGTCAAATGTACGGTGGTTGTCTCCGTTGTTGTCGGTGTATTTGTGGTGGATTGGGAAGTTGATTGTGTGGTAGTATCCAATGTTGTGGTTGGTGTGGTTGTCTGCAGTGTGGTTGTTGTCAAATGTACGGTGGTTGTCTCCGTTGTTGTCGGTGTATTTGTGGTGGATTGGGAAGTTGATTGTGTGGTAGTTTCCAATGTTGTGGTGGGTGTGGTTGTCTGCGGTGTGGTTGTTGTCAAATGTACGGTGGTTGTATCTGTTGTTGTCGGTGTATTTGTGGTGGATTGGGAAGTTGATTGCGTGGTAGTTTGCAATGTTGTGGTTGGTGTGGTTGTCTGTGGTGTGGTTGTTGTCAATTGTATGGTGGTTGTCTCCGTTGTTGTCGGTGTATTTGTGCTGGATTGGGAAGTTGATTGTGTGGTAGTATCTAATGTTGTGGTTGGTGTGGTTGTCTGCAGTGTGGTTGTTGTCAAATGTACGGTGGTTGTATCTGTTGTCGGTGTATTTGTGGTGGATTGTGAAGTTGATTGTGTGGTAGTATCCAATGTTGTGGTTGGTGTGGTTGTCTGCTGTGTGGTTGTTGTCAAATATACGGTGGTTGTCTCTGTTGTTGTCGGTGTATTTGTCGTTGTTTGTGAAGTTGGTAGGGTGGTAGTATCCAGTGTTGTGGTTGGTGTGGTTGTCTGCGGTGTGGTTGTTGTCGATTGTACAGTGGTTGCCTCTGTTGTTGGTGTATTTGTGGTTGTTTGTGAAGTTGATTGTGTGGTAGTATCCAATGTTGTGGTTGGTGTGGTTGTCTGCGGTGTGGTTGTTGTTAATTGTTCGGTGGTTGTCTCCGTTGTTGTCGGTGTATTTGTGGTGGATTGGGAAGTTGATTGCGTGGTAGTTTGCAATGTTGTGGTTGGTGTGGTTGTCTGTGGTGTGGTTGTTGTTAATTGTATGGTGGTTGTCTCCGTTGTTGTCGGTGTATTTGTGGTGGATTGGGAAGTTGATTGTGTGGTAGTTTCCAATGTTGTGGTGGGTGTGGTTGTCTGCGGTGTGGTTGTTGTCAAATGTACGGTGGTTGTATCTGTTGTTGGTGTATTTGTGGTGGATTGTGAAGTTGATTGTGTGGTAGTATCCAATGTTGTAGTCGGTGTGGTTGTCTGCGGTTTGGTTGTTGTCAATTGTACGGTGGTTGTATCTGTTGTTGGTGTATTTGTGGTGGATTGGGAAGTTGATTGTGTGGTAGTATCCAATGTAGTTGGTGTGGTTGTCTGCGGTGTGGTTGTTGTCAGTTGTTCGGTGGTTGTCTCCGTTGTTGTCGGTGTATTTGTGGTGGATTGGGAAGTTGATTGCGTGGTAGTTTCAAATGTTGTGGTGGGTGTGGTTGTCTGCGGTGTGGTTGTTGTCAAATGTACGGTGGTTGTATCTGTTGTCGGTGTATTTGTGGTGGATTGGGAAGTTGATTGTGTGGTAGTATCCAGTGTTGTAGTTGGTGTGGTTGTCTGCGGTGTGGTTGTTGTCAATTGTACGGTGGTTGTCTCCGTTGTTGTCGGTGTATTTGTAGTGGATTGGGAAGTTGATTGTGTGGTAGTATCCAATGTTGTAGTTGGTGTGTTTGTCTGCGGTGTGGTTGTTGTCAGTTGTTCGGTGGTTGTCTCCGTTGTTGTCGGTGTATTTGTGGTGGATTGGGAAGTTGATTGCGTGGTAGTTTGCAATGTTGTGGTTGGTGTGGTTGTCTGTGGTGTGGTTGTTGTCAATTGTATGGTGGTTGTCTCCGTTGTTGTCGGTGTATTTGTGGTGGATTGGGAAGTTGATTGTGTGGTAGTATCCAATGTTGTAGTTGGTGTGGTTGTCTGCGGTGTGGTTGTTGTCAATTTTGCGGTGGTTGTCTCCGTTGTTGTCGGTGTATTTGTTGTGGATTGGGAAGTTGATTGTGTGGTAGTTTCCAATGTTGTGGTTGGTGTGGTTGTCTGCGGTGTGGTTGTTGTCAATTGTACAGTGGTTGTATCTGTTGTCGGTGTATTTGTAGTGGATTGTGAAGTTGATTGTGTGGCAGTTTCCTGTGTTGTGCTTGGTGTGATTGTCTGCGGTGTGGTTGTTGTCAATTGTACGGTGGTTGTCTCCGTTGTTGTCGGTGTGTATGTGGTGGATTGGGAAGTTGATTGGGTGGTAGTTTCCTGTGCTGTGGTTGGTGTGGTTGTCTGCGGTGTGGTTGTTGTCAATTGTACGGTGGTTGTCTCCTTTGTTGTCGGTGTATTTGTGGTGGATTGGGAAGTTGATTGTGTGGCAGTTTCCAATGCTGTGGTGGGTGTGGTTGTCTGCGGTGTGGTTGTTGTCAAATGTACGGTGGTTGTATCTGTAGTCGGTATATTTGTGGTGGATTGTGAAGTTGATTGTGTGGTAGTTTCCTGTGTTGTGCTTGGTGTGGTTGTCTGCGGTGTGGTTGTTGTCAAATGTACCGTGGTTGTATCTGTTGTTGGTGTATTTGTGGTGGATTGTGAAGTTGATTGTGTGGTAGTATCCAATGTTGTAGTTGGTGTGGTTGTCTGCGGTTTGGTTGTTGTCAATTGTACGGTGGTTGTCTCCGTTGTTGTCGGTGTATTTGTGGATTGTGAAGTTGATTGCGTGGTAATTTCCAATGTTGTGGTGGGTGTGGTTGTCTGCGGTGTAGTTGTTGTCAAATGTACGGTGGTTGTATCTGTTGTCGGTGTATTTGTGGTGGATTGGGAAGTTGATTGTGTGGTAGTATCCAATGTAGTTGGTGTGGTTGTCTGCGGTGTGGTTGTTGTCAGTTGTTCGGTGGTTGTCTCCGTTGTTGTCGGTGTATTTGTTGTGGATTGGGAAGTTGATTGTGTGGTAGTTTCCAATGTTGTGGTGGGTGTGGTTGTCTGCGGTGTGGTTGTTGTCAAATGTACGGTGGTTGTATCTGTTGTCGGTGTATTTGTGGTGGATTGGGAAGTTGATTGTGTGGTAGTATCCAGTGTTGTAGTTGGTGTGGTTGTCTGCGGTGTGGTTGCTGTCAATTGTACGGTGGTTGTCTCCGTTGTTGTCCTTGTATTTGTAGTGGATTGGGAAGTTGATTGTGTGGTAGTATCCAATGTTGTAGTTGGTGTGTTTGTCTGCGGTGTGGTTGTTGTCAGTTGTTCGGTGGTTGTCTCCGTTGTTGTCGGTGTATTTGTGGTGGATTGGGAAGTTGATTGCGTGGTAGTTTGCAATGTTGTGGTTGGTGTGGTTGTCTGTGGTGTGGTTGTTGTCAATTGTATGGTGGTTGTCTCCGTTGTTGTCGGTGTATTTGTGGTGGATTGGGAAGTTGATTGTGTGGTAGTATCCAATGTTGTAGTTGGTGTGGTTGTCTGCGGTGTGGTTGTTGTCAATTTTGCGGTGGTTGTCTCCGTTGTTGTCGGTGTATTTGTTGTGGATTGGGAAGTTGATTGTGTGGTAGTTTCCAATGTTGTGGTTGGTGTGGTTGTCTGCGGTGTGGTTGTTGTCAATTGTACAGTGGTTGTATCTGTTGTCGGTGTATTTGTAGTGGATTGTGAAGTTGATTGTGTGGCAGTTTCCTGTGTTGTGCTTGGTGTGATTGTCTGCGGTGTGGTTGTTGTCAATTGTACGGTGGTTGTCTCCGTTGTTGTCGGTGTGTATGTGGTGGATTGGGAAGTTGATTGGGTGGTAGTTTCCTGTGCTGTGGTTGGTGTGGTTGTCTGCGGTGTGGTTGTTGTCAATTGTACGGTGGTTGTCTCCTTTGTTGTCGGTGTATTTGTGGTGGATTGGGAAGTTGATTGTGTGGCAGTTTCCAATGCTGTGGTGGGTGTGGTTGTCTGCGGTGTGGTTGTTGTCAAATGTACGGTGGTTGTATCTGTAGTCGGTATATTTGTGGTGGATTGTGAAGTTGATTGTGTGGTAGTTTCCTGTGTTGTGCTTGGTGTGGTTGTCTGCGGTGTGGTTGTTGTCAAATGTACCGTGGTTGTATCTGTTGTTGGTGTATTTGTGGTGGATTGTGAAGTTGATTGTGTGGTAGTATCCAATGTTGTAGTTGGTGTGGTTGTCTGCGGTTTGGTTGTTGTCAATTGTACGGTGGTTGTCTCCGTTGTTGTCGGTGTATTTGTGGATTGTGAAGTTGATTGCGTGGTAATTTCCAATGTTGTGGTGGGTGTGGTTGTCTGCGGTGTAGTTGTTGTCAAATGTACGGTGGTTGTATCTGTTGTCGGTGTATTTGTGGTGGATTGGGAAGTTGATTGTGTGGTAGTATCCAATGTAGTTGGTGTGGTTGTCTGCGGTGTGGTTGTTGTCAGTTGTTCGGTGGTTGTCTCCGTTGTTGTCGGTGTATTTGTGGTGGATTGGGAAGTTGATTGCGTGGTAGTTTCCAATGTTGTGGTGGGTGTGGTTGTCTGCGGTGTGGTTATTGTCAAATGTACGGTGGTTGTATCTGTTGTCGGTGTATTTGTGGTGGATTGGGAAGTTGATTGTGTGGTAGTATCCAGTGTTGTAGTTGGTGTGGTTGTCTGCGGTGTGGTTGCTGTCAATTGTACGGTGGTTGTCTCCGTTGTTGTCCTTGTATTTGTAGTGGATTGGGAAGTTGATTGTGTGGTAGTATCCAATGTTGTAGTTGGTGTGTTTGTCTGCGGTGTGGTTGTTGTCAGTTGTTCGGTGGTTGTCTCCGTTGTTGTCGGTGTATTTGTGGTGGATTGGGAAGTTGATTGCGTGGTAGTTTGCAATGTTGTGGTTGGTGTGGTTGTCTGTGGTGTGGTTGTTGTCAATTGTATGGTGGTTGTCTCCGTTGTTGTCGGTGTATTTGTGGTGGATTGGGAAGTTGATTGTGTGGTAGTATCCAATGTTGTAGTTGGTGTGGTTGTCCGCGGTGTGGTTGTTGTCAATTTTGCGGTGGTTGTCTCCGTTGTTGTCGGTGTATTTGTTGTGGATTGGGAAGTTGATTGTGTGGTAGTTTCCAATGTTGTGGTGGGTGGGGTTGTCTGCGGTGTGGTTGTTGTCAATTGTACGGTGGTTATCTCCTTTGTTGTCGGTGTATTTGTGGTGGATTGGGAAGTTGATTGTGTGGTAGTTTCCAATGTTGTGGTTGGTGTGGTTGTCTGCGGTGTGGTTGTTGTCAATTGTACAGTGGTTGTATCTGTTGTCGGTGTATTTGTAGTGGATTGTGAAGTTGATTGTGTGGCAGTTTCCTGTGTTGTGCTTGGTGTGATTGTCTGCGGTGTGGTTGTTGTCAATTGTACGGTGGTTGTCTCCGTTGTTGTTGGTGTGTATGTGGTGGATTGGGAAGTTGATTGGGTGGTAGTTTCCTGTGCTGTGGTTGGTGTGGTTGTCTGCGGTGTGGTTGTTGTCAATTGTACGGTGGTTGTCTCCTTTGTTGTCGGTGTATTTGTGGTGGATTGGGAAGTTGATTGTGTGGCAGTTTCCAATGCTGTGGTGGGTGTGGTTGTCTGCGGTGTGGTTGTTGTCAAATGTACGGTGGTTGTATCTGTAGTCGGTATATTTGTGGTGGATTGTGAAGTTGATTGTGTGGTAGTTTCCTGTGTTGTGCTTGGTGTGGTTGTCTGCGGTGTGGTTGTTGTCAATTGTAAGGTGGTTGTCTCCGTTGTTGTCGGTGGATTTGTGGTGGATTGTGAAGTTGATTGTGTGGTCGTATCCAATGTTGTGGTTGGTGTGGTTGTCTGCGGTGTGGTTGTTGTCAATTGTACGGTGGTTGTCTCCGTTGTTGTCGGTGTATTTGTGGTGGATTGGGAAGTTGATTGTGTGGTAGTTTGCAATGTTGTGGTTGGTGTGGTTGTCTGCGGTGTGGTTGTTGTCAATTTTGCGGTGGTTGTCTCCGTTGTTGTCGGTGTATTTGTTGTGGATTGGGAAGTAGATTGTGTGGTAGTTTCCAATGTTGTGGTGGGTGGGGTTGTCTGCGGTGTGGTTGTTGTCAATTGTACGGTGGTTATCTCCTTTGTTGTCGGTGTATTTGTGGTGGATTGGGAAGTTGATTGGGTGGTAGTTTCCTGTGCTGTGGTTGGTGTGGTTGTCTGCGGTGTGGTTGTTGTCAATTGTACGGTGGTTGTCTCCTTTGTTGTCGGTGTATTTGTGGTGGATTGGGAAGTTGATTGTGTGGCAGTTTCCAATGCTGTGGTGGGTGTGGTTGTCTGCGGTGTGGTTGTTGTCAAATGTACGGTGGTTGTATCTGTAGTCGGTATATTTGTGGTGGATTGTGAAGTTGATTGTGTGGTAGTTTCCTGTGTTGTGCTTTGTGTGGTTGTCTGCGGTGTGGTTGTTGTCAATTGTAAGGTGGTTGTCTCCGTTGTTGTCGGTGGATTTGTGGTGGATTGTGAAGTTGATTGTGTGGTCGTATCCAATGTTGTGGTTGGTGTGGTTGTCTGCGGTGTGGTTGTTGTCAATTGTACGGTGGTTGTCTCCGTTGTTGTCGGTGTATTTGTGGTGGATTGGGAAGTTGATTGTGTGGTAGTTTGCAATGTTGTGGTTGGTGTGGTTGTCTGCGGTGTGGTTGTTGTCAATTTTGCGGTGGTTGTCTCCGTTGTTGTCGGTGTATTTGTTGTGGATTGGGAAGTAGATTGTGTGGTAGTTTCCAATGTTGTGGTGGGTGGGGTTGTCTGCGGTGTGGTTGTTGTCAATTGTACAGTGGTTATCTCCTTTGTTGTCGGTGTATTTGTGGTGGATTGGGAAGTTGATTGGGTGGTAGTTTCCTGTGCTGTGGTTGGTGTGGTTATCTGCGGTGTGGTTGTTGTCAATTGTACGGTGGTTGTCTCCTTTGTTGTCGGTGTATTTGTGGTGGATTGGGAAGTTGATTGTGTGGCAGTTTCCAATGCTGTGGTGGGTGTGGTTGTCTGCGGTGTGGTTGTTGTCAAATGTACGGTGGTTGTATCTGTAGTCGGTATATTTGTGGTGGATTGTGAAGTTGATTGTGTGGTAGTTTCCTGTGTTGTGCTTGGTGTGGTTGTCTGCGGTGTGGTTGTTGTCAATTGTAATGTGGTTGTCTCCGTTGTTGTCGGTGGATTTGTGGTGGATTGTGAAGTTGATTGTGTGGTCGTATCCAATGTTGTGGTTGGTGTGGTTGTCTGCGGTGTGGTTGTTGTCAATTGTACGGTGGTTGTCTCCGTTGTTGTCGGTGTATTTGTGGTGGATTGGGAAGTTGATTGTGTGGTAGTTTGCAATGTTGTGGTTGGTGTGGTTGTCTGCGGTGTGGTTGTTGTCAATTTTGCGGTGGTTGTATCTGTTGTCGGTGTATTTGTAGTGGATTGTGAAGTTGATTGTGTGGTAGTATCTAATGTTGTGGTTGTCTGTAGTGTGGTTGTTGTCAAATGTACGGTGGTTGTCTCCGTTGTTGTCGGTGTATTTGTGGTGGATTGTGAAGTTGATTGTGTGGTAGTATCCAATGTTGTGGTTGGTGTGGTTGTCTGCGGTGTGGTTGTTGTTAATTGTACGGTGGTTGTCTCCGTTGTTGTCGGTGTATTTGTGGTGAATTGGGAAGTTGATTGTGTGGTAGTTTCCAATGTTGTGGTTGGTCTGGTTATCTGCGGTGTGATTGTTGTCAAATGTACGGTGGTTGTATCTGTTGTCGGTGTATTTGTGGTGGATTGGGAAGTTAATTGTGTGGTAGTTTCCAATGTTGTGGTGGGTGTGGTCGTCTGCGGTGTGGTTGTTGTCAAATGTACGGTGGTTGTATCTGTTGTCGGTGTATTTGTGGTGGATTCTGAAGTTGATTCTGTGGTAGTATCTAATGTTGTGGTTGGTGTGGTTGTCTGCAGTGTGGTTGTCATTTGTATGGTGGTTGTCTCCGTTGTTGTCGGTGTGTATGTGGTGGATTGGGAAGTTGATTGGGTGGTAGTTTCCTGTGGTGTGGTTGGTGTGGTTGTCTGTGGTGTGGTTGTTGTCAATTGTACGGTGGTTGTATCTGTTGTCGGTGTATTTGTGGTGGATTGTGAAGTTGATTGTATGGTAGTATCCAATCTTGTGGTTGGTGTGGTTGTCTGCGGTGTGGCTGTTGTCAATTGTACGGTGGTTGACTCCATTGTTGTCGGTGTATTTGTGGTGGATTGGGAAGTTGATTGTGTGGTAGTTTCCAATGTTGTCGTGGGTGTGGTTGTCTGCGGTGTGGTTGTCAAATGTAAGGTGGTTGTATCTGTTGTCGGTGTATTTGTGGTGGATTGTGAAGTTGATTGTGTGGTAGTTTCCTGTGTTGTGGTTGGTGTGGTTGTTTGTGGTGTGGTTGTTGTCAAATGTGTGGTGGTTGTATCTGTTGTCGGTGTATTTGTGGTGGATTGTGAAGTTGTTTGTGTGGTAGTATCCAATGTTGTGGTTGTCTGTGGTGTGGTTGTTGTCAAATGTACGGTGGTTGTCTCTGTTGTTGTCGGTGTATTTGTGGTGGATTGTGAAGTTGATTGTGTGATAGTATCCAATGTTGTGGTTGGTGTGGTTGTCTGCGGTGTAGTTGTTGTTAATTGTACGGTGGTTGTCTCCGTTGTTGTCGGTGTATTTGTGGTGGATTGGGAAGTTGATTGTGTGGTAGTTTCCAATGCAGTGGTGGGTGTGGATGTCTGCGGTGTGGTTGTCAAATGTAAGGTGGTTGTATCTGTTGTGGTGGATTGTGAAGTTGATTGTGTGGTAGTTTCCTGTGTTGTGCTTGGTGTGATTGTCTGCGGTTTGGTTGTTGTCAATTGTACGGTGGTTGTCTCCGTTGTTGCCAGTGTATTTGTGGTGGATTGGGATGTTGATTGTGTGGTAGTTTGCAATGTTGTGGTTGGTGTGGTTGTCTGTGGTGTGGTTGTTGTGAATTGTACAGTGGTTGTCTCCGTTGTTGTCGGTGTATTTGTGGTGGATTGAGAAGTTGATTGTCTAGTAGTTTCCAATGTTGTGGTGGGTGTGCTTGTCTGAGGTGTGGTTGTTGTCAAATGTACGGTGGTTGTCTCCGTTGTTGTCGGTGTATTTGTGGTGGATTGTGAAGTTGATTGTGTAGTAGTATCCAATGTTGTGGTTGGTGTGGTTGTCTGCGGTGTGGTTGTTGTCAATTGTACGGTGGTTGTCTCCGTTGTTGTCGGTGTATTTGTGGTGGATTGGGAAGTTGATTGTGTGGTAGTTTCCAATGTTGTGGTTGGTGTGGTTTTCTGTGGTGTGGTTGTTGTCAAATGTACGGTGGTTGTATCAGTTTTCGGTGTATTTGTGGTGGATTGTGAAGTTGATTGTGTGGTAGTTTCCTGTATTGTGCTTGGTGTGGTTGTCTGCGGTGTGTTTTTTTGTCAAATGTACGGTGGTCGTCTCCGTTGTTGTCGGTGTATTTTTGGTGGATTGTGAAGTTGATTGTGTGGTAGTATCCAATGTTGTTGTTGGTCTGGTTGTCTGCAGTGTGGTTGTTGTCAAATGGACAGTGGTTGTCTCTGTTGTTGGTGTATTTGTGGTTGTTTGTGAAGTTGATTGTGTGGTAGTATCCAATGTTGTTGTTGGTCTGGTTGTCTGCAGTGTGGTTGTTGTCAAATGGACAGTGGTTGTCTCTGTTGTTGGTGTATTTGTGGTTGTTTGTGAAGTTGATTGTGTGGTAGTATCCAATGTTGTGGTTGGTGTGGTTGTCTGCAGTGTGGTTGTTGTCAATTGTACGGTGGTTGTCTCCGTTGTTGTCGGTGTATTTGTGGTGGATTGGGAAGTTGATTGTGTGGTAGTTTGCAATGTTGTGGTTGGTGTGGTTGTTTGTGGTGTGGTTGTTGTCAAATGTATGGTGGTTGTATCTGTTGTCGGTGTATTTGTGGTGGATTGTGAAGTTGTTTGTGTGGTAGTATCCAATGTTGTGGTTGTCTGTGGTGTGGTTGTTGTCAAATGTACCGTGGTTGTCTCTGTTGTTGTCGGTGTATTTGTGGTGGATTGTGAAGTTGATTGTGTGGTAGTATCCAATGTTGTTGTTGGTGTGGTTGTCTGCGGTGTGGTTGTTGTTAATTGTACGGTGGTTGTCTCCATTGTTGTCGGTGTATTTGTGGTGGATTGGGAAGATGATTGTGTGGAAGTTTCCAATGTTGTGGTTGGTGTGGTTGTCTGCAGTGTGGTTGTTGTCAATTGTACGGTGGTTGTCTCCATTGTTGTCGGTGTATTTGTGGTGGATTGGGAAGTTGATTGTGTGGTAGTTTCCAATGCTGTGGTGGGTGTGGATGTCTGCGGTGTGGTTGTCAAATGTAAGGTGGTTGTATCTGTTGTGGTGGATTGTGAAGTTGATTGTGTGGTAGTTTCCTGTGTTGTGGTTGGTGTGGTTGTCCGTGGTGTGGTTGTTGTGAATTGTACAGTGGTTGTCTCCGTTGTTGTCGGTGTATTTGTGGTTGTTTGTGAAGTTGATTGTGTGGTAGTTTCCTGTGTTGTGCTTGGTGTGGTTGTCTGCGGTGTGGTTTTTGTCAAATGTACGGTGGTCGTCTCCGTTGTTGTCGGTGTATTTTTGGTGGATTGTGAAGTTGATTGTGTGGTAGTATCCAATGTTGTTGTTGGTCTGGTTGTCTGCAGTGTGGTTGTTGTCAATTGTACGGTGGTTGTCTCCATTGTTGTCGGTGTATTTGTGGTGGATTGGGAAGTTGATTGTGTGGTAGTTTCCAATGTTGTAGTTGGTGTGGTTGTCGGCAGTGTGGTTGTTGTCAATTGTACGGTGGTTGTCTCCGTTGTTGTTGGTGTATTTGTGGTGGATTGGGAAGTTGATTGTGTGGTAGTTTCCTGTGTTGTAGTTGGTGTGGTTGTCTGTGGTGTGGTTGTTGTCAAATGTACGGTGGTTGTATCAGTTTTCGGTGTCTTTGTGGTGGATTGTGAAGTTGATTGGGTGGTAGTATCCAATGTTGTGGTTGATGTGGTTGTCTGCGGTTTGGTTGTTGTTAATTGTACGGTGGTTGTCTCCGTTGTTGTTGGTGTATTTGTGGTGGATTGGGAAGATGATTGTGTGGAAGTTTCCAATGTTGTGGTTGGTGTGGTTGTCTGCAGTGTGGTTGTTGTCAATTGTACGGTGGTTGTCTCCATTGTTGTCGGTGTATTTGTGGTGGATTGGGAAGTTGATTGTGTGGTAGTTTCCAATGTTGTATTTGGTGTGGTTGTCTGCAGTGTGGATGTTGTCAATTGTACGGTGGTTGTCTCCGTTGTTGTTGGTGTATTTGTGGTGGATTGGGAAGTTGATTGTGTGGTAGTTTCCTGTGTTGTAGTTGGTTTGGTTGTCTGTGGTGTGGTTGTTGTCAATTTTACAGTGGTTGTCTCTGTTGTCGGTGTATTTGTGGTGGATTGTGAAGTTGATTGTGTGGTAGTATCCAGTGTTGTGGTTGGTGTGGTTGTCTGCGGTGTGGTTGTTGTCAATTGTATGGTGGTTGTCTCCGTTGTTGTCAGTGTATTTGTGGTGGATTGGGACGTTGATTGTGTGGTAGTTTCCTGTGTTTTTGTTGGTGTGGTTGTCTGTGGTGTGGTTGTTGTCAAATGTACGGTGGTTGTATCTGTTGTTGTCGGTGTATTTGTGGTGGATTGAGAAGTTGATTGCGTGGTAGTTTGCAATGTTGTGGTTGGTGTGGTTGTCTGTGGTGTAGTTGTTGTCAATTGTACGGTGGTTGTCTCCGTTGTTGTCGGTGTATTTGTGGTGGATTGGGAAGATGATTGTGTGGTAGTCTCCAATGTTGTGGTGGGTGTGGTTGTCTGCGGTGTGGTTGTTGTCAAATGTACGGTGGTTGTATCTGTTGTCGGTGTATTTGTGGTGGATTGTGAAGTTGATTGTGTGGTAGTTTCCTGTGTTGTGCTTGGTGTGGTTGTCTGTGGTGTGGTTGTTGACAATTGTAGAGTGGTTGTCTCCGTTGTTTTCGGTGTATTTGTGGTGGATTGGGAAGTTGGTTGTGTGGTAGTTTCCTGTGTTGTGGTTGGTGTGGTTGTCTGTAGTGTGGTTGTCAATTTTACAGTGGTTGTCTCTGTTGTTGTCGGTGTATTTGTGGTTGATTGTGAAGTTGATTGTGTGGTAGTATCCAATGTTGTGGTTGGTGTGGTTGTCTGCGGTGTGGTTGTTGTCAATTGTATGGTGGTTGTCTCCGTTGTTGTCAGTGTATTTGGGGTAGATTGGGACGTTGATTGTGTGGTGGTTTCCTGTGTTTTTGTTAGTGTGGTTGTCTGTGGTGTGGTTGTTGTCAAATGTACGGTGGTTGTATCTGTTGTCGGTGTATTTGTGGTGGAATGTGAAGTTGATTGTGTGGTAGTTTCCAATGTTGTGGTGAGTGTGGTTGTCTGCGGTGTGGTTGTTGTCAAATGTACGGTGGTTGTATCTGTTGTCGGTGTATTTGTGGTGGATTGGGAAGTTGATTGTGTGGTAGTATCCAATGTTGTGGTTGGTGTGGTTGTCTGCGGTGTGGTTGTTGTCAATTGTACGGTGGTTGTCTCCATTGTTGTCGGTTTATTTGTGGTGGATTGGGAAGTTGATTGTGTGGTAGTATCCAATGTTGTGGTTGGTGTGGTTGTCTGCAGTGTGGTTGTTGGCAATTGTACAGTGGTTGTCTCCGTTGTTGTCGGTGTATTTGTGGTGGATTGGGAAGTTGATTGTGTGGTAGTTTCCAATGGTGTGGTGGGTGTGGTTGTCTGCGGTGTGGTTGTTGCCAAATGTACGGTGGTTGTATCTGTTGTCGGTGTATTTGTGGTGGATTGTGAAGTTGATTGTGTGGTAGTATCCAATGTTGTGGTTGTCTGTAGTGTGGTTGTTGTCAAATGTACGGTGGTTGTCTCCGTTGTTGTCGGTGTATTTGTTGTGGATTGTGAAGTTGATTGTGTGGTAGTATTCAATGTTGTGGTTGGTGTGGTTGTCTGCGGTGTGGTTGTTGTTAATTGTACGGTGGTTGTCTCCGTTGTTTTTGGTGTATTTGTGGTGGATTGGGAAGTTGACTGTGTGGTAGTTTCCAATGTTGTGGTTGGTGTGGTTGTCTGCAGTGTGGTTGTTGTCAATTGTACGGTGGTTGTCTCCGTTGTTGTCGGTATATTTGTGGTGGATTGGGAAGTTGATTGTGTGGTAGTTTGCAATGTTGTGGTGGGTGTGGTTATCTGCGGTGTGGTTGTTGTCAAATGAACGATGGTTGTATCTGTTGTCGGTGTATTTGTGGTGGATTGGGAAGTTAGTTGTGTGGTAGTTTCCTGTGTTGTGGTTGGTGTGGTTGTCTGTGGTGTGGTTGTTGTCAATTGTACAGTGGTTGTCTCTGTTGTTGTCGGTGTATTTGTGGTGGATTGTGAAGTTGATTGTGTGGTGGTATCCAATGTTGTGGTTGGTGTGGTTGTCTGCGGTTTGGTTGTTGTCAATTGTACGGTGGTTGTCTCCGTTGTTGTTGGTTTATTTGTGGTGGATTGGGACGTTGGTTGTGTGGTAGTTTCCTGTGTTGTGGTTGGTGTGGTTGTCTGTGGTGTGGTTGTCAATTGTACAGTGGTTGTCTCCGTTTTTTGTTGGTGTATTTGTGGTGGATTGGGACGTTGATTGTGTGGTAGTTTCCAATGTTGTGGTGGGTGTGGTTGTCTGTGGTGTAGTTGTTGTCAAATGTACGGTTGTTGTATCTGTTGTTGGTGTATTTGTGGTGGATTGTGAAGTTGATTGTGTGGTAGTATCCAATGTTGTGGTTGGTGTGGTTGTCTGCGGTGTGGTTATTGTCAATTGTACGGTGATTGTCTCCGTTGTTGTCGGTGTATTTGTGGTGGATTGGGACGTTGGTTGTGTGGTAGTTTCCTGTGTTGTGGTTGGTGTGGTTGTCTGTGGTGTGGTTGTCAATTGTACCGTGGTTGTCTCCGTTGTTGTTGGTGTATTTGTGGTGGATTGGGACGTTGATTGTGTGGTAGTTTCCAATGTTGTGGTGGGTGTGGTTGTCTGTGGTGTAGTTGTTGTCAAATGTACGGTTGTTGTATCTGTTGTTGGTGTATTTGTGGTGGATTGTGAAGTTGATTGTGTGGTAGTATCCAATGTTGTGGTTGGTGTGGTTGTCTGCGGTGTGGTTATTGTCAATTGTACGGTGATTGTCTCCGTTGTTGTCGGTGTATTTGTGGTGGATTGGGAAGTTGATTGGGTGGTAGTTTCCAATGTTGTGGTTGCCTGGGGAGTGGTAGTTGTCAATTCTGTAGTTGCTGTCTGTGTTGTTGGTGCAGTTGTGGAGGATTGTTCTGTTGAAGTTGATAGGGTGGTGACTTCCTTTGTTGTAGTTGCCTGTGAAGTGATAGTTGTCAATTCTGTAGTGGCTGTCTGTGTTGTTGGTGCACTTGTGGTGGATTGTTCTGTTGAAGTTGATAGGGTGGTGACTTCCTTTGTTGTGGTTGCCTGCCGAGTGGTAATTGTCAATTCTGTCGTGGCTGTCTGTGTTGTTGGTGCAGTTGTGGAGGATTGTTCTGTTGAAGTTGATAGGGTTGTGACTTCCTTTGTTGTGGTTGCCTGTGGAGTGGTAGTTGTCAATTCTGTAGTGGCTGTCTGTGTTGTTGGTGCAGTTGTGGTGGATTGTTCTGTTGAAGTTGATAGGGTGGTGACTTCGTTAGTTGTGGTTGCCTGTGGAGTGGTAGTTGTTAATTCTGTAGTGGCTGTCTGTGTTGTTGGTGCACTTGTGGTGGATTGTTCTGTTGAAGTTGATAGGGTCTTGACTTCCTTTGTTGTGGTTGCCTGTGGAGTGGTAGTTGTCAATTCTGTAAAAACAAATCAGTAGAATGCATCAGGGGACACAGTAAGGACAGTGATTCGAGGTCACACAAAGGACAATGGACCACGCCTATACAAATAATTAACGAAGGGTGCTTGCAATGAAAGTGCAAAAAGCGGGATAGGGGGTTGGAGGAATACCACCAAAAGATATACAGTAGATTGATGGGAAAGAGGAGAATTGGAGAGAGGTTATCCGGCATAAGGGGGTAGAAGTCAAACTCGGGGGTCTCTCGGGAAGGAAAGGCTGGTCGTCAACAACCGTGTCCGTGCCCTACAGGTGTTCCTGTTAGTGTTGTTGGAACAATAAAGTTCTCTTACCAGGCCGAATCGTGTGCACCCCTTTTTACTGCAAATTAAAACCGTGGTGCAGCATTAACTAATAGGGAAATTTGATTAAATGTGCGTTTAGTATTGATGAATGGACATTGATCCAAATCTAGTCGTAACTCTCAGAAACGTTATTCGCAAATGTTAAGCTTGTCTTATATTGCATTTAATTTCCCTCAGAAGTTACTTAATGTACAGCAGGGGGTCAACAACCAAAATAACAAGAAAAGCCATTTTTTCGAAATCGGTAAAAAACTCAATATTACAAGAGCCACACAATACACATGAAAACGAGACGGTGATCCTTAATAAATAACGTCACGAAGCAGTCTCATAAAGAGCCGCAAGCGGCTCCTGAGCCGCAGGTTGCTGGCCCTTGATGTACAGTTTTGCACCATAAACAAAGTTCCCATCATTGACATATTTACAGTACCATATATGAGAAAATAGTGATGTGGGAATGCATTCTATTCAGTGGCATCAGAATTTCTAATTGTACATTTGACTGAAAGTCCGAAATTTTTTCCAAAATATCCCTCAATTTTAATGGTAAATTTTATCTATTATTTGCTCTGTAATGCAGCCTACACAAGGGTAGGGAGAGAGACTCACGTGAGCATGTTGCATTTCCATCACCTGCAGAGGGGGAGAAGAAGATAGCACCATTAAGCACCGTCATAACTTAATCGTAAAAAAATCTACTTTAACCAAAACAAATGTTCACCAAACATATAAAATATTGTAAAGGCATAATAATTATTTTAAAATGCTGAATTAAAATACATTGTTATATCACTATTTACAGAAAATCCAATGAGGCTAATATCAAATGGCCATGTATAGACTCATCATAAAGGTCTCATCCCTCTAAACCTCAACATCCGCAATGAGATTGGCGACACAAATCTAGATTTAGGAGAGTTCCAGGTGTTCACCGACATGTCAACTGTGGTTACTTCAAATGCTTCTGTCATGGACCTGCCAAAGATCACTGAAGCTCTCTGTGGTTTATAAAAAAAAACTGTCAGGAATATACTTGTCGGACGTAGTTTTTTTCACGATTCTTTTGCAGTAAAGCTCTGAAGTTACACAGCGCAACTACGAAAACCCACGTAGTAGTTGCCTACATGGTACATATGTAAATGTATACAGAAAGCTTGTTTTCAATATTGTGTGGCCAGAAAAAAAGAACACAAACAGACTGGCTTGAAACAAATCCCACTGTTATGGATACTCTGCACAGCGCAGGATGGCAATGGAGCATTTACTTGTGTTGCGTTGATATCCTGGAGCGCAGGGGCAGCGGTATGACCCCACTGTGTTCTCACAAACCGTTCCCAAGCCACACACAGCTGGGACTCTCCCACACTCGTTGATGTCCTCGCACACAGTAGCATTACCTAAGGGAAATCATTTAACGTAACGTTTTACATATACGCAGTGTAAACGATAACAAAAACATTATTTTGTATTGAGTTTACACTACTTTTTTTGGTTCGTTTAACTTCCTATATCGATTAAAATGTTGCTTTATTGGTTTGTTATTTGAAAAAAATACTACTGAAATATTTTTTCTATTTTACATATTTCAATACGAGCTCTATATTCTGAGCAGCGGAACCTTCATCCTGCACATTATTAGGTGAAAACATTTCATAAACTGAAATATTCATGCCAAAATGCTGCTTTCTATTGCCCCATATGTGTGGGTTTTATCTGGCCACTTCCATTTAAAAGTATAAAAAGTTACTTTGCCACGATATTCCAAAGCAGATCCCTCCTAATAAAAGCCTGTAGACCATTGAGTACAAAAATATCAGACTAAAAATGCTATCTCCCCAATATGGGTTTGGAGGAGCTAACATGTATCCCTTTACAGCTCTTAGCCATTATACTGTTATGTGAAATGTTACCTTGAACTGTAGCATGATCCTACATTACCTTGGCATGAATACCAAAACAATCGTGAAACATCTCACAGAGGAAATCCACGTGCTTCAACTTACTTTGGAAACCAGCATCACACTGGCATTGGAAGGAGCCTGGCGTGTTCTTGCAGGTTGAATTGGCACTGCAGTTGTTGCTGGGGAGCAGACACTCATCCACATCCAGGCAGACAGTGCCATTGCCTATGTATCCCGCAAGACACAGGCAATTGTATGAACCCACCGTGTTGACACAGTAGGCACCTGGCCCACAGGCCGCACTGCCAAATGTTTGACACTCATTCACATCTACGCATTTCTCTCCAGTTTCTGAGGGAGGGGGGAACACATTTGAATAAGATAACAAAATCAGATACATATTTCACCACTGGAACCCAAAACACAACATTTACTTAATTTGTATAATTGGAAAAAAATACGACACGAATTTATATGGCTGATATCCATATGAATTTGAGGCCATAGAAATGAAATATGAGAAGTGGACATGTCGGATTTTTTTGGTGTACTGTATTTTTATTTTTCCCTAGCTCGTATGAGTAATTTGTATAATCCCGAGCAACAAATAACTCATAATACATTATAATGGAAATCACGTGGACCGTTATATGGTAAATAACGTAATATAAACTCAATATAAATATACACCACACTGACCATCATACCCAGAATTGACTGACAATTCATCACGAGACTTATTTTATGTATTGATAATTGTATTATTATGCTCGCCTGCTCTGAAAGCCTCACCGAGTTGCAGAACTCTTCATTGGAAGGGTTCTGCTAAGCTTTCAGAGCAGGGAGTAATGTTGCTATGTATATTTCCCAATGAGTGATTTGCAGGTACATTTTCAGCATTAGGATGTTTGGCCAATACCAGTTATGTATTTGTTTGTTTTTGCTGTGGAAGAAAACCGCTGAGCCTGGAGGAAGCCCCATGCAGAAGAGGGAGAGACACACAGAGAGGTGTCCAAGTTGGGCATCACACCAAGGTTTTTCTTGCTGTGGCGTGCAAGTGTTTTTACTGTGCCACCCTTCCAGCCATGTTATTGTAGGATGAGCCTAGATTACATTGACGCATACCAAAACCATGAAAATCACGCAGAGGAAATCCACATGCTTCAACTTACTTTGGAAACCAGCATCACACTGGCATTGGAAGGAGCCTGGCGTGTTCTTGCAGGTTGAATTGGCACTGCAGTTGTTGCTGGGGAGCAGACACTCATCCACATCCAGGCAGACAGTGCCATTGCCTATGTATCCCGCAAGACACAGGCAATTGTATGAACCCACCGTGTTGACACAGTAGGCACCTGGCCCACAGGCCGCACTGCCAGATGTATGACACTCATTCACATCTACGCATTTCTCTCCAGTTTCTGAGGGAGGGGGGAACACATTTGAATAAGATAACAAAATCAGATACATATTTCACCACTGGAACCCAAAACACAACATTTACTTAATTTGTATAATTGGAAAAAAATACGACACGAATTTATATGGCTGATATCCATATAAATTTGAGGCCATAGAAATGAAATATGAGAAGTGGACATGTCGGATTTTTTTGGTGTGCTGTATCTTCATTTTTCCCTAGCTCGTATGAGTAATTTGGATAATCCCGAGCAAGAAATAACTCTGAATATATTATAATGGAAATCACGTGGACCCTTATACGGTAAATTATGTAATATAAACTCAATATAAATATACACCACACTGACCATCATACCCAGAATTGACTGTGACAATTCATCAAGAGACTTATTTTATGTATTGATGATTGTATTATTATGCTCGCCTGCTCAGAAAAGCCTCACCGAGTCGCAGAACTCTTCATTAGAAGGGTTCTGCTAAGCTTTCAGAGCAGGGGGTGATGTTGCTATGTATATTTCCCAATGAGTAATTTGCAGGTACATTTTCAGCATTAGGATGTTTGGCCAATACCAGTTATGTATTTGTTTGTTTTTGCTGTGGAAGAAAACCGCTGAGCCTGGAGGAAGCCCCATGCAGAAGAGGGAGAGACACACAGAGAGGTGTCCAAGTTGGGCATCACACCAAGGCCTTTCTTGCTGTGGCGTGCAAGTGTTTTTACTGTGCCACCCTTCCAGCCATGTTATTGTAGGATGAGCCTAGATTACATTGACGCATACCAAAACCATGAAAATCACGCAGAGGAAATCCACATGCTTCAACTTACTTTGGAAACCAGCATCACACTGGCATTGGAAGGAGCCTGGCGTGTTCTTGCAGGTTGAATTGGCACTGCAGTTGTTGCTGGGGAGCAGACACTCATCCACATCCAGGCAGACAGTGCCATTGCCTATGTATCCCGCAAGACACAGGCAATTGTATGAACCCACCGTGTTGACACAGTAGGCACCTGGCCCACAGGCCGCACTGCCAGATGTTTGACACTCATTCACATCTACGCATTTCTCTCCAGTTTCTGAGGGAGGGGGGAACACATTTGAATAAGATAACAAAATCGGATACATATTTCACCACTGGAACCCAAAACACAACATTTACTTAATTTGTATAATTGGAAAAAAATACGACACGAATTTATATGGCTGATATCCATATGAATTTGAGGCCATAGAAATGAAATATGAGAAGTGGACATGTCGGATGTTTTTGGTGTACTGTATTTTTATTTTTCCCTAGCTCGTATGAGTAATTTGTATAATCCCGAGCAACAAATAACTCATAATACATTATAATGGAAATCACGTGGACCGTTATACGGTAAATAACGTAATATAAACTCAATATAAATATACACCACACTGACCATCATACCCAGAATTGACTGACAATTCATCACGAGACTTATTTTATGTATTGATAATTGTATTATTATGCTCGCCTGCTCAGAAAAGCCTCACCGAGTTGCAGAACTCTTCATTGGAAGGGTTCTGCTAAGCTTTCAGAGCAGGGAGTAATGTTGCTATGTATATTTCCCAATGAGTGATTTGCAGGTACATTTTCAGCATTAGGATGTTTGGCCAATACCAGTTACGTATTTGTTTGTTTTTGCTGTGGAAGAAATCCACTGAGCCTGGAGGAAGCCCCATGCAGAAGAGGGAGAGACACACAGAGAGGTGCCCAAGTTGGGAATCACACCAAGGCCTTTCTTGCTGTGGCGTGCAAGTGTTTTTACTGTGCCACCCTTCCAGCCATGTTATTGTAGGATGAGCCTAGATTACATTGACGCATACCAAAACCATGAAAATCACGCAGAGGAAATCCACGTGGTTCAACTTACTTTGGAAACCAGCATCACACTGGCATTGGAAGGAGCCTGGTGTGTTTTTGCAGGTTGAATTGGCACTGCAGTTGTTGCTGGGAGCAGACACTCATCCACATCCAGGCAGAGAGTGCCATTGCCTATGTATCCCGCAAGACACGGGCAATTGTATGAACCCACCGTGTTGACACAGTAGGCTCCTGGCCCACAGGCCGCACTGCCAGATGTTTGACACTCATTCACATCTACGCATTTCTCTCCAGTTTCTGAGGGAGGGGGGAACACATTTGAATAAGATTAAAAAATCAGATACATATTTCACCACTGGAACCCAAAACACAACATTTACTTAATTTGTATCATTGGAAAAAAATTTCTACACGAATTTATATGCCTGATATCCATATAAATTTGAGGCCATAGAAATGAAATATGAGAAGTGGACATGTCGGATTTTTTTGGTGTGCTGTATCTTTATTTTTCCCTAGCTCGTATGAGTAATTTGGATAATCCCGAGCAAGAAATAACTCTGAATATATTATAATGGAAATCACGTGGACCGTTATATGGTAAATAACGTAATATAAACTCAATATAAATATACACCACACTGACCATCATACCCAGAATTGACTGTGACAATTCATCAAGAGACTTATTTTATGTATTGATGATTGTATTATTATGCTCGCCTGCTCAGAAAAGCCTCACCGAGTTGCAGAACTCTTCATTAGAAGGGTTCTGCTAAGCTTTCAGAGCAGGGGGTAATGTTGCTATGTATATTTCCCAATGAGTAATTTGCAGGTACATTTTCAGCATTAGGATGTTTGGCCAATACCAGTTATGTATGTTTGTTTTTGCTGTGGAAGAAAACCGCTGAGCCTGGAGGAAGCCCCATGCAGAAGAGGGAGAGACACACAGAGAGGTGTCCAAGTTGGGCATCACACCAAGGCCTTTCTTGCTGTGGCGTGCAAGTGTTTTTACTGTGCCACCCTTCCAGCCATGTTATTGTAGGATGAGCATAGATTACATTGACGCATACCAAATCATGAAAATCACGCAGAGGAAATCCACATGCTTCAACTTACTTTGGAAACCAGCATCACACTGGCATTGGAAGGAGCCTGGCGTGTTCTTGCAGGTTGAATTGGCACTGCAGTTGTTGCTGGGGAGCAGACACTCATCCACATCCAGGCAGACAGTGCCATTGCCTATGTATCCCGCAAGACACGGGCAATTGTATGAACCCACCGTGTTGACACAGTAGGCTCCTGGCCCACAGGCCGCACTGCCAGATGTTTGACACTCATTCACATCTACGCATTTCTCTCCAGTTTCTGAGGGAGGGGGGAACACATTTGAATAAGATTAACAAAATCAGATACATATTTCACCACTGGAACCCAAAACACAACATTTACTTAATTTGTATCATTGGAAAAAAAATTCTACACGAATTTATATGCCTGATATCCATATAAATTTGAGGCCATAGAAATGAAATATGAGAAGTGGACATGTCGGATTTTTTTGGTGTGCTGTATTTTTATTTTTCCCTAGCTCGTATGAGTAATTTGGATAATCCCGAGCAAGAAATAACTCTGAATATATTATAATGGAAATCACGTGGACCCTTATACGGTAAATTACGTAATATAAACTCAATATAAATATACACCACACTGACCATCATACCCAGAATTGACTGTGACAATTCATCAAGAGACTTATTTTATGTATTGATGATTGTATTATTATGCTCGCCTGCTCAGAAAAGCCTCACCGAGTTGCAGAACTCTTCATTAGAAGGGTTCTGCTAAGCTTTCAGAGCAGGGGGTAATGTTGCTATGTATATTTCCCAATAAGTAATTTGCAGGTACATTTTCAGCATTAGGATGTTTGGCCAATACCAGTTATGTATTTGTTTTTGCTGTGGAAGAAAACCGCTGAGCCTGGAGGAAGCCCCATGCAGAAGAGGGAGAGACACACAGAGAGGTGTCCAAGTTGGGAATCACACCAAGGCCTTTCTTGCTGTGGCGTGCAAGTGTTTTTACTGTGCCACCCTTCCAGCCATGTTATTGTAGGATGAGCCTAGATTACATTGACGCATACCAAAACCATGAAAATCACGCAGAGGAAATCCACCTGGTTCAACTTACTTTGGAAACCAGCATCACACTGGCATTGGAAGGAGCCTGGCGTGTTCTTGCAGGTTGAATTGGCACTGCAGTTGTTGCTGGGGAGCAGACACTCATCCACATCCAGGCAGACAGTGCCATTGCCTATGTATCCCGCAAGACACGGGCAATTGTATGAACCCACCGTGTTGACACAGTAGGCTCCTTGCCCACAGGCCGCACTGCCAAATTTCAGACACTCATCTACATCTGTGCACATCTCTCCAGTTTCTGGTGCGTGGGAGGGAGGGAGATTTGAATAAGTTGAAAAAAATTAGATACGTATTTCACCACTGGAACCCAAAAAACTACATTTTCTTAATTTGTATCATTGAAAAAAATACTACATAGCCTGGGCGGGAACAGTGCTGGGCTGATATCTGTATAAATTTGAGGCTATAGAAATGGAATATGAAAAGTGGACGTGTGGGATATTTTGTTTGTGTATTGTATTTTTATTTTTCCATACCTCGTATGAGTAATGTGTATAATCCCGAGAAACAAATCACTTTGAATACATTATGAAGGAAGTCGTATGGATTTTAATTGGAAAATTACGTAATATAAGCTCAATATAAATATACACCACACTTACCATCATACCCAGAATTGTACCATTAGATTGTCGTGTGACAATTCATCTTGAGATATTTGTATGTATTGATAATTGTATTATTATATTCTTTGGGGCTTTCGGTAAAGTCACGTAGAACAATTTTTTTTTACAAAAAACTACTGTATTATTATGCTTGCCTGCTCAGAAAAGCCTCGCTGAGTCGCAAGACATAACTGGAGGGTCCTGCTAATTTTTCAGAGTAGGGAGTAATGTTGTTAAGTATAAGCCCAAATTAGTAATTTGTATGTTCATTTTCAGCATTGGGATGTTTGGCCTCTACCAGTTATGTATTTGTGTGTTTGTTTTTGCCGTGGAAGAAAACCGCTGAGCCTGGAGGAAGCCCCATGCAGAAGAGGAAGAGACAGAAAGGCGTACGGGTTGGGAATCACACTAAGGCCTTTCTTGCTGTGGCGTGCAGGTGTTTTGACTGTGTCGCCCTGCCAGCCATGTTACTGTAGGATGAGCCTAGATTACTTTGACGCATACCAAAACCGTGAAAATCACACAGAGCAAATCAACACGATTCAACTTACTTTGGAAACCAGCATCACACTGGCATTGGTAGGAGCCTGGGGTGTTTGTGCAGGTTGAATTGGCACTGCAGTTGTTGCTGGGGAGCAGACACTCATCCACATCCAGGCAGACAGTGCCATTGCCTACGTATCCCACAAGACACCTGCATGCGTATGAACCCAATGTGTTAGCACAGTAGGCTCCATGACCACAGAGAGCACTACCTGCTTTTTCACACTCATCAACATCTATGCACGTCTCTCCAGATTCTGGTGGTTGGGAGTGGGGAGAAAGATTTGAATAAGAAACATTGATGAATACATTGTGCGTTTACATGCTTGAACTCAAATTAATATACACTCTGAGTGGGAATACCGTGGGCTGATTCCTATGAAAGTTGAAATTTCTATACATTTGAGACAAAAAATGGATGATGGGAAGTAGACACATGGCAATTTTGTTGGTGTTTTTATGTTGTACTAGCCTGTACAATTAATGTGTAGAATCCCTATTATCAGGAAAATTCATATAGACCTTTGCATGGGAAATTCATTCAGGTACTATAGAAATAGCCACTAAGACACTTACGGACATATCCACTGTTGCAGATGCAGGTATAATTTCCGTCTAAGTTATGACACGTGGAATATTGAGTGCAGTTATAGATTCCGCTCTGACACTCGTCCACGTCTTGGCAGGTCCGGCTGTCGCTTACGGCCGCGTACCCAGCCACACATCCACACTTGAAGCTGCCGATTGTGTCAGTGCATGTCCCGTATATGGAGTCGCAAGGTGTCTGTCCATCAGCCATGGGTAAGCTGCACTCATCAATATTGATGCATTGCGTTTTGCTCGTGCCATTGAGGGTGTACCTGATGAAATAAAGTTAACAATTGCACTCCTTGAAACTGATACGAAACGCAAATCAATTACTTGAAGTGGACAACGTATACTAATTTTCCACAGCACCGAGAAGCACGTAAATATAAATGCTTTTAACATCAATTGCAGTCCTGAGTTGTGGTCCCATGACCTTTTATTTTACACAAGCTGTATTATTACTCTGATTAAACAGACTTTAAAATGTGAAGTTATTTATATCAAAGTTTACCATAAACTGAATAAGTAAAGTACTTTTAGACTTTACAAGGTTGAGAAAGAAAAAATATTTTGCAACTAATCATGCTAAGTTACTTTGTCCACGAGAGGAAATGGGTTTGCATAGACAAGATGAACCGCCAACATTATAAAGGACTTTAGAGTATTGTTTCTTGTCTTGTGATTACATAGCCGATTACACTATTAATCCAATTGTAAGTTACAAGTCTACAATGTAATGTTACAATTCCAGAAATGTTCTTGTTAGAAAAGGTTTCGTCTTTTCCCAGTTTTGTTTCACCTATAGTGCGATCGAAATAACCTCATGAGACTATTCCAAACTCTTGTAGACCAGCGCATCAGAGGCTGACATCACATAACCACTTTTGAGATACATGCACATGACCTCTTTTGTCCAAGCTAGGGAGTGCTTGATACATATCCACACATGTCCCGCATGGCAGTCAAACCAATATCCTTATTTATGTTAAGAGCCGATCTTTCTTTCATCCATTAAAAAATAAACTAATTTAACATGCATTCTGATTTAAAGCTTTCGTGACTGCAGTAATTCATATTCTTAGTTCTTTCGGTAAAGTCACGTTGAAGGGAAATAATAAAATATATAAAACAATAAAAAAATTCTCACGACGTTTCGACCATAACACAAACGGTCGTCATCAGGTGTGTCGGTTTGCATAAATTTATTTATTTTTAAACGGTGTATTTATTTATAAAAAATGTTACCGCCACGCGCAGCGATTTGGCAGTTTATTTAGAAGGACTAGTCCATCTATGTTCTGAAAAGAGGAGGGGGGAGACGAAAAATTTAATGTATGCTGTCTGAAAGCCACTGTAAGCGTGAACAATCAATTAAGACCTGAAATGGTTTATCAAATCTTTCCAATGATTGCTAAGCCAGAATCCATCTTCTCGGTTGAAATTGTCTCTGTGCTTGTATATGTGGATAGCCTCATGAACGAATCTCTCATGGTAGCCAGATGGCTTACAAAGAACCTCTGTCTTGGAAAAGTCAATGTCATGTGAGCCTACTGAATTATAACAATGATCTGCCACGGCCGAGGTGTTGGTCCTACCGTGTTTAAGGTCTGCTTTGTGTTCACGAATGCGGTCTGAGACATGGCGTTTGGTTTCTCCAATGTAACTACTACCACAGAGGCAACTTAGTTTGTAGACACCAGGGTATTGTATGTCCGGAATCACATCTTTTACAGACGGAACCAGATCACGGATTTTATGTAATGTGTTGAAACGGACCTGGATCTTGTGTTTATTCAAGATTTTGGAGATCTTTTTTGTGATCCCCGCAATGTAGGGTAAAGTGATGGTTTTGAAAGGCTCCTCAAGAGGGTCCTTCTTCATGGTTTGAGTGATAGCTTTGCGGATTGTTTAGTCGGAGTAACCATTAGCCTTAAGAGCTTGGTGTACGTGCTTGAGTTCACTGCCTATGTGTTCCTGGTCGGATATGCATTGGGCTCTATGATACAGAGTCTTGATGACAGAATTCTTCTGTGATGGATGGTGGTGGGAATCCGGTTTCAGATAAGCATCCGTATGGGTAGCTTTCCTGTAGACAGAGTGGCTCATTGAACCATCAGGTCTCTTTTTAATTAGGACATCCAAAAAAGGTAGCTTGCCATCTTTTTCGACTTCCATGGTAAATCTGATGGCTGGGTGTATGGAATTGATGTGGTCGAAGAATTGGTCTAGAGCAGGCCGGCCATGTGGCCAGATGACAAAAGTGTCATCCACGTACCTCTTCCATAAGGTTGGGCGCAGAGTGGCAGTCTGGATGGCGTCAGTCTCAAATTTCTCCATGAAAATGTTAGCTATAACCGGAGATAGGGGGGAGCCCATTGGGGTGCCCTCAGTTTGTTTGTAGAAAGTTCCATTCCAAGTGAAGTATGTATTGGTTAAACAGTGTCTCACCAGGGGGGGTACCTCAGTGTTTAGTCCTTGATGAACCAAGTCTTCATTGATTGCGATGGTGTCAGGTACAGGAACCTTGGTGAATAAGGAAACTACATCAAAACTGACAAGCAGGTCGTCTGGGGACAGGGAAATACCCTTGATTGTCGATACCAGGTGAGTAGAATTTTGTACCGCAGAGGTGGTTTTTCCAGTGAAAGGACGCAGGATTTCAGACAAAAAACGAGCCAGTTTGTAGGTGGGGGAGTTGATAGTAGAGACGATGGGACGAAGGGGTGTATCTACTTTATGTATTTTTGGTAAGCCGTATAATCTTGGTGGCCTGGCAGCAGAAGGTTTCAACGAAAAACTGTTTAGATTGATCAATTAATGTGGTTGAAGAGATGCCGCGACTCTGGGGTAATACCAATCGCATTTACACTGACCTCTGCTGCTGTAACGTCTTCTAATGCGAAACGAATTCTTTTAAAAACTAGCTTAGCTCTTATCTCAGAAAAAATCAGACTTATACGCACCGAACTAGATCAGTTAGACAAGACACTCTACAAATCACACTTATCATTGACGGCAACAATGTCCACATCGGATTGGGAACATGTAGACAATATGACTGCCTCTTCAGCTGCTACTATGTCGACCAAATGTAAGGACAACCTGATTTCCAAATTTAACCTCCTCTTCAACAAAAGACCGGACCCACACACCAAAAAGTTAGACGTTAACAAAGTCGTAATGAATCGCAGTAACAGTTCTATTTCCGATGGTCTGAAATCCGTTTTAGCTAAAGGTCTAAACTTTGCAGTCACACCTAAACACATACCAGTTAATGATATAATTGCCCAAGTAGACGTTGCTCTCAGGGGCCTGGGTCACATCGCTGCAGACGTAGCAAGATCTGAAATCACTGCAACCCTCAAAAACGCTAAGATGCCAGCTAGCAACCTCAGCAAAGATGAGCGTTTTGAATTATATAAATTAAAAAAGACGGCTGATATTGTAGTCCTCTCAGCTGACAAGGGCAATGCTACTGTTATCATGGATAAAATAGAATACAACAAAAAAATTAAAGAATTACTCGACGATGGTAGTTATACAAAAATAAAAAGAGATCCCACCAACAGCCTCGTCACACAAACCAACAAAATAATTTCTGATTCAACCGCATTAATTGATCAATCTAAACAGTTTTCGTTGAAACCTTCTGCTGCCAGGCCACCAAGATTATATGGCTTACCAAAAATACATAAAGTAGATACACCTCTTCGTCCCATCGTCTCTACTATAAACTACCCCACCTACAAACTGGCTCGTTTTTTGTCTGAAATCCTGCGTCCTTTCACTGGAAAAAACACCTCTGCGGTACAAAATTCTACTCACCTGGTATCGACAATCAAGGGTATTTCCCTGTCCCCAGACGACCTGCTTGTCAGTTTTGATGTAGTTTCCTTATTCACCAAGGTTCCTGTACCTGACACCATCGCAATCATTGAAGACTTGGTTCATCAAGGACTAAACACTGAGCTACCCCCCCTGGTGAGACACTGTTTAACCAGTGTCTCACCAGGGGGGGTACCTCACTTTACCCTACATTGCGGGGATCACAAAAAAGATCTCCAAAATCTTGAATAAACACAAGATCCAGGTCCGTTTCAACACATTACATAAAATCCGTGATCTGGTTCCGTCTGTAAAAGATGTGATTCCGGACATACAATACCCTGGTGTCTACAAACTAAGTTGCCTCTGTGGTAGTAGTTACATTGGAGAAACCAAACGCCATGTCTCAGACCGCATTCGTGAACACAAAGCAGACCTTAAACACGGTAGGACCAACACCTCGGCCGTGGCAGATCATTGTTATAATTCAGTAGGCTCACATGACATTGACTTTTCCAAGACAGAGGTTCTTTGTAAGCCATCTGGCTACCATGAGAGATTCGTTCATGAGGCTATCCACATATACAAGCACAGAGACAATTTCAACCGAGAAGATGGATTCTGGCTTAGCAATCATTGGAAAGATTTGATAAACCATTTCAGGTCTTAATTGATTGTTCACGCTTACAGTGGCTTTCAGACAGCATACATTAAATTTTTCGTCTCCCCCCTCCTCTTTTCAGAACATAGATGGACTAGTCCTTCTAAATAAACTGCCAAATTGCTGCGCATGGTGGTAACATTTTTTATAAATAAATAAATACACCGTTTAAAAATAAATAAATTTATGCAAACCGACACACCTGATGACGACCGTTTGTGTTATGGTCGAAACGTCGTGAGAATGTTTTATTGTTTTATATATATTATTATTTCATTGTTTCCCTTCAACGTGACTTTACCGAAAGAACTAAGCATATAACATGCATTCGTTTGTGACCCAGCTGAAAGTATTACATCACTTTAGTTCATGGTTGAAAACCCAATTTAACCATAGTTCTTGGCAACCTAGAACCAATCCCAGAATCTCAGCAGTGCTGAGCTCAATGTTCTGACTCCATAGCCACATGGCCACCTTTTCAAGCAAATGTCTAGTGCTGGTGTGTAATATATCCTTGTGGATATGAAACATTGCTATGTACTTAGACACACTATATTGAGTATGCTGCAAATATCAATTGGTTTGGAAACAACCCTAGAACGATCAATTATTCATACCCAGAATTGCAGGAACATCCTGGGAGAGTTGTTTCATCAATGTAACAATCTCCAGTTCCATTGCAAACGTCCGTCACACAAGTTTGGTTTTCTGAAAAATAAATAAAAGTAAAATTTATTTCACGTGCAAAATTGCATATTATGGTACCATAGATGTTTGTACATTTCAAACCAGTGATCCCTTCAGTTAATTATTAATACAGTTATTGATATCACTCTAAATGTGTTTAGTTATGCAAGACAGGAGTTGCATTGCTATAGCTATGTACAACACACACACATAATTATGCTATAACATACACTCCCATCACTGTAGGAAGCACGAAGCTTCAAGTGACAAATACCTACAACTTGTATCCTGTAGATATGCACAAAGGCAATGATCTCCATTAAGCCATGTAAATTGGAAGACGTCTAGAATCGTTGATCCCTAGTGCTGATGCTCGCACAGCGTGCCAGATATTCATTTTAGGCCGAGTCAACCTTGGGAAGGCCCAGGTCATGTACAGATATGACTTGCCAAACTGGTGCACATTACAAGGGATTAAAACTGGGCAACCAAGATTGTAGCACGGGCTCTAAACACTGAATCAGTACAGGTTGTGACAGTGGGAAGCATTAAAGTATGGTATAAACATTTATAGGGCTGCATTGCCTCTGCTGCACCCAACGTAACCACACAGCCTATGACACTTAACCATGCTTGGTTGGTCACCCATATAAGCACTATCTAGGCTCAAACCTGCTTAGCTTCAGAGATATAGAATTAGGCCATAGAGTATATACATAAGCCACATGTACAAAGGATGTAGACAAATGAAACTTACGTTTACAAGTCCCATTCACAGAGCTGAAACGGGCAAAGCAGCTGCAGGTGAAGCCTCCTTCGATGTTCGTGCAGTTCTGGGTGCAGTTGTGGAGTCCTCTGATGCATTCATCAACATCTGGACAAACACAATGAGCATCATCGTGGCCATACAAATCCTTAAGGTAGCTTTTCCATAACAAATGCCATGCCAAGACATCGGTCGCCTCAGTGCAGAATTAACATTGAGACACACTCAAATTGATTTCCCCTCATACAAACAATTCTAGTAAGTAAACAGCGATGCTTCTGCGCAATTAAATACAAATGATAATTGTCAAACCTTTGCATGTGGTTCCATCACTGTCCAAGTAGTATCCGAAGGGACAGCTGCATGTGTAGTGGCCAATGGTGTTGTTACATCTCACTCCGACAGGGCCTTTGCAGGGCTGCGTTGCATTTGCCGGTGGGTTACACTCATCGATATCTGTGGTGCATCGCAAGAGAACATATGTTAATATGCAAAAGTTGAATTACAAGTGGTCTTGTGGGAGCTTCGTTACTGCACAGTGATTAGGAACATTCTAACCAAAAACTTTCTTTTTGTACAACTTAATTGGGGTAAAATCACAAAGCAACACCGCCCCTACTGCCAGATTATACCAAACATCTCAATGCTGAAAATGTACCTGCAAATTACTCATTGGGAAATATACATAGCAACATTACCCCCTGTCTTTGCGATAGCCTTGCATTACAGTGATAACATAAGAAGCTATACTTGACTTTACTATACTCAAATTTGAACATTTTAAACATCCAGAAGCATCGCTTCCTTTCCATTGCTATACCTGCGCGGACAGTATGCTTGGCAAAACTCAAGAAACAAAATAATTGCATGGCACTGCATCCATGCATTTTTTGTATAATGGTTATTATTAACAGTCAAGATATTATAAGGCTCATAAAAAAGGCACGACTCTTGGGCCTCTTAAAAATAAATGTATAATCTGAGTGTATCTATTGTATGCTTTATTAACATTTCAAGACACATTTTATACTTATTCCCACCACTTACAACACATCGGCCTAGTGTGGAAGAGTAGGCCACTTCGAGAGGCTCTCTAGAGCTCCCTCTAGTGGAGACCTCTCTACCAGCAGTGGCGTAATAGCAGGGCCGGCACCTTTACGTTTACATGTTATTCGTTCCCACTTTTTGCTATTTCAATTAAAGTCAGATTGTGCAAGACAACAAGAACAATAAGCACCACGAGCATACAAGTTTATTTTTATAAGTGCTTGGAATGTCTATAGTGAGTTAATGCTTTCAGCTGGGTCACAAACGAATGCATGTTCAATTAGTAAAACTTTTAATGGTTGAAAGAAAAATCAGCTCTTAAAATAAATAAAAAATATATATTGGGGATATGTCGCAAGCACTCCCTAGCTTGGACTAACGAGGTAATGTGCGCGTATCTCAAAAGTGTCTCCGCGATGTCAGCTTCCAATGCACTGGTCTGCAAGAGTTTGGAATAAATAATCTCATGAAGTTATTTCGATCGCACTAATTGAAATAAAACTGGGAAAATACGAAACTTTTTCTAACCAGAGAATCACGGCACCTCGACACTGGGGGACACCCACCACGTGGAAGCAAAGCTTACCTGTGCACGTGACTCCGTCTCCTGTGTAGCCAGCCTTGCACTGGCACGTGAAACTTCCATCGAAATTTTGGCAGAGCCCTGTCGTCCTCGAGCAGTTGTTTAATGATGAAACGACGCACTCGTCTGTGTCTAGAAACATTAGCAAAATGTACGTGGCTTTGTAATTAGCATACCGATGTGTGATTGCAAATGTGCACACGCATTTGAGAGACTACAAAAGCTCTCGCGATGCCTCGAGAAATACTGTATCTTGTCAGTCATTTTAAATTGAACGATGTCATTGTTCTTAACGAGATGTGAGCCCAGTATCTTTATCTCTTCCTTCAGAAGAACATACGTTCTTGCAGCTCTTTGTAGTGGTAAGAACACTACACAGTATATGATTAGGTTTATACTGCAAAGACATATTGCGTTGATAACAAACCCGCTGGCAAAAGACTTACCAGTACAGATGCGAGCTGTGCTATCAAATTGGTATCCCGCCTTGCACAGACATGTGTACGATCCTATCGTGTTGCTGCACACCATCGTGTTCGCGTCACACGGTTGGTTTTTCTTGCACTCATCAACATCTGGTCGAAATATAAACAATGCACATCACAATCGAGCAACCACATACAAAACGATGGGTTCCAACAGATCAATGTTAGTGCACAGCGGGCTTCCGTACGAGTGTGCATGACACGGGTATAGGATCGTAAAAGTCTACATGTAATGTCATGGAAATCGTATGACCTTCGAGGCAAGGGGTAATAGCTTACATAGAGATGCGTTAATCTGCCAAACCCAGTGGGCTGTGAGCTAGCCCGAAAATGCCTGTACAGCGTAGTGAACCATTCCACGTCGACCATTGAGTGTTGTCTCGTATGTATGTACAAGTTCTCACAAAACTCAAGTTTTCTCCAACATGAAACACAACGATTAATATAACGGTCCAACATCCCAATACAAGACTCAAATGGCTCGGGCATGTACTCAGAATGGACCAGGACCATATACCCAAAAAAATGCCCTCAGGTGGACACTACCAGGCGAAAGGAAACCTGGGAGACCCAAGACCACCTGGCACAAGATCATGAAGGATGAGCTGGCAGCATTAATCAACCTCTCTCGGGGCGAGGCGCAACATGTTGCCAAGGACAGGAGGAGGTGGAGGGAACTCATTGTGGCCTCGTGTCTCCCATAGGGGATGAAGAGGATTAACTAACTCAACCTAGTCTATACATCTCTTCGTGGTCTTGCTCCACCATATCTTGCCATGTCTGTATCTTTCCATGTGCCTTCTCACCCTCTACGTTCTCAATCTTAGTTGTCTCTCTCTCTGTTCCTCCTCCTTGCATTCAATCCACGCTTTCACTCTCTCTTATTGCCCCCTTCACTGGAACAAACTTCCTCCTGCAGTAAAGTCATTTTCGCTCACTAGTTTCCGCTCCGCACTCAAAATTCACTTATTTTTCCAAGCTCTCCCCACGACCCTTTAATCTCCCCCTCATAACTGCCACCGTTACTCTTCCCTCTTCACATTCTCATATGGCTTTCACTCATTCCACCTTCATTCAATCATTTACTGTCAACAATGACAGATGTGCCCTCCATTGCTTCCTCTCATCTATTTCATTCACTTCATCTCCACCATTAAATCCATAAGTACTCCTGTTAATTCTGTGTAAAGCACCTTTTACAAGGTGCTGCATAAATTATGTTAAATAAATATGAGAACTAACTATTCCAATACAGTGCCTTAGTTTTAAACCAAAAACAATCTTGAGAATGAGTGAGGCTTTCCCAGGCAAGTAAATGACAAAATGGTGAAATCCATATGAGAATTGTGGCCATGGTTATTTAAAGGATGCTATGAGAATATCACTATATGCAGATAATCTCCTTCTACACACTGCATAAACAAGCCTGACTCTGCTGATGAGATGATGAATGTCAAAACCGGTCCATAGAGTTATTGTAATTAACCAATGCTGTTGATGAGATGCACTCTCTGGAGACATTTTGGCTGATGGGATGTAGTAAAAAAATACGGGAAGCAGGCATTATGTCTGCCCCTTTATTTCGTTTCTTATATATATATCTTTTAGCGAATATATGACAGACATTTGTAGTTTTGTTGGATCCAGATTCTTGGCAGATCCACCAATTTTTTTTTAAATCCTCATCACAATATTGTGTACCTGTACAAATTGTTCCATTCCTTATGTAACCTGGTAAGCACTCGCATTTGTAGCTTCCAAAACCATTCATACATTCTTCTGTGTCCTGGCACAAGTATGGATTGGCCGTGCATTCATTTATATCTGTACACAAAAGAACAGCCATATTAGTTAGAAAGTAATACATTAAACAATGTTCTGCAGTTTTCTACTCTGCCTCTAGTGTTTAATTAATGCTCCCACCAATCACAGGTATTTCAATTCACCTAGGGATTCTTTTATATAGGAACAAAAATAATACGTCCATCAGTTCTTCAGTAACAACACTTACTTGAACAGTTGTCATAATATGATTTCGAGTGAGGGCTCATTCTGTCTGTGAGGAACCGGGATGGCAAGTCATATATAACGTATGCCCTTGATTTAGGTTCAAACCATTGGGAGCGACAATAGATGATGCTGTCAGGAGTGCAGCATTAGTGGTGGAGATTGAGGCAATATGGGAAAAAATGTTTCTCAAACTCCAGTGCGAGGTAGATCAAATAAGCATTGTTGTGGTAGGTCAACAGGAGTTCTACGGGGTGGTCGTTCCTCACCATGGCAATGTGAATTCCCACTACCAGCGCAGGGTGTCTCATGGAGAGGTGTGCCACTCCTGTGTCCATTTGACCTTAGAGCCACTCTGCCCTTTGACAGTCTCCTTTACAAATATATACGAGTAATTTTCTTTTATTTGTGCAGTGTCCATTAAAAACAGCTGTTTACTCAATATAGTTTACACTTCCAATAGCTAAACTAAATTATAATAAGTTCAACCTAAGTAAAAAGCGAGGTGGCCGGTTAGCGAGGGGGGGGGGTCAGAGCACTTAACCTGCACTGCTGACATCCTCGGTGTGACTGTTGGTTCAGCCACCCATGATTGCACTGAATTATCAAGTGCAGTGAATTGATCGTCTCAAAGCCAGCAAATTCCAATTCTGAGAATGTGAAAATATTTGGCTGGCCATTTTTCTGTAGCAGGGCATGTGAGATAGTATGTGTGTGGATAAAGAAAGGCTTTTGATGGGATCTCCATATTTAGTGATGTGACGTTCCCCTTGGCAGGCCACTCGCTAACAAGGAGGGGGGGGGTCACTGCTGTGTGAGATTTATGATCTCTTATGAATGTCTTCTTTAGCTTACGACATAATGCCAATAGGACAATCATTGTAATATATATAAGCACTGAAAATACTTAAATAAGTTTAATTAAATCGCCCGTCACATTATCTACGTAAGCTGCCTATTTTTTCCCCGTTAAAATTTGAGCATGTATCCTCTTACCTGCGCAGTAGGTTCCATTCCCAGTGAATCCAAGAGCACAGGTGCAGTAATATGACCCATCAGTGTTCATACATTCTGATCCATTACTATTACAATGGTTTCCCGTCATACATTCGTCGATATCCTTACAGTTCCAGCCATTTCCCTCATAGCCCAGTTTGCATACACACGTATAGGAGCCGATCGTATTGGTGCAATTGGCGTTGACGGGACAATTGTTCTGCCCGCTTATGCATTCATTTATATCTGTAACAAAAAATAAACTGTAAGTTTTCAGGCATTCATTCACTTTTTCCAAACAATAAATATAAAAACCTGTAATATCATTTATAATTGTGCTTTTTACTCTTAATTTTATATTCCAGGCATGATACATTACACACTTGCTGGTTTATTCATATTACATGGGACCTTTTTTGTCAATATCAAAATATGATTCCTTGGAAAAGGATTCTATTTGGTGTTTGAACATCTTAACACCTGTTGTATTGCCAGAAAGGGTAAAACCTATTCTTAGTTTGTTTCATACTTGTATTCAGTAACGTACATTGTCCATAATGTCCGTTATTCAATAATTATAATTTGATATATCTTTTGAGCTAGGTCAGAAAAAGCATATGTCCACACACTTGGTAACTTGACGATTATATTGCACGAGTTTCATCCCTATAAACTTTCACATGTCCCCAGATGCTCAACATCTCCACTGTAAATCTTTGAAACATTCGCGAATACAAATTCTGTATATATTTTGCCAATATTTCAACCATACGGTTAAAGCTGATCATTATAATCAAATAATAATACAGTACATGATATCTCTATAAACATCCTGCACATATTAAACAAGTATACAGACATCTTTGGGTCAGGCATCATTAATTGAAATATACACACCAGCTTGGAAGATAAATATGGGAAGATAAACAGTGAGATTGCATTTATACATCATTTGATCGATCAGTACTACCCTGAAAGAGACCACATTTTAAAACGACTAAATACTTGTAACACTTTTTGTAACTTTAGCATCCATAATCCTAATCACCCTAACCCTCGGAGGCAAGAGAACTTTTTTTTATGGAATGTGGTATCGGTAAAATGTATGTGGTAGGGAGTACGCGTATCGAGAGAGGAAGTGTAATAATTTCGGGGATGTATATAGTGTAGCATGTTGCGTGTCAGCACGGACATTATTTACACTTAAAAATGTCCTGTTTGTTTGCTGGGTGAGATGTGTTGTATATGAATAATACACTGGTATGCAATGATGCATCGATTAAACTGTCAAAACTCATGAATATGTTCACCGTGCAATAATGCATGTGAAACATCTAATATTTAAAATTGAGTACGATGTTATAGGTAGTTTGGTTCACATTAACCCTGCAACCAATGGAGATATGTACACCGAAGTAGAATGTAACACACCAATAATTGAATGGAATAGCGACCTCGAAACCGTGACAATTCATTAAACTCATTATTAGTGAGGGGGTGATTCGTTACACTCTAGGTGTACAGTAGCACAATATATAATAATACAATTCCTACGAAACAAAACAAATAACCTAAAATATTGTGTTTTATAATTTATTACCTTCACAAGTTGTGCCATTATAGCCGGAAGTGCAGATGCAGGAATAGGACCCGATGCTATTGTTGCAAAATGAATTGTTTACGGATAAGCAGGGATTATTTTTGACTGAACATTCGTCTTCATCTGCAGGAGAAAAGCAAAACCGTCATTGAGTTTAAAATCGACACTTGAATACCAAGTACAGATTAAAAAATGTAATACTATTTAAGGCAACCATGGCGAAACAATGATCTTACTCTAGGCACTCACTCACTTGCAGTCAGAGTCACCACCTGATCACTCTTTTATCACCTATGACTATGGTTACTATTCCCATGAACTTCACTCATTCTTCCACCCATTGAGGACTCAGTATACCAGATTGACCATTTCATCTGACTCGTGTGTTCAATCACCATGCTGCAGGTCAACAACTTTCTCCTCCTGCTTCTTTCCTCGCACTGCTCAACTTTGAAAGTCACTCCCTCCATCGCTTTCCCAAGTTCTTAGAACCTTGCTTGTTTATTTATGGCTTGGGCCTATTTAGGATTTGTGCTCAAGAACCGTGATAATATAATAATTAAATTCGCCCACATAGTTCCTGCTTTTGTGAAATCTCGGACGTTAAACAGGACAAGTCCTGGATAGTGTTTGATTGGGTCCCCACAATGTATACCAAAAGTTATAAGCTGTGGTCTTACATTGCAGGTATCAGACATCAGTGAAGCAAATTAATTACTGTAGTGTACTATGCTGCCAGGTATATACTTCTGGACTTAACTAACCTGCACTGGCCAGTATGGTGATGCGTGGTCATATAAGGCAGGAAAGTAGACTTAGGGGCCGTCCATAAATGACGTCACGCAATTTTGGACGATTTTTGACCCCCCCCCCCCCCCCCTTCGTCACATGGCGTCACAAAAAGTCAGACCCCCCCTCAAATATGACGTCATATTTAACATGCTTAAAATCTCTTTAAACTATTGTCATTGTAGTGCGTGTTGAATGTGCCGCTGCATTCTGATGTAGGAGAAAACATTTATTAAAAAGTCAATTTAATTCAGTAGAACGTGTTGTCTATATTTATTAAAAGTTGCACATTTTGATGTGACGTCACATTTCTCAACCCCACTCTCATCACACATCGTCACAAATGTCTGAGCCTCCCCCTAGGTGAGTGACGTCATTTATGGACGGCCCTTTAAGAAAAAAACTAAATCCGTGGAAGGTAGTTACAAGCGAGTGTGAGAATCACCTCTATTACAGGTGAGTAATGTCTGTGAAACTTAAGGTACGCTTCCCTTTCAAATGCTATAGATGTCTGTCATGACAGCAAATACTTATCCATAAACTCCGCATCAATAGTTTCAAGAGCCATGGGGGGGTAACTAAAATGTGTAAAGCCCTGTCCATCCAGTGCTGTGGGGGGTTTTGACTACGCAGTACTACACCATGCTGGTGAGAGTGGGTTATTAAAGGGGTACCTAGAACTGGTTCAAACATCGCACGTCACTATAGTTTCCACTTTAGAGCTTGAACGTGACTGACAAAAAAAAAACAAGGAATGTTAATAATCCAGGAACACTTCAACATTTCCCATGGCAGCTACCTCAAATAATTTGCGTGCTCATAATGCGTCACTCATGCAAACTGCATTTCCCAACCCGCAACACACACGGATGCGCGTTTATGAAGATGCTTGCAGCCAGTATGCGTGGGAGGAAACCGGAGCACCCAGAGAAAACCCAGGTGTGCGAGGCGGCAACGCTCTATCCCGGGGGGTGGGCAACCTTTAAAAGAAGAAGGGCCATTTTTGGTTTAGTTTTCGTTTTTGACCGAAATACTTCGAGAGCCGCATCACACGCGGAGCTACTTTTGTACACGCACACATATAGCAGGTATACAGTAGCCAAAGATCAGTCAAAGAGCCGCACGTTGCCTGATACCTTGGTCTATCCCATACACATGGACCCAATGACAATAGTTGGGACATTGCTGTACAGCCATCTAGTGGTGATCCAGGGTTATTGCACCCCCGGGAAGGCCTCGCCTCCACAAAGATGGATTACAGGGCCACGTGCATAGTCAACCACCGGCCCCGAGGGACATTCCCGGTAAATCCGGGCCAGGTGGCAACCCAACTCGCATTGACATTAGCCATGGACGGCAATAAACCTCGGGTCGCTGGGTTCATCGCCACTGCGCTCACCGCTGCGCCACCGCTCTGCCATGGCCGATGACATGGGTCTAAAACACGAATGTACCTTCTCCAGAAATAAAGAATACGAACAACTTCATTGGCCGGAACAAATAGCCAACCCTTAGTCTGGTAATCGGGGGCCCGCAAGAGACTGCATTCAAAAATAGCGCCCTCTGCTGGAAACATTGTAATATTTTTTCCATACATTAACGATCACCACCGATCTAAACTTTTCCCCACATTTGCTTTCCATTTAACAGATGGGCAAATACTAAAGTCTGAAAAAGTTACTACATTTGCTCAAAACAAACATCCAAGACAGTATGCGTATACTTCTCAAGGGGTGTATTTGAGAAAATAAACATTTACCTTTTAACTATTACCCATCACCAAAACACAGTTAATGTGAACAAGCATATACAATATGAAACGTTTTTATTTTACAGCAGTTGCAGCTGATATTCAGACTGCTAACTGCCTTCACTCTGATATAATTAATTTCAAACTAATACATATACCAATTCAGGAGATGATATTTGCACACACGGTTTAAAACATGGATTTTTCGGTGAAAAGTTTGTGACATTGAATGTTTAAACAAGAAAACTGCAGTACTTTAATGCAAAAAAGTGTATCAGGCAGTGTTAATGTACTTTGCTTCCAAGTCCCATGTTGTTGAATTCTACGTTTCAAAGATTTTTGTAAAAAAAAACTTTCAGCATTGCCAAGAGTGCAGCCAATCACAAATATGTCTCGGCTTTTTTTTTCTGAGAAGTGAATCTAGGCCCACGAATTTCAAATAACATACTTTCAACAGCTTCTATTCAGTGACTAGCAGGAGACAAAACTTTCGAGACTTTCAAGAAAGCACCGTTTGGTAGATAAATAAACCTCATTCAAATTATGAGAGAAGCCCCACTAAAAGTATGGGTTAAGTTAATGGTATCACAGAGACAATCAGACCTAAACATGCACGGATGCAGCGATTGTTTTACCTTGACAATCTATAAATCCATTTCCTCTGAAGCCAGCATTGCAACTGCAGTCATAGTGGCCAGGTGTGTTTACACAATGGGCATTTTTGACACAAAGAGATGAATTCAGGGCACACTCATCAATGTCTGTTTAAAACAAAACAAAAACATGTAAGGAATGGCTCACAGTTGAATGGGGTTCACATTTCTGGTTCCAGGTCAGATCTCGGATACAAACATTTGAAAACAATGTGCTGCATTAACATGTCAACATACATTCAAATGTAAGTAAAATGCATGTTTCAATATGAAAAAAACGAGCAGGGGAATGCTGTTTGACCACATTTTATTATTTTAACAAACCATGAGTAGCTTCACTGCTTCTATGCTTTGCTTCATGCAAAACTTGTAGACTATGGGAAGTATATTTAGATTTTAAAAATAACAAAAGTGCAAAACATACAAGGAAGTCATGGTTAAGAGGGTTTTATTTCCGACGAGGATACTTTTTTACTTTACTTGTGCTACATAATTGACATATATACCAAAGCCTCAAAATACCTTCACATCTGTGGCTGTCCATGGTGACATTACGATAGCCATCTTTGCAGCTGCACGTGTAGCCATTAATTATATTCGTGCACGTTTGATTACAATCAGACAGCTGTAACATGCACTCGTCCACATCTACAAAAGGCAGAGATCAAGCAAAGAAAATACAATGTAGTTGAATCGTTTCCAAAAATATATATAGTTTACCTTTCTGCGTCCTCTCTTAATAACACCAAAACCCTGTTGCATTCTCAGTTTGCAAGCAAGAGCGTCAAGAGCAACAAGGGTTATCACCACCATCATGAACATCACCACACCATCACCACCAAGTAACAATCATAACTTATAAGCCATACAGAGTATAGACAGCGTTAATACTAACCTACAAAGCATACTCATGCAATATATATATTTCATGATATTACACTTTACACGTGAGAACATGAAATGAGAAAAGCAAATTAAGCAAACTGTACGCACCCGAAACACTTGCTCCCGTTGCCTGTGAGCCCCAGCGGGACAGGGCCCCACAAAAAGCCTAGGGAGGGTGCAGGTTCATCTGTGCAGTTCACTTGGGGATGGCAAGGGCTGTCTACACAGGCATTGTAGTCGTCCGTGCAGTACACTCCCGCGTAGCCAGGATCACACAGACAGCTGGAAACCTTCAGGCGATGGTAGACATTTAACAAAAAGGGAATGATAAAAATGAAAACGTAAATAAATTATACAACTTTTGGCGGACGTTTCCCTAAACTCAATTAAATGCTTAATGTTGCTACAATATACAAGTCACGGCTTGTGTTTTCCTTCTGACAAAAATAACACCATTAAAATATCAATTGTTAGAGAATTACAGATATATTTAGAACATTTTAAAAACTTGTACTTGTTATTAATATATTTTTTAAAGCAATGAAGTAATATCAGTGACCATTGTATAACATTCGGTTTCATATGCAATTATACATTTCTGGTACTTATTTAACGTTGACTCATCGTGACCACAGTGAAATACAGCAACCGGCACGTCATAAATAACAGCAGCACAACATGTGACCCTAAAACATACGACGCGTCCGATACAAAAAGCCGCCACACTTCATTGTCATAGGAACCCCAGAATGTTACATTCCCTGAAATATTAAGATTCACTTGTCAGCAACTCCACACTGATGACATGTACCTTTAAAAAACGTATGCCAAATATGTATGTTTTGGTCATTGTTTTATTAAAACAAGAAAAGGAAATAAAGTCTTTTGTCACAAAAAAGTGCTGATGCTTTGTCGCAGATTGTTTCCTCGTCGTCCGGACGTAACTTCACGATGCACGTTAACTTTAAACGCAGAACAAAGGATATTGTTTTGTTTAGGAGTGAATATGCATTGGTTATTTTTCTTAATATATAAAGAAAAGGCACTATTACAATAACCCTTAATACTAGGGCATTAACTCTTCACCTCCTCACAATTTGTTTAACAAAAACATTGTTATAGTTAATATTGTAATGTAAGTATAATCTGCAGTGGCTGGTGGATTAACTTAAACCTAATCACAGAAATTATATGTAAGTATATATGTTGAACTTCTTTCGCACCATACGTAGGCAACCGTGCTAATTGGAGGTGCGGAGAAATGACAACAAACTAAACACAAAAAGCACATGGACCTAAATCAATGCTTACATCTTGAGTGAAACAGTAAAATATGATTCCATTAATGTATGGATTGTAACAAGCATCCTGGCTGCTTTGTAATACTGAAAACCTGCTAACCATAACACATTTATTTGTGCTATTGTCATTCTGTGGTACATGAGCACAGCTTAGTTTCTATGGAGGATTTCACATTCAAAAATTATAATTCTAAATGCATGAAATATGTGAGTCATTATCAAAATGTGTGGTCTACTGAAATACGTACATTAAAGGACACGTAATATAATATACAAGAGCAGGCCTTGGGTGCCATTTCCAAAAGTTACAATTGGTAAGACATGAAGTTTTCCTGCTGTGTTTGTTTCACCTGATGACGGTTGCTTGTGTTGCGATCGAAACGTCGTGATCAATTCATTTTCTACCTACGTGACTTTACTGAAAGAACAAAAGAGTATGGATTCCTGCAGTCACGAAAACTTCAAATCAAGAAGAAATAATGTCGGTCATACTCCCTGCAGCAGCATGCACGAAGACTGCCATGGCGAAACTGCTACAATACAGCAACGATAAATCAGATCCATAAATACGCTTTCTTATAAGAAGGGAACAAGCGGGCAGATTGTTTGGCAGACCTGAAAATTGGAGCCGTCGCTGCCATTGATGCTCAGGGTGGTCTGGTTGGAGAGGCACATGGAGTTCGCGCTGCAGTTGCAGAGAGTGAGGTTGAGCAGCAGCGCAGAGGAGGCCTTGCCGTCGCTGGCGCTCACCACGCCAAACGCTGGCTCCGAGCTTCTGGGACTCCACGTCAAATTCCCATCGCCTGCAACAGCCAGCACCCAAAAATAAACTTTTCAGATTGCAGATTCTGTGTCCTTATCTTAGTCTCCGTGCCAATTAACCCCCTTTTTCCATTGGACAAACAGGCCGCGCTGGGGCCATGCCGTGCAAGGCTGGCACAGCTCAGGAGGCACCACGTAAAATTTTCAATACAGAAGCTGAGTCGTGCTGCTGACGTCGCACACATTGAGAAAGTCGAGGCGTGTGTAGGTGATGCAGTGACGCTGTTGTCACAGTTTATTTATTGACATCACATGCAATGAACGTGTAATTACCCCCCCCCCCCCCCGCCGTATTTGGCCATTCATTCATCGGACATAGTCAGTGATTGCGCCAAACGTGTGACCTCTTGCGACAGCATTAGCATAAACTGCTCTTGCTGCCTATACCAGTGTCTCGAGTGATTTGTTTGTGTTTTATCACGGGGGGTGGGGGGGGGTACAACAGCCGTGGTGGGCATTCCTTTGAGGGTCGCAGTCCACTTGGAACGTCAGCCGCCAACTGAAGTGCACCGTTTTCTGGAGTTTGTGCATCAAGACAGGGAAATGTGTCCAAAAAGCGACAGCCATATCCCTCGAACTACGCTCTCACTTGCTAGGAGACCGGTCGAGGATGCAATGGTGACATTTCTGATTAAGTCAAACCCGCCATATTCAGATGGCTTGTGAAGCAAGCGTATCACAGTTCGGCTCTGGCTCGGCACGGCAATTAGCCAGTGGAAAACCACCCATATCGTGAGGGCCATGCACTGATTAGCTTGGCTTGGATATGCCAGTGGAAAAAAAGTATTATATAAATTCTCCCTTTATAATATATACTTTATAATATGGGTATTGTGTTCAATCATTTTAAAATGTAAGAGTGGCCATCATATGGAAAGAATGATCCCGTGTCATGTCAAAATGTGGAATTTTCACAACTGGCTTTGGGCAACTAACAGAGAGAGTCATATGAGCATGGCGAGCCCTTGGTCTGGAGTCTCATCTTGGCGAATGCTTATTTTACTACAGCGTGGATATACGCGGTTGTGTTTTGTACAGATCTCTGATGTCATTTCGGGTTCTGCCACGTATTACTCGCCATGATGTCCAACGTTTCACTCCACATCCTAGGAGCTCCAGAAAAGGAACTGAATTTCCCAGCACGTAGAAAGAAACATCAGACATCACGCCAAACAACGGGCGCTCCACTCTGAATGTATATCGGATAGCGATGTTCATTTTCAAGTAATAGAAATTTCTAATAAGGTCATCTTATAGATATTAAAAACCCACTTGTAATTGTGAGGCCTGATGAGTTTGTCGTAAGGGTGAAGACAATGGTGTCGTTATTGGGGTCCTCTGCAATTACTTTGGCCCACACCGTGGAATTCACTTTGGTCGAGAGCTGTCCACTGCTTGTAATGTTGGGAGGGAAGTTTTCTGCAACGAAAAAATATTCAAAGCTTTTTAGTAGTTTTCACCTTTTTTTTACTCATCATTCAATAACATAAACACTTGTTCGTAGAAAAAATACGAATAAAACCCACGCAGTGTTTGGGCCTGCGATCCAAATTCTCCAGCGCTGTTCTTCGTGGCCTGCCCAAAATTGGGGTCGTCAGTGCTGAGCACATCAAAAATGCAGTCCTTTTGCCCTCCACAGGAAGCGCTGACGTTGGCCAGTTTTTTGGGCGATGTCCGATTAAGGAGTTCTTCATAAAACATCGGCACAAAGCTGTTGTTGTTGTAGGTGTGCCAGCTCTCCCCAGCACTGGTGTTGTAAGAAAACAAGCTCGTGTTTGCAGCGATTTGCCCTATAAATATAACATTTTTAAAACGGTGAATATAACAAGAATGTATGCACCTGCAACGTCGTACTAGGCATTTCAATCGTAGGTCATTATGTTGCAAAAGCCACAGTTACATGTATAATGCATTCCTTTTTAAATCGTTTTAATCTTAATACTCGCTAATATTTGCTCATCATATTTAACGATAATCAATTAGATGTTAACAATCACTAAATGATGGTTAATTACCAAATCAGTTTATTTCAATAAAACACGTAAAAAATTTGCATTCCTAGATACCTGGTATGGAAATAAATTGACTGAAATATAGTATCTAAGCAAAAATTAACCCATAACGGTCCACTCAAAAAGCAGTGAACCTTAAACGAGGACGTACGCCGGCAATGCGTGATTCCTCAGAAAGTAATTCACAAACTGAATATTTATTTTTAGACCGATGACAACAAGAACAAACGTTGTTGTGACATGAAATGTATTTTTTTTAAATGCTCACGTGCAGTTCTATACGAGTCGTCTGAAATACCTTCCTTGTTTAATTGTATTCTTCCACTCTTTCAGGTGTTTTTTGCCACGCGACAACAAATGTAAATGGTGCTGATTGCATGAGCATAGCAAGACTCAAAACACTAAAATTGCAATGGCGTTTACAGTAGAACTCTTAACGGCCACCCCTGTTAATGACTAATCGCTTAACGACGCGACCTTCATAGAGCCCAATGTGTAGTGTATGGTGTAGTTATAGTAGTGTAGTGTATAGTTTAGTGTATAGTAGTGTAGTGTATAGTAGTGTGGTGTATAGTGTAGTGTATAGTGTAGTGTATAATAATGTAGTTATAGTAGCGTAGTGTATAGTAGTATAGTGTATAGTGTAGTGTATAATAGTGTAGTATATAGTGTAGTGTATAGTAGTGTAGTGTATAGTGGTGCAGTGTATAGTAGTGTATAGTAGTGTAGTGTATAGTAGTGTAGTGTATAATAGTGTAGTTATAGTAGCGTAGTGTATGTTTAGTGTATTGTAGTGTAGTGTATGGTAGCGGAGTGTATAGTAGTGTAGTGTATAGTGTAGTGTATAGTGGTGTAGTTATAGTAGCGTAGTGTATAGTAGTGTATAGTGTAGTGTATAGTGTAGTGTGTAGTGTATAATAGTATAGTATATAGTGTAGTGTAGTGCCTCCAAAGAGCCCAATGTGTTCGCTTACCGACCGTTCTCCGGTTAACGACGGGCTGTTGTAGGTACAGTGAATATGAATTGAATGCATTGATTAACCATGTTTCTTTTAATATTGTGTTTACAATGTTGTTAGTATCTTTATGCATTAATATCCAATGTTTAAATATTATAAAGTACGTGTTTTGTGGGTGAAAAAGCGTAACTTTCGATGCTATCGGAACGAATTTAGCTTTTAACATGTATTTCCTATACTCGCTTAATGACTAAATCACTTAACGACCTGTTCAATGGAACTAATTGCTATCATTAAGAGGAGTTCTACTGTATTAAGAATTGTTCAGCTGTAGCAATATAAATACTCATATATAAACGCATATTGCCATGAAAATGCACGTGTTTCTCCGCTAGCTTCTCTTACTACACATATGAAGGGAAATTGGAGAAAATTGGTTCAATAACCAAAGTTAGTCAGGAGGATGCACGTCAAATTGTTGCCGAATGCTCCCCCCTTGTCACACACTTTTATTAATCTGCACTGATAAGCATGGTTAAGTATGGTCAAACAACCCCCACAGCCGACACAATTTGAGAAAATGTATAAACTACTCACATGTGACTCCAAAATCATAGTATAACTGGTTCTCTGGAGGGACATTTGTTCCATCAAAGGGCAGTACAGTGCCATTCTTAGATTTAAAATCATCATTAGGATCACCGTTGAAAACACCTGCAAGTAAAATATGGAATACACTTAATTTTACTTTAAAAAACACTCAGACAAATTACATGCATCACAAAATATATTTAAATACTGCGTTTGTATTTGTGAGATTATTTAAATGTTTCAGCTGTTGTTTATTGGAGACACAAGTAAAAACATTCCGTAAGGAGACAACCCACAGACCGACAGAGGTAGATGAGTATTTGGTGTGGTGGTGGCGGTGAGTGGGATGGATGGACATCTCACCCAGCAAGCCTTGCGTTTGGTTGACGAATTTTTGGGGTAGCAGGGTGATGAAGTTGAGCGCCCCGTAAGAAGCCGTCACATTCACGGAGATACCCGATGGGAACGACGCGACGACTGACCCATACGACAGCTCGATTGACGTCTGGTTGTGAAACGTTTTGTTTTCTAACAAAGCACGTTGAAATGAAAAAAGGACAAATGTTTAATATATATAAGCTACAGCGAAGATCACACATGCAATACTAATGTGTACGTTTTCGCCGTCACGCTGTATTATGTCTCTCCGATGTGTTTTCTGGTTGCACCAGGTATTGTTCAGCATGATGTCCAACGTTTTGTTCCACGTACAAGAACCTTCTTCAGGAGCCTCTCAGGAACTGTCCGAACAAGCTTCGAGCATGTGGAGGCAAACGTGGGACATCGTGCCGAGCAAAACGTTTACAGCCACAAACCACATTTGAGAACATTACAACAAAATTATTATTTCTTATCCAGGAATGCATTAACTCGGTTATCAAGGATGGATTTACGAAGGTCTAATTTACAAAATATCCTTACTGGGGTTTGTTTTTCTGTGGGCAATAAGGAACATTCAATGTATGTACTGACTGCGACTGAACTTTTTGGTATATTAAGATGAAACATCAAATCATACGTAAAAAAACGTGATGCATTGCATATGTCACAAAAAATAATCACACACACACAACATCTTTCAATGACTATATATCAAGTGTATGTGCACCTCAATGCAAAAGGGGTACCTGAGACTTGAGTAACTTGACTATCTAATAGCACGACAGTGATGTTGTCTTTGAGAATCCATTCAACCTGTGAACGCAAAAGCTCGTTACAGGTGCACTTCGTCGTCACAACAACAACCGCCATTTGCCACAAAGTGGCGGTGATGTCACCGCGGCACTTGTGCCAGGCCATGTGCACGTTAAGGCCACGTGAAGTGTCAAACGCCCACTGGCAGCAGGTCATGGGACAGACCCAGGTGCCATGGGTTGACTCACTCAAATGACTGGCCGATGCACCACCTGTGCCCCTCTAATGTGCCAACTTTGTCATAAGAGCACCTGTCCACAGACGTTAACAAAACGGCGAAGGGTTAGGGGGCAAGCTGAGCGCTCGAGCCACTTCCCTACCCACCTTGCTGCTGCCATTTTCTTGGGCCACGATGGCCACAAACGACGTGGCTTTTGAGGTCCCATTGGACCCTGCGATCGCCGTCCGGGCCTGCATGGTGAAATGGTTCTGATCGCCAGACACCTCCAAGACCGTGTACTCTCCCAGACCGTTAAAGGTATACGAGACGTTGTCCAGCGTCGTGATGTGAGGGTCGCCAAGGAGAAACGCTGGCAATGCAAGAAAAATATGACAGCAGGTTGTGCACGTTCAAGAGTTTACACAGTAAAACATATCTGCATGCATAAATGTGCATGCAAGTATTTGTAGAACTGTGTTGGCAGGTAAGCAATTACATATTCTCTAATTGCAGTCGCATTTTTCGGAAAGATATTTTACTCAATTTTAAATGTTTTGTGTGGATAGGATGTAATTTATATGTTGGCTCTGTCTTAATAATGCAATTGCCCCTCCATCAATTCGCAAGTGATCACGTGACAATGCTTCACCACTATGCTAGTCTGTACAGGTTGGTGAATTTTCCAAGCATACACAAAAGGGGTGGGGGGGGGCAGCATAGCAGTGCAGTAAAATTATCCATTTTGCTGTACTGCCAACCACAAAATCCTTGCAGAATGTTCATCGAAGCACTATGCAAGCACCATCCTGACGGGATCACGCATGTTGCGTTTCTGAACATACATGTAATATAAATATGCCATATAGCGAAGAGACCATGAGACTCACCGAAGAAGGGAGGCCTGTAGAATGAACATTGGTTGCGAGGGCGTTTCTCTTGGTACAGGCCACACAGCCGACTGTCTCCAGACTGACAGCAGTATTGGTAGGGATCCGCTTCCTTTTCTAAATTAAGCAAAACAATGAAGACATAATAAAATGTTAGTCAATCACTCATTGTAAAGTATTGTTTTGAGACTTAATTAAGCAACTGAAACATGCATTCGACTAACGAAGATAAAACTATGGGTAGGGTTCTGCGATTTTGCGATACTACACTATATCATACAAATACAATACAAAGACAAAAATGTAATTGGATAATGATTTTCGCTGTCCATGTAATTATTGAATAATTTTCTTGAGTAACTGAACACTTGTGCATTATAAGCATGACAGGTTGTAGAGTCACAATGCTTACAAGATTTTGGGCGGGCTTATGATTGAGTGTACTGCAGATGAATACCCGTTAAACAATCTACATTTGTACGTAAAGGACATCAGAGGACAACAACGAGATGATACGGGTGTGAAATACAATTGCATCTGCCAACATCGTTATCGTCAAATTGCTGAATTGTAAGTATCGTATCGTGTAAAACGATTACAAAGTCTGAAACATTTAGTTCGATATCTTTCAAATATGCCCATGACATCACGTGACTTCTGCAATAGCACCACTTTATTTTTTTGTGAAATAGCGTACCGTTAAAGTAACTTACGTTGATATTCTTGTCTTTGTAGTTGCAAATAATACGCTCCCCCCCACCACCACCAGTAGTTCCAAGGAGTGGGCAGATACCTCTCGTACCCACCCGACAGCAGAGAGCCCGACCAGCTATAGTGGCATCTCACCCCTCCACCATTGTAGTCTGGCCAAATGTTCTGTAGACTCCGAGATGCTCCTAAATTGCACATGTTGCCAGTCCAGTATTTGTTTTTTCAGAGGATGCAGGTGTGAGAATGTGTTTGGACAGAGTGAAAGGCAGCATGGCAGTGGGTGCTTCCAATGGCTTAACAAATGCGAATGAAATTGTTTTCGCAAGATACTTACAAACGTTCTCAATTGCGAACATTACAGAAATCAATTACATGCAGAATATAAGTACGTGAGGAGAAATAAATTGCATATTGAATGGCTTCAGAACAGCTCCAGTAATACAATTCAAGGTACAGATTGATTAATGCAATAAATATCGGCACTCGAGGCTTGTTTCCAACAAGAAAATGTAAACAAAAAAATCACATCACCACCATGAGCACCGTTATCGCGAACCAAATCAGACATAAAACAGCAAATATTACAAACGTACCTGAGACGTAAGGAGGATTGTAGCCATACATTTGTATGATGTTCCCGTCAACGTAGGACATGTCAAAATACCCTTGCCAATAGAAACAAGGGCAGGTAGTGAAGGGACTGAAGTAGGGGGTGTTTCCCTCACTTTGATACCATTTTAGACATTCGCGTTTTGGATTTTTGGTATAATATGAGTTCGTATCCAACCTGAGTGTTGATCTCCCCTTCAAGCCTGCAATGGAGCCACATAATTTAATCATATAAAACATGTATTTAAGAGCACTGCTATATATGTCTATGTATTTTTTATTGTTTTGTTTAAGCATGTACCTTAGTGAGAAGGTGAAATATACACCAAGATAGAGCATCCTCTTTTTATGACTCGCTAATAATATGGGGCAGAAAGTTGAACACCACAAAAGGTGTTTAACTAGCGAAAGAAGCATCTGAAATGGGGAGGCCTTCAACCAGCAGTGGAAAGACCAAGGCAGATGATGATGAGAGCATTCGGAATGTATGCACACTGGTGCTGTATTACACTCAGTTCTCTACGTGAATACGACTGTTTTACCCTACGGGAATTACTTTTATGTTTGCTTTCCATGCTGATCATGAAACAATTAATCCCCTGGACTCTCCGAAGCATTCAGAAAACACATTTTAAGTGCATTGCCTTTATTGCTGTTTTTGCTAAAATATGGGAAACCAAGTGTCTTCTTTAATGTGGCCATATATGACACACTTTGACATGTATGCAACACATTACAAGAATTACATGCTTTGGGCAGTTGCAACCAGCTATATCATGGCCCTGACAACTGGAAAACAACTCTTTGGAATTAATTGTCAAGGCAGCGTTGTATAATTTCACATACTTGTCTAAAAGCAGGTAATATTTTGCAATGAGTTACATGAAAATAGACAATATTTTCAAGGGTAAGTATTTGACCTTGTATTGAATGATGCAGCATTTTCCTCAGACATGTTGCATTGTAATGTTACCACAAAAAACAGTGAGCATGAACAAAGTGCGATGGAAGCGGTTCATATCTGCAAGTACGAGTCTCAGTGCTCATGACGAATGTGTCAGGAATGTTTCGTGATTGCTGTCAAGATTTTTCGTTGAACACACAATGCCTTATCTTTTTAACATACCAACATTGCCCTTTACCAATCCAGTGCTGGATGAAGCCCTTTAGATCAAAAAGGTTGTTTGGTCGCACCTCACTACACTGGTCAGTATGGATTGGTTAAAATGCAGTGCTTAGGGTGCCTATGGCCGATTCAGAACACTGATGTTCGCCGTGGCTAGGAATCAAACCCAGGTGGCCAGCAATGGTTAGCACCTGAGTTTGATTCCTGATCATGGATAACATCAGTGGTAAGTGACACCTAATCAGTCCTGGGCACCCAACCTTCACCAACCCACATTGACCAGCAGAGACAAAGATATCCCATATAGCCTTTAATAGACTGTGAGGGCAAGTGCTGTAAGTGAGCACCTATGAAGGCCAGTATGGCACATGAGGGGGTGGGTGGTTAATACCACGCCCGGCCACCTTTGTCTCCCCAGTGGTGATGCTTACACTACTCACCATTTGAGGCTGAGTCGACCTAGGGGAGGCCCAGAACTAGTTCAGATAATCGTCACTGGTGTTATGAGCTAGAATCAAACTCGGGTCGCCGGGTTCGTAGCGCAGTGCGCTAATCGTTGCACACTATGGTCAGCATATTGAAGTATTGGTCAAACAATCCCCATGACCGAAAGTCATGAAGAGAGCCTTTTATCCAGAAGTGAATTAATCTTCTGTACTATAAGAGTTTAGATTGCATTTTATTTATCTCTGTATTGAATAATTTGAATTGATTACGTTGATGCATAATTTATTATTGTTTTTTATTGTTTATTACCATGTATCTGTATTTGTCAAGCATCTTGCGACAAATTATTGTGAATGGCACCAAACCAATTAAAAATGTATTCATTGAATATACATAGCAACAAAAAATTTGTATTAATTTTAAACACAGTCAATATATTAAAGAATTTACAAACATTACACAAACTGTCTAATGAACTTGCAAAAGTTGCAAAACTGTATGAAATATGGTGAATACATTCTATATATTCTAAGAATAGGGACAACATAACTGCAGACTAGTATCCTAATAAATCTGGGTCAGATAATGTGGTCCCAAAAAGAACCGAGTGATAATTAATTAGGGTTTTTTCTCAATATATGGTGTGACTTGTGCGTTTTCCATTATGTGGCATCGTCACTAAAATATTTCAGCAGCATGCCACACAATGAGAATCACAAAAAATAAACGTAATATTCTAACAGACAGACATCCATATGTTCTACTTTTCAAGTTTATTCACCACCGCATGGAAGGGTTGTACATTTTTTGCGAGTGGTTAATTGAAAACCAATTGCCTGAGAAATGCCAAACTTCAAAAGACGGTCAATTTTATACAAAGGCAATGGTAATAATACTCCCTACTTAGACACTGTGTGGAAAAATAATTTATGTAAAAAAAGCCTTTCTAAGACAATCTCAATTGAATTGCAAAGTGTGCTGGCTTCTGACAAATCATGCCAACATCCCAATGTCAAGATCCATTTTGACACCAAGATAGGATCTACTATAGTAGCGTGCAAGGTGTTTTCATTCACGTGCAAAGGACAGGGTATTTCAACAGAGCCGTATCATTTTTTTGTTTGAACAGAAACCGGAAAAATACCGGTTTGCAATATACCATACACTGTGCTGCTACGTGTTGCGTAACAACATTGACGCACAGCATGTCTGAAGATTATCAGCCTTGCTGTCATGCTAGTATCTTCATCTTAAATGTTTAAACGGTTTAATTGATTCATCACAGGGCAGAATGCAGCTCTTAAGTTCGTGGATGCGGAAAATGTGCACGAATGAATAAAGGAATGCAATTGTAAAGTGCGCAGTGTGCGTACATTCACAATTCCATGTTGTGCATTGCACTTATGCAATTGCGTTTCTCTATTTTTGCTTATTCATTTTTCTCAACTGTATAACTAATTTGTTATTTGATTATTTACCTTTTCTTCGTATAGAGTTAATGGGAATGTAAATTCACACGAACAAGAACACAAACCTACAATATCCACTCTTGCAAACATTTCAATAACATGTATACAGTCACATTTGATCACTACAAATGCATATGAATACCTGTATTTGTTCCAACAGCCTGGTCTGGACGATATCGTACGGTGGCATTTGGCGACAGTGAAATTGGTTCAATGTAAGGGATATTTTCTAGTCCACTAATAAGGGATGGAATGATGGGAAGAAAAAAAACATTATCCAAACACTCATGTAAGAGATTAGAGAAATTAACACACAACTCATCCATGCATAAATGTTGAACGACTCAAACATCCTAAGAGGATTTTAAAGAATGACGATTCAACATTCTAATTCAAATAAAATAATGATCCGTTATTATTTAGACTTTCAATTGCAATTTTAACGTATCCAATTGTCATCAACAAAATCAAACATAAAAAAATCAAGATATATTGTCTTCTTTATTACTACTTTCGTTTGCCTAAAGAGTAAATTTTCTAGTTTTCAATGTAATGTGTACAATACAATTATTACTTTGAAATTTAATAAAAACACGCAAATATAATCAACAAAAACACATTTATGGTCAAATTCTGATTCCATATGTTTTCAAATCGGTTGATCATTCAGGGTGGATTTTTAAACAAATATCCAACAAAGTAACAACATACTTTGCAGAAATCATACACTATTACCATAGGTATTCTAATATCTAAAACAAAATGTGTTAAAGTAACACAAGGTTAATATTATGAAAATACTGATGTATTCGATACAACGAATGTAGTAGCATCAAATTATGTAAATACAGGGTGATCCATTTTTAGACACCCCCATTACAATGATATGGAGAAATCAATAGAGAAAGAAACAATTGTATTTCAAAGCATCTACAAATCTCTCACCAAACTCAATACTACATATTAGATTGTTTAATGCTCTCCTCGATAAGATATAGTGCCATCGTTTATACAATATTCAATCACCTGTTCTGCAGAACACCAAAAGGTCGTTAGAAATCAATAAACTATTTACACGATTAACTATTTTTTTATTTGACCAAGCAAGGCCTACTGAGCTATATAGCTCTTTTTCAGAAGCGACCTGGCTTCAAATGATAGCTCAAAGAAGTGGCTTATCACGTGGAAATTTTTAGCAGCCAAATACTCTAAACGCATGTATATTCTAAATGTGGAGGGAAAACCCAGCGGACATGGAGAAAAATCCATGCTACCACTGGGAGAACATGCAAAATCTAAATATACAGACGTCGGGATCGGGATCGAACCCACAACCTCCTGTACACCAGGCGAGGTTGTTAACATCTCACCACCATGGCGCAATGTTATAAATGGATCATCCGGTATATAACTCATAAAATGTTATTTTTCAATGAATTATTAAATTTTCAAACTCACCAAAAACAGTTACCATCTATATCGGTGATGTTTGACCTACCTCATGAAGCCCATGACAGCATTGTTGAAATCCCTAACTTCAGTTCTCCATCGCATGCCTCCATCTTTGAATATTTGTAGGCAGAATGAAAATATGCCATCTGTGCTCAGGATGGCTTGGAAGGTGTTTGTCTGGAAAGTAAACAAATATAAATTCATGCGGAATGGATATCAAATGGATATGATTCCAAACAACATGCAGTACGACTGAGAGATGTAAATTGGCATTCAATTCTCTTAGAGTACACATGTGATTGTGGTTGGCTACAATTCTACAAAAAAAGTATTGAAGATAAACATGTAAATGCTCATACTATTTAGGACTTCGTGAGAGAAGAAATACAAACTCACTTTAGTTTCAAAGTTTTTTGGAAGGTACTGATTGAAGAATGTAGTGAAGTACACTCAAAAAATGTCCATGGCACAGTCAGATAAAATGCGTCAATCCTGCAGGTGTATGCCAAGTTGCACCCCATATGAGGCATGGACAGGAAGGTCTACGAGTTATAAAGTCAAGTTAAAAGAATTTGACTCTTGTATGGGCCTCAGCGGGGACAGATAATTTTCTGGAATGCAGCAGTGTTGCATTGTAATCCGAGTCCAAACAAAAATTTGCTTAACACCATTGCAGTGCCATGCAACCCTATTCAGAAAAAATAACTCAACGGGATCTGAAATATGAGCTGACCGTAAACATCTCGTGACATCTATTTATAACCTATGCATACGTGGCACTTTTCCGAATATTCTTTTTCAATTCCCATTTACAGAAATACAATTTTCTTTTAAAATACATTTTGTTTCAAATAACTATGCAATGCTTCACGGCGGTAAGGGGAGAGGCGTTGGTGAGTGTGCTTCACTCAAGACCTGGAAAAGTGCATTCAATCTCCACCCATGGCTAACAACAGTTACGAGAGATATCTGAACCAGTCTTGTACCCCCCTCCACCACCAACCTCACCAACTCAAACCGACCAGCATGGTGAAGTATGGTCTTAACAACTCCCATGACTGACGAGGTGTGGGGAGGCCTTGCGTGGCATGCATGGCTCAGGATGGTTTGACGGCATGTGCATGAGTAAGTGATGGATCATGCCTCACACCCGATAGACCCGGAACCCACTCTGGTCCAGGTCACTTGGACATTTCAAGTTTACCTTATGTCTGCTGCAGTAACATATTGCCAGGACAAGATAATGTGCCAAACCAAAACAAATAAAATAAAGGAAAGAAATTACGTAACTGTGATTTTTTTGTGATTATGAAATTGAATTGAAATTCAATAAATACAGTTATGATTGACTAACATATTTCAAATATCGATTTAAAGCTTTCGTGACTGCAAGGATTCATCTTCTTCGCTTCTTTCGGTAAAGTCACGTAGAATGAGAATAAAATAAGAAAATAAAACAATAAAATTCTCACGACGTTTCGGCCACAACACAAGTGTCCTTCTTCAGGTTAAAAGAACAAACCTGTCGGGACGACGGAGCTACAATGAACGCTGCTAAGATTCGCAGCGTCTTATAAGCTGGTTGAGAGAAGTGAGGCACCTTGACAAAGGGTTTTACATATCAAACAGGAGAATTTAGCATTGAAACAGTTGAGGGATTAGCTTGTGACTGGTCACAGAAATAGCTATGTTAAAGTCAAAGCCTACACATCCACAGAGGCACTTCGTACATGGGGCTGCAACAACTCAACTATCATACAGTAAACCGATGTGAAAAAACCTAAGTCTAAATTACATCAATATAATAAATGTACTCAATATATTCTTCAATAAGCAGAGCTTTTAACAGCAACTGGGTATACACTACACTATATAATGAATACCATATAGTAAACAGATTAAAAAAAAACCTAAAATATAAACTACCTCAATGTCATATTCTTAGTTCTTTCGGTAAAGTCACGTTGAAGGGAAACAACAAAATAATAAAATATATATAAAACAATAAAAATTCTCACGACGTTTCGACCATAACACAAACGGTCGTAAAATTTCGATTTAAAGCTTTCGTGACTGCAATGATTCATCTTCTTTGGTTCTTTCGGTAAAGTCACGTAGAATGAGAATAAAATAATAAATTGATAAAATAAAATAGCACAATAATATTCTCACGACGTTTCGGCCACTGTCTGGTAGGACAGCGCTGTCCTACCAGACAGTCTCGCCCCCTTCACCTGATGAAGGCCGCTTGTGTTGTGGCCGAAACGTCGTGAGAATATTATTGTGCTATTTTATTTTATCAATTTATTATTTTATTCTCATTCTGCGTGACTTTACCGAAAGAACCAAAGAAGACAAACGGTCGTCTTCAGGTGTGACGACCGTTTGTGTTATGGTCGAAAGGTCGTGAGAATGTTTTATTGTTTTATATATATTTTATTATTTTGTTGTTTCCCTTCAACGTGACTTTACCGAAAGAACTAAGAATATGAATTACTGCAGTCACGAAAGCTTTAAATCAAAATTTACCTCAATGTCATCAATAAACTCTATATATTCTTCAATCAGTTGAGCTACCAACAATAAGTCGTTATATATCACGATGCTATATGGCGAAAAAATGGGTGGATTCTTACCCTCCACATCAGCACCATGGACCGCTACGAGTCCCGTTCAGACGGACGAGTCTATCATGGTCGGAACAGAGGAGAGAAACAGCTGCAAGGCGCTGTTATAATCATGTTATAAACATACCATTAACCGTGGTGTGAGGAAATATTAAGAGTCAAGGCCAGCGAAAGTGCTGCGGTCTGAAGGTCACCATAAAATAATTAAATTTGTTTTTAAAGCTTTCGTGACTGCAGTAATTCATATTCTTAGCTCTTTCGGTAAAGTCACATTGAAGGGAAACAATAAATAATAAAATATATAAAACAACAAAAATTCTCACGACGTTTCGACCATAACACAAACGGTCGACCGTTTTATTGTTTATATATTTTATTATTTTATTGTTTCCCTTCAGCGTGACTTTACCGAAAAGAGCTAAGATTATATAATAATTAATTAAGAACCGAAATGGTTTAAAACATCTTTCCAATGGTTACTAAGCCAGAATCCATCTTCTCCATTGAAATTGTCTCTGTGCTTGTATATGTGGATAGCCTCATGAACGAATCTCTCATGGTAGCCGGTTGGCTTTCAAAGAACCTCCGTCTTGGAGAAGTCAAAGTCATGTGAGTCCACTGAATTAAAAACAGTGATCTGCCACGGCGGAGGAGTTCGTTCTACCATGTTTCAAGTCTGCTTTATGTTCGCGGATGCGGTCCCGAGATATGTCGTTTGGTTTCTCCAATGTAGCTACTACCACAGAGGCACTTTAATTTGTAACGCCGGGTACTGTATGTCTGGAACAGCATCTTTTACAGATGGAACCAGATCACAGATTTTATGTACTGTCTTGAATCGGACCTGGATCTTGTGTTTATTCAGGATTTTTGAGATCTTTTTAGTGACCCCTGCAATGTAGAAAAGGGTGATGGTTTTGAGTGGCTCCACAAGAGAATCCTTCTTCATGACTGGAGTGATGGCTTTGCGGATTGTGTAGTCGGAGTAACCATTAGCCCTGAGAGCCTGGTGTACGTGTTTGAGTTCACTGGTAATGTGTTCCTGGTCGGAAATGCATTGGGCTCTATAGTATAGAGTTTTGATGAGGGAGTTCTTCTAGGATGGATGGTGGTGGGAATCCAGTTTCAAGTAAGCATCCGTATGGGTAGCTTTCCTGTAGACAGAGAGCTCATTGAGCCATCAGGTCTCCTTTTAATTAAGACATCCAAAAAGGGTAGCTTGCTATCTTTTTCTACCTCCGTGGTAAATATGATGGCTGGGTGTATGGAATTGATGTGGTCCCGGAATTGGTCTAGAGCAGGCTGGCCATGTGGCCAAATGACTAAAGTGTCATCCACGTACCTCTTCCATAAGGTCGGGCGTAAAGTGGCAGTCTGGATGGCGTCAGTTTCAAATTTTTCCATGAATACGTTAGCTACAACCGGAGACAGGGTGGAGCCCATATGGGTGCCCTCAGTCTGTTTGTAGAAAGTTCACCTGGAATGGAACTTTCTACAAACAGGACTGAGGGCACCCCAATGGGCTCCACCCTGTCTCCGGTTGTAAACAACGTATTCATGGAAAATTTGGAAACTGACGCCATCCAGACTGCCACTCTACTCCCAACCTTATGGAAGAAGTACGTAGATGACACTTTTGTCATCTGGCCACATGGCCAGCCTGCTCTAGACCAATTCCAGGACCACATCAATTCCATACACCCAGCCATCAGATTTACCATGGAGGTGGAAAAAGATGGCAAGCTACCCTTTTTGGATGTCTTTTAATAAAAAGGAGACCTGATGGCTCAATGAGCCACTCTGTCTACAGGAAAGGTACCCATACAGATGCCTACTTGAAACCGGATTCCCACCATCATCCATCCCAGAAGAACTTCCTCATCAAGACTCTATACCATAGAGCCCAATGCATTTCCGACCAGGAACACATTACCAATGAACTCAAACACGTACACCAGGCTCTCAGGGCTAATGGTTACTCCGACTACACAATCCGCAAAGCCATCACTCCAGTCATGAAGAAGGATCCTCTTGTGGAGCCACTCAAAACCATCACCTTACCCTACATTGCAGGGGTCACTAAAAAGATCTCCAAAATCCTGAATAAACACAAGATCCAGGTCCGATTCAAGACAGTACATAAAATCCGTGATCTGGTTCCATCTGTAAAAGATGCTGTTCTGTTCCAGACATACAGTACCCGGGCGTTTACAAACTAGAGTGCCTCTGTGGTAGTAGCTACATTGGAGAAACCTAACGACATATCTCGGACCGCATCCGCGAACATAAAGCAGACTTGAAACACGGTAGAACGAACTCCTCCGCCGTGGCAGATCACTTATAATTCAGTGGACTCACATGACATTGACTTCTCCAAGACGGAGGTTCTTTGCAAGCCAACCGGCTACCATGAGAGATTCGTTCATGAGGCTATCCACATATACAAGCACAGAGACAATTTCAACCGAGAAGATGGATTCTGGCTTAGTAACCATTGGAAAGATGTTTTAAACCATTTTGGTTCTTAATTAATTATTTTATGGTGACCTTCAGACCGCAGCTCTTTCGCTGGCATTGACCCTTAATACTTCTCACACCACGGTTAATGGTATGGTTTATAACATGATTATAACAGCGCCACGCAGCTGTTTCTCTCCTCTGTTCCGACCATGATGGACTCGTCCGTCTGAACGAGACTCGTAGCGGTCCATGGTGCTGATGTGGAGGGTAAGAATCCACCCATTTTTTTCGCCACATAGCATCGTGATATATAACGACTTATTGTTGGTAGCTCAGCTGATTGGAGAATATATAGAGTTTATTGATAACATCGAGGTAGTTTATATTTTAGGGGTTTTTTTATCTGTTTACTATATGGTATTCATTATATAGTGTAGTGTATACCCAGTTGCTGTTAATAGCTCTGCTTATTGAAGAATATATTGAGTACATTTATTATATTGATGTAATTTAGACTTAGGTTTTTTTCACATCGGTTTACTGTATGATAGTTGAGTTGTTGTAGCCTCTGGCGTCCATGTACGAGGTGCCTCTGTGGTAGTGTAGGCTTTGACTTTAACATAGCTATTTCTGTGACCAGTCACAAGCTAATCCCTCAACTGTTCAATGCTAAATTATCATGTTTGATATGTAAACCCCTTTGTCAAGGTGCCTCACTTCTCTCAACCTGCTTAAAAGACGCAGCGAATCTTAGCAGCGTTCATTGTAGCTCTGTGGTCCCGACAGGTTTGTTCCTTTCACCTGAAGAAGGCCACTTGTGTTGTGGCCGAAACATCGTGAGAATTTTATTGTATTATTTTATTATTTTATTCTCATTCTACGTGACTTTACCGAAAGAACCAAAGAAGATATATCAAATACTTATTTTTATTGGATTAGATACATTTTTTTATGCCCCAAAAATCAAGCAACATTTGATGAAATAAAAATATTATTTACAATATTTGTTTTGTATACTTAATACGTACACATGCACACACACACAGAACATTTATTGAAAAATGCAATAAAAATAAAAAAATGTGAAAAAAATTATGAAGTGACATTCAAGTATGTCCTGCAATGGAGTAGCTAAATATTCTTACATATCTGCCATTGTTGCTTGCTGGCACAGCAGGAGCTTCCTCCCAGGTGATCTTTAACATCCAGGTGGGCACATAGTTTATTATATCCGGCACAGTGCTGAAGTTGGCTCGGACCTGCGCCTGCACCTTTTCACGGAGCTGTGTTGCATTTTGGCTCGGGTTGCCAACAG